AGTGTAGCGCTCGGTTCCGGAGTCTTGACCACCTATCCCGAAGTTGCGACCCTCACCGGCGTCCAGGGAATGCTCATTTACGCCTTCTCATCCGCCTTGCCCATGCTCATCTTTGGTGCGCTTGGGCCCATCATCCGTCGCCAGTGTCCCGAGGGCTTCGTCTTGACCGAATGGGTCAGGCAGCGATATGGCACTCTTGCCATGCTCTGGCTCAGCTTCATGACCCTCGTCACCCTCTTTCTGTACATGATCTCGGAGCTCTCTGCAATTGGCCAGATTGTCACCCTCTTGACCGGTCTTGATGGCCTGCCCGTCATGATTGTCCAGTGCGTTGTGACCACCATCTATACCTGTAGGTTCTAAACTTCCTCCCCTTCCTTGTGATACCCAATTGTTGGTAAAAAGGTTGCTGAATGACTCTGGTAAACAGCTCTGGGTGGATTCAAGATTTCTTTCCTCACAGATACCGTCCAGGGCTCCATGGTCGTTGGTCTTATCATCATCGGTGCCATTGCTGTCGGCGTCAATGTCAAGATCCAGCCAGGGCTCGTGGAGGAGTCTGGCTACCTTGAGGCCAGCCTTGTCGGATGGCAGCTTCTCTACATCCTGCCCGTCGCCATCTTCACCAACGACTTCTTCTTGTCCCAGTTCTGGCTGCGAACATTCTCTTCCAAGACAGACAAGGACCTCTGGATCGGAGTCTCCGTCGCAACCGTCGCCCTCCTCTGCATCCTCACCCTCGTGGGATCCACCGGCCTCATCGCAACTTGGTCTGGTGCCTGGCCCGGCGACCCACCCCAACTCGGCTCCGTCGCCTTCTTCACCCTCCTCGAGCAGCTGCCCAACTGGGTTGTCGGCGTTATCCTCGTCATGACCGTCTCGCTTAGCACCGCCGCTTTCGACAGCTTCCAGAGCGCCATGGTCTCCTCCGCCTCCAACGATCTCTTCCGCAACAAGATCAACATTTGGTTCATCCGCGCTCTCGTCGTCCTCATCATCTTCCCCGTTGTCGCCATCGCCATCAAGGCCCCCTCTGTCCTTCAAATCTACCTCATCAGCGACTTGGTCTCCGCGTCTACTGTGCCCGTGCTCCTCCTTGGCCTCTCCAGCCGCTTCTACTGGTGGCGCGGCTTCGAGGTCATCGTCGGCGGAGTTGGTGGTCTTCTCACTGTGTTCATCTTTGGCACAATCTACTATGGCAGCGCCCAGGCGGGAGGCGAGCTTCTGCTCGTCCAGCAGGGTCTCTATTCTGGCGACTGGGGTGCCTTTGGCGCTTTCGTTGCCGCCCCCGTGGGGAGCTTCATCTGGGCTTTCGCCGCCCTGGGTCTACGCCTCACGTACCAATTCGTTCGCTCCAAGATGACTGGTCACCCATTCACGGCTCTCGACCCTCCCGCCCGAGCTTCGGCTCACGACGAGGAGCCCGTTGAGTATACCACCCAGAACGAAGTGGTTCCTACCAAGGGGCCAGGCAAGTTCTTCTAGACGGGCTGGTTGCATAGTACGTAGCTACTGGTGGCTCTAACCGCCCGGTTTCGACGGTAGGCTGAAGCTTGAGGGGATATACAGTGGCTAATTTGGGGGTCTGGCTCTGGGACTTGGCTTGGGCCACTATTGGCTTCAACCAAGCTGAGTTCTATGGAGAAGTTTGGGGTCAAATGAACATCTGGCGGTTTGTTGGGTAGTAGTTTTTCTTCTTCTTCTTTCTTTTTGCATACTCGATGAGATAGTTCCTGAATTCATTGATCCATTGACTTGCATCTTAGTTTGACCTCGTTCATCAACGTGAGTGTTTGAGGTCGTCGACTATGGGATACCTTTGGGGCCCTTGCCGCAGCAGTGAGTTTACCCACGCCTTGCAGGATGTGCTGGATACCCAATGTCCGTTCGGCACCGAGCTGCCGTAGCCGTATCGCCGCACTTCGTGTGAGGATCTTGATACGTCGTACCGAGCCAACTCAATCCTCGGCAGGCGCAAAGAGGCCACTGTCTTGCTGAGAGGGGCTCGATGCAGCATGCCTGTTCAACCTTGAGCTGGCACAAGGGGCTTGCGCATCCTTGCTAGGATGGGCTGAAGGCATCAGCCGATCCAATTCTCAGCCGATGCAAGGAGCCGTCTCATTCCCGAGAATGTGCCCGATGCGTCATGTTTACTCGGCACTGTGTAGTTGCAACTCTCTTGCCCGCCTTTCATGAGATAGGATCGATGCATTATGCCGATCCAATACATTGACGACTTGGCCCGTCTGCCCACGCTCCCATGCATGTACTTGATGCATCGTGCCGGCTCAGCAATCGACGATACAAAGGGACAGCCAATCTCGCTGAGACGGGCTACATGCATGATGCCTGTTCAACCATCGTCGGCCTTGGTACGGATGTACACACAGCCATCAGGCAGCGAGAGTGAGTTGCCAACACATGTGTGATACCTGACGGCGGTGGGCTCATCTGCGCCAAGGCGCCCCCTTGGTATCAAGTCGGGCGGCAACCTCCTTCGGAAAGACTCGTAGGAGGCATGCAAGAGCGGCAAAAGAGCAAGTAACACAAACGCCCCCTGCAGCCTGAAAGCCAACGGGGCCAGAGAATCGTGCTCAAGACATCATCGGCGTTTAAATGAAACAGTCATAGCGTTGTCCGTCCTCAAGGCAGTATCATTGCTGACGCTGTGTACAACAAGTCCCACAGACATCACGCAAGTGAGGCTGCAATGGAGCCATTCAGGCAGAGGAGAAGGCATTACGTTCGTCAGGGCAAGTGTACACGCCAGATAGCCTTGAGATGGACGTTGTCTGTGAGCGGCTTGGTATGAGCTGCGATGGGTGCGAAACTCAGCCGTGATATCGCGTTTCTCGCTTGAACTTGGTTCGCCTGTCTACATAGTCAAGAGCAAGCCAGTTCACATCACGGCACACTTGCTCCGGAAGGCGAACTCGCTGATCTGCCGATCATATGGCATGAAAATTCTGCCCAACTTGAAACTGAGGAGGCAGCCAGAGGGTGTGTTGCACGACAGACGTTAGCTTGTCTCCTCTTGCTCGTGTTGTCTGGCCGTCTATGATTACCCCCAGGGCTGGCGTAGAGGAGGCGTAGAGGAGGCGTAGAGGGTGGATGAAAGGCTTGGATGGGTCGCCGGGTGCTTGCATCAAATATGTGCTTGGCCAACCACTCATCGGTCAGGACGGGGGGAGTGGGGTTGGAGCCGACAGCAATATCGGAAGGTCCCAGGCATCCAGCCCGCCCTGCTCAGATGTCGTCGCCCGCGCTCATCAAACAGGCTGGCCACCGGTCTTCTGCTGGCTGGATGGCGGGAAGCGGGAAAGCGAAAGGCGGCCTCTGGCTTGCAACCACTGCGTGCAGGCAGCCGGTCTAGAAGGTTCCCTTGTTGGATCCAATCATTCGAGCCAAGGTCAACGGATCAACGCTTGGCATCGCACATTTCGAACGCTTCGAACGCGCAACGCAAACGTGCAGCTGCAACCGCGCTTTGGGCAGACGCCACGGACTGCCACCGTCCAATTGCAGGTCGTGCACGTCGTTCCACATGCATATCAGCCATGGATAGGGCGTGCGAAATGCCGACGGCCGACATTTGCTTTCGACTCACAATCTCATGCAGACGGGGGGCAAAACACCGTCAACGCCCGTTTCTGTTTAGCGTGACGGCTTCCTACATGAATGAGAGAGGAGAGTTGTCGTGTTGACGAAGTCGGTGTCACCAATTTCCAGGCAGCCCCGATCCCATTCAGCTCCTGGCGTGTTCTCGACCTCGGTCGCACGCGTAGCTCTCTGGCCTTGCGGTGCAATCCATTGTTTGCTATCTCCTTTGATTTTTGGCTTTTGGGGACCGGGTAAAACTGGGGTCGGATCGATCAAGATGGGAGGGCGTTCGGCGACCCTGGGACCCCAGATGAATGGTAGGGTCTGTCAGAATAAGCGATTGTTCCTGGCCTGGAGGAAACTGGTGTGGGTGGCTTCCTCCAATGACAACTCGGCTTCTGCGGGTGTGTGGAGGCTGCGGCAGAGTCATAGTCGACACAATCACACGGGTACCGACAACGCCATCTCCACCTGAGCTGAGCAGCCATTCTCGTGCGATCGCTTTCTCACTTTCATGTGTTGAGGTGCGTTTGGCGGGTACCTATGCTGCCGAATTGTATGGCACTGTACACGGATGCCTATGGTGCAACCAGAAAAATACCAAGGAGAAGAGCCCCGTTGTTGTCACACTCCCGTAACCAATCTAGAGATGATCATCAGCCTGCAAGAAGCGACTTGCAGCAGTGGCTGTAGAGAGTATGACTGTCAGAGCGTTGACCAGGGGTGGTGATGGTAAGTTGCCTTCACGGAGAGGAGGAGGCGATGAAGCCCAGCGCCAGTTGGGAGGAGATTCAGAACAACCTGAGGCCAGTTCCTAGCTCGCCGGATGGCTATAAAACCCAGCTTGATTCCCTTCTCTGGCCTTCTTTTTTTCCTTCCCTCTTCACACACAGAAGAACCATTCGACAATCATATAAAGTCTTCACATCTTCCAGTATCTCCTGCCCATCCTTCTCATTTGCCCCCCAACACTCACGTTTTCCTCCACACTCGACCACTGCCATCTGCACTCAAGCACCATCCTCTTCTCTTGTCATTGACGAGCATCTCCTTTTGCAGTACCTGAAGACCATTGTCTCCGCCTCAGCAACATTCTCTGCTGCTTTGCTTGCCAACCTTTCCTCTCTTGGTTTGTCTGCCGAACATCGTCTGCTCCTGAGCAACGGCCTCTCCTCCTTCTCATACTCAGACATCATCTTCTGCACTTGAGCAGAATCATTCCTCTCTCCACATCCCCTTAGCCCGGCAGCACTACCGTCTGCCCTTGAACAGATTGCTTCCGCCCTTCACATTCTGTTGATCAACGATATCTGCGTACCGCACTTCCTCGTTGCCGCCGCACAAGATTATACACGTCTCTTCACGTCTCACTTCCATCCCGCAAGCTTCACTCTATCAAAATGGCCGTCACTTGTGAAGTTCGAGAGCCCGTATACCCTGTCTTCCCCCGGGACTCCTCACACGAGACTCCAGAGGCCATCGAACAATTGACGACAGGTCAATTCCGTGTCAATCATCCCGGGGATATTGCAGTAGGAAGTGCGACTGCCAATGCAGCGGCAGCGCTCAATGAGTGGTATCCCCAGCTCGTAAGTATCCAACCATCTCATCCCATGGCAGTCACTTTCCACCCCCCCTGCCCTTTCTCATTGGTTCGGTACCCTCGTGCTCTGTCAGGCAGAATTCTAACGATGCTTGCACTAGGGGGCGCTCATCTTGCAATGGACGTCTCGAAATGGAGCACTTGTCCAGCGCGAGGCCGAAGCTGAGCCACTAATCTTCCCAATGGGACGAAGCCTTTTCGCCACCCCCCCCAACCGAGTCGCCATTGTTTTCGCGCTCAACAGCAAGAATCAGTGTGCCGGGGCCGCCATCGCCAAAGGCATGGCTCGCAGGGCAGCCATCCGGGCAGGCCTGCACCTTGATGATGACGATGAGGAGCCGAGAGCCCGCTGGATGGTCCGAACAAGGGTCGATGAGACTCATGTGCTAGAGCAGCCAGTCTCCGTCCGGTCAGGGGATTCCGTGGTCCTGTCTCCGGGCCAGCAAATTTTCGAGCTGCATGAGGATGGCAGCGACCAGCAGATGTCGGTCATTTGGACCGAGCATCAGCTGTACGCTGACCCAACGCCAAGGGAGGAGTCGGACGGGGAGCTGACCGAGGGTGACTTGGCCGAGGAGGAGCAGGGTGAGGAAACGCTGACGGTGAAGGAGTAGTCATCCAGATGGGCGATGGGGCGCTGTGAGGCGGTAGACAGTTTCTTCCCTTCCTTTGCTAGGTAGTTTATTTTTGACGATGCTGGGCCGGGTCTTGTGTTTCGCATGGTGTTGGGTTTTGGGTGCGCATTGCTGGGATTCACACTGAATCACAGCAGGCGCCGGATGGTGGACCGGAGTGGTGAAGGAGATGGATGTTGCAGTCTCGAGATGAATTGATAGCCCACGACTGCGCCAGAGCTCGGCCAGTTGTGGCCGCCAGAGTTGCACTGCAGTATGCATTCCCTTGTTGAATAAGAAATGAAGTGACAGTGATGACCGTGCCAGAGCTTGGATTGGATTAGATTGGATTGGATTGGCTTCCAATACCAGACGACGCCTCCAGTGCGCACTGCATTTGATGTGTGAATGCATGTACATAGCGCGTGTGGCTGCAGCTTTACATCAAATTGTGGCCGCCAAGATGGGCAGCGCCAAGCTGCGTGCGCACCACCACAATGGCACCCAGCATTGGCCAATCACTCGCCGTATCCGTGCAGATAGGCCCGGAATTAATTTCTTGCAGCTGTTGCCCTCGTTTCGCGAAGCTCGTCATTGGTGACACCCGCAGAGAGTCAGCGACAGCCGTGGTGACGCCTGTACCCCAGCCGGCATGGCGCATGCTGCTACTGTTCTAGGGGATGTTCTATTTGTCTGGAGACTGCGCTATGCATAGTCGTGTAGCAAAGCTAAATCTTGGTTCCTATCGCTTGCGCGCGTCTCTTGTTGTGTGGTTCGTCTCAATTTGAGGATGATTGGACTTCGACGGCAGTGCTGCGAGTGCCGCCGCCGCTACCGGGGGTTATTTTTGTCAAGCGGCCGTGGTAACGAGATGGCAGCAACCCCAGAAAATTCCATGCCATTTCCAATGCGGGCGCAGGCGCGTGCCAGAGTCTCCTTGGTGTTTCCTAGCCATTCATTCATTCATTTAGCATTTGGCTCGGCAGTCGAGGGCTTGCCGAGCCCACATGGGCCTCCCGTCTGTTTGTCTGAGCTCGAGCTGCAAGCAAGCGCGGAGATGGAGGACCCGATAAGGAACGGGACATGGGCGCACGCCAGATGGGCAATTCGGCAATTGTGGAGAAGGCAGGTGTATTTTTGGCCCTTCACAAGATGAGTTTGGTCCTCGCCTGTCACCGACTGCTGGTGTGTTGACTGGTGATTGGTGTGAGTATGTCCGGGTACGGCGGCTAGCCAAACCGACTCGACCCCGCCAAGCAGCTCGACCCCGCTCGCAGCAGTCAAGTGGTGACTGCGTGGTGATGGTCTCGTGGGAGGGCTGGTTGGGTAGAAATCATGCGAGGTGAGCTGGCTGAGGCAGTTGGCGATACGGGGGACGGCGACGACGTCTGGGAGAGCTTGGGAGGAGCAACCACGGTGTTGGGACAGCCAACATCAAGATCGATCTTGATGTTAGCACCAACAGCATACGGGCTACAGCCAGAAACAGCAAGTGGCCACAGCCGCCCCCGTCCTCTTTGGCTGCCTGCACCGCCAGTTCTGTGGGGATTTTGCCCGGGTAGCTGGGGTCCGTCGTGGGGCCCGACGATGGAATGACAAGCATTTGGGGCATCTGTGTAAGCGCCTTTCTTGGAAGCGCCTTGGTTCGAGATGGTTGCATCCCAACCGGCTCCCAGCAGCCAATCCGCCCGTGTTGACAATATTCACCGCACAACAACATGGTCAGGCGGGGCCATGCGTTCCCTCAATCTTCTGCTTCCCCCCAAAACATTTCGCTCATCAAACTCTCTTGATAAAGGGTGTATCGCGTCCGTCTTCCAAGCTTGATTTTGCTTTGCCCTCATCTCATCCCATCTCGTCTCTTTAATGACGTCTCTGCCTCTTCGCAACCCCCCAGCCGCCCAACCTCCGCCACAGTACCCGACCTGCAAGATGCTTGCCATGCCACCAGGTATTCCAGCCGGAATGGTCCGTGGCTTCCAGTTCTCTCTTTGATCAAGATATAATCCGCCAAGGCCGCTGACTCTCTTCTTCTTTAGGTTGCCGATGCTCCTATTCTCCGAATCCCGTGTCTCAGGGCAGCACCGCAGGCACAGCCCGAACCCGTCGTCCACCGACAACCACCCCAAATGGAGTATCCTCAGGGCGGAGGTCTCTATGACGACCCATACGGACGCTCGCCGCATGACCCCTTCTTCAGACAGCGCAACCCGGTCACGTACCCTTCACAACACCCCGTGCTCCCTCCTCGAGGCAATGAGAACCATCACTACATGCTCCCTCGGGTAACTGAGCACCCTCAAATGCAGCACAAAATCCACAAGTCATATCCCAGACATCAGCGTCACCGTTCGGGTTCTGGCTCTCCGCCGAGAAACGAGCCCATCCTGGCTCCCTATCCCTCCATTCATGGCTCAGCTCAGAGACCACCTCGCATGCCGAATGTCAACACCCCGTCCAATTATCTCTCGGTCCCGTCGCTACAAAAACCCGACTTCTCTCTCCAGGCACATGAGTCCCTGCTTCGTCAAGCCGCCATGCGTGCTGCTTTGCACAACGGGATCCGCCAAACCAAGCCCGTGGTTGTAAGTCACTTCTTTCCTCCACCAGTCTTTCTAATCATCTTCTCTTCTTGCCTCTCTCTGGCAACAAATTTCTTGTCAGCAGACTCCTCTGTACACACACAAACTAACAACTTTTGGCAATAGGAGCGGCCGGTCCGACATCCGTTACCTTCTGGGCGACCTGGAGATCTAAACAGAATGCTGTAAGTCCCGTTCTTCAGAGCATGCTTCCCAGGGCAAAGGGCTAACATAGTGTGTTCTTCTCTGCCTCTAGACCCCCAGTGCCGAGACAAACTCGCCGGACGCTTAGCGACAGAGAGAAGATTGACATATGTCTCTTCCACGAGCACCACAGGTCTTTAACCCATAAGGACATTGCCGATAAGTTTGGTGTGGAGAGAACGTAAGAGCAGCTGAGCCCTCAGATGCCAACTCTTAGGCCCTCATGCTAACGCAACTTTAATAGCACCGTAACCAAGATCTTGCTGAACAAGCAGCACCATCTGCACCCAGGACAAAATTGATGAAAGGGCTTTGTGTACAATGAGATTGATTTATTTCGTGTTTAGCGTCGGGAGTTAATTTGGTCTGGTCATGACGGTCGCATCGCAAATAATGGAACAGTCTGTCGAACGAAAACCTAGCGCAGGTTCAAAGGGAAAAATGCATTGTACTCCAGCATGAATGGAGGTTTGCCGAAGAGGCTGTCTCCTCCAAACCTGTGTGAAATGCAGACAACCACTAGGGGCTCTGAAAAATTCTGTCGTAGAGTGGTAGGGCAAGACGGCAGTTGAGAAGAAGCAAGAGGGCGAATTGCTTGAACCCCTGGGCGGAACCGATGACATGCAACCAACGTGGCTAGCTGGGGAGCGAATGGAAGCCTTAAATAGTTAGCACGAAAGCCATCGCCGTGTGATTTCGAGAGATCATGGACGAGAACCCGAGTCTCAGGGCCCAGGTCCGAGGGTTTTGAACCATTCCTCGAAAGCAGCTATTAGAGCAAACAAGCGGTAATCTTGGAAGGGATTACTTGGCGAAACATCGTCCAAAGATTCGCAGAGGATCAGGACAAGGGGTTTTGGAGTTTGAGGGGCAATTGAGCTAGGCTAAGTTGCAGAACGTAGAAGAATGTGAACTTGGTTAATGCCTCTTGCTGGGGCACGATGCTTGTTAGTGTTGCTTCAGACAGGGGGTTGTATTGAAATAACAAGGGTATATGCCTGATCTCACTCTTCACAGCAAACCTGACCGATTTGTGATTCAATTGAAGCAGAGCACGGAAGCAACTATATGGAAGTTGATCAAGGGATAAAATCAACACGCCAAATATTCTTCATCCGGGTTACGGTGAGGAAAGCGCAAGGATAGTCCTAAAATGAATATTATTCCGTACCCAGAAGTGTGACAGTCAAGATCAATATGTAGAAAGTCGCTGTACTCACATGGCAACCCGGAGTGAAACCCAACAATGCTAAATATTGATATAACAAAGGTAGTAGACAGGGGGAATTTCCACAGCGGCAAATAGAGGGCAGCATGCAGATGCTCGGTGTTGACGAGAGTTGTAGCCAGAGGACGGTCGTGACCCTAGGGTAAGGTAGCTCCAATTTCAGCAGTGAACAGCAGCTGGGTGGCAATGGAATTCATCGCTGTAACATTGAAGGCGACAACGAAATGGAAGATGCAAAAAGAAAGAGAATCATGAGAGAAAAAAAAGGATGAAACGAGGACTGCGAATCATCTGGATTTCGAATGGGAGCCCTCTCGCTTGCGCCTGGCATGAGGACTCGTGCGGGAAGCAGCGAAGGGTGAGGAGCCTGCACGTACCAGGTACCAACCTCGGGCGGCCTTTCCATACAGTTGCCCCGTACAGTATACAAGGGGAACAACCGGTCCGTCTGGTTTCCTGATTAGGCAGGATGACCACAGGGAAGGCGCACCCGTTGTGAGCATTGTGGCCCGCGTAACGAGTGTAGGCAGGCACTTAGGTACATGGCACGGTCGTGGCCTCCGGGAGCTGTTGCTGGAAGCTTCTCGCTGGAAGTTGTCTGATCATGATGCCTTAGGTATTGCTGCGCAGTCAGATGTAGGTATGCTTTGTTAGGTACCTTAGTATGTTGGGTAAATTGACAGGTGCGCGGCAAAGCCATTTGCTAGCTGATGTTGCTTGGCGCAGCCTCTTGGTGTACCACAATGATGCACCTAGATGAGAAGCGAGGGGTTTGGCTCTCCCAATGCTCCTGCTTCGGTCTGGACGCGAAATTCGAACTAAATGCATGGCGCCACTGTGTGAAGTGACTGGTCGCCCAGCCGAGTTGATGCATGTGGGAAGTGGTGATGTTCAAATTCTCCCCCCTCCCTGAGTCTGGGGTCTGCCGAGCAGTTTGAGTCCAGACGACAGGTGGTGCATTCAAGCATGCCGCCTTATTCTCCGACGCAAATGTTTGTTTAATTGCCTTTCGAGGGAGATTTAACACAGTGCTTCACTCAGCTTTCACAACATGCTATCACGTACTTAATAACCATTGGCAAAGAGTGGGACGTCTTTCCCCGCAACTTTCTATCCTCCTTTGAGGGATCATGTTCTAGATCAATTGAATTCCCCGGGAAGAGGGGCCAGCTCTGGCTTTTTATTTAGCGATCTAGTGGAAACCACCCAACCACCTCCATACGAGCAAAATCCAAACCTTATGCACAATTGACTCTGTCGATTGAGTTTGACACATACAAGATCAGATGATCTTCCAACGCAAAACCTAATTGTTAAACAGGGTAAGTCTGGGGACTTGGATCAACCACTCAGAGATGATATCGACAATGTTTGTTGGAATAAGTTCGCGTCGGGGAGGGGGCCAATGTGATTGGAGATGGTCTTGCCGTAATGCTCCCGCAATGCTCATTTAAAGTACGCGGGGCCATCGAGTGCCTGTACTTAGGAGAGGGGATGGTTGATTCATGATTGCTTGCTCTTCACGGATGTTTTAGCCCACCATACTAAGTAAATTGATTAAAAAATCTTCAAATCAAATCTACTTGACCAGAGTAAGCCGGGGCATCACTCCTTCGCCATGTCCCAGACAGCTCCAACTAGCCAGGATCACAAAACGACAATGCCTCGGGACCAGATTGATGAAAAGGGCGAGGGCCTCGAGATAATCACGGCCAGCATGTTCCGTATGGGCACCAGTTCCATGTCAGAGGCCTTTAAGATCCTCGGCTACAATCCACATCACGGCCTGGATGACAGCCGTAAGATCCCTTGGGTTCAAATCGAGGAGGCCGCCGAGGGCAAATGGCCTAGCACATCTGAAGCGTCTGGCGTACGTCGTCGCAGACGCAGCGGCAAGTACACAAGGCAGGAATGGGATGCCGTCTGGCACGAGTATGACGCCGTGACGGACATCGCGGCGCCGTTTGCTGCGGATCTTGCAATGCTGTATCCGGAGGCTAAGGTCATCGTCGTCCAGAGAGATTTTTACTCGTGGTGGCCTAGCTTCCTCAATATCAACCTTGGATGGCGTTTCTTCTGGGGCGCCGAGCTGATTACAACACTGCTTGGTATATTCAACATGCGGGCTGGGCATGCAGTCAGGAAACTGTACTTTGGGTTGTTCCAGGCCCATTCGATCGACGAGCTTCAGGCCAACGCCCGGCGCGGTTATGAGGACTATTTTGCGGAGATTCGGCGTGTGGTCCCTGACCCTAGGAGATTGGAATACAGGCTGGGCTCAGGTTGGGAACCATTATGCAAGTTCTTGGGCAAGGAGGTGCCGGACGTGCCGTTCCCAAAGGTCAATGACGGGGCGGAGCTCGAAGCGTGGATGTTCAACGCGTTTGTCGACGCCATTATGCAGACGTTCATCATACCTCTGCTCTATGGGACCGGTGTTGTCGCTGTATTGTATCTACTTTGGTCCCTGTACGGCTCAGCAATGCGTTAATTGCTGGTCTGGTCGGGTGGAAATGTGCATGGAAGCAGCCAACGGCTCACTGAGACTGTTGTTCGTTGCTAGTCGAGACGTATCAATGAAACCTGCATCATTCCCGTTAAATTGTGAATTGTGACACGCCGCCTGGGCAGAGAGAGGTAAAAGAAAAGAAGGATACACCTAGGCTTACGCAACAATAGTGCTTGGACGATGCATCTGTCTGCGACAGGAGCTGATAGTCTTGTTTCGCAGTGTCCCGGATCCGACGAAGAAGTGGAAGGGGGTTCGGAGTTACCGAACGCTCGACCCTCTCCTTCTTCCGTGCCCGGCCATGGCCAATCCCACGCCGACAGGATGCCTGGTGACCCGAGATAAAACACGGCTGGCGATCGGCATTCTGCTCCTCTGCTGTCTAGGGATCTCGTCCGAAAGCCACAGACCAGACTCGACCGCTCGACAGTCTCTCCCCTCGACCCAACCAGCACTAAAAGAAGTAGCAAGCTACCTACGGCTGGAAAACAGACTATTGCGCCAAGGACAGCCGTAACCTCGCTTGCTGCAGGATTGGTGGTCCCGGCAAGGGACATGGGAAAAGGAAAAGCAAGAAAAAAAATCCCTATTCACGGTTGTCAGCTGGTTGTTACACACCAAGTTATCGCTTTGGCTTGGGACGCCAGTCTCAACATGTCTTGGACCGCGAATTAGCCCGCGCAGCTGAACTCTGCTACCCCCCAGTGTAATTATGCATGTGGTGTGCCGCCAGCCGCTAAAATAGAGCGAAACCCAAAAGTGCAGATCACGTATGGAGTCGTCTGTGTTTGTGTGCACACGGTACCTACCTACTTACCTTGACACTTGACGTTCAGTCCTTCAGCATCACCACATGCGACAGGTCAGTGTGAAGTAGCTCGGCGGACATTTGATGAGAGCCACAAGCTTGGCTTGGCTTCTTTTTCTTGTGGCTGCTTCAATTAGTCTGATGACAATGGGAAGATGTAAGCACTACCTACTTCGAGCTGGGCATCGGCTCATTCTTACTGGCCGTCTGCCGTGCCGTGCCGTGCCAACAGCGGGGATGGACCACAGGAGAATTTCCACGGTGAGGGGTGGTCTTGACCCAGGCGGCCGACAAAAGATCGGATCTTGGTTGGCTCGATACGGCTGAGTTTCAATGGCGAGGAGAACGATGCAAAATGCAATGTCTCGATGGCGACTTGTTTGCTCGGTCTGAAGCCGAAGTCGAATGATGGATGGAACAAAGTACGCCAATCGCTCCTTCCGGGCGGGACGTGCCGTGGTCGGCCCTTTAGCTGGCGCTGCCTGCACTCAATCACACTACCGTAGCGACCTCCTTAGGTACTCAGCCCACTAGGGATATCAGTGGCCACAGGGACTGCACAACGCTACGATACCTCTGGGGCATCGCTGTAAGCTTCTACGGGGATTTGCCTCGGTACAGTAGTTTGGATTTGCCAGTCCAGCCTGTCCAGCAACCCCTCTGCACCACCACCCACACCAGACTAACCATCCTAATGGAAGTCGAGGTACATAGCCTTGTTGTTTTCGGACCGGCTCAAGGTCTTGTCTAGATCAGGTCGAGTCCTTGCGGCTGAACCCAATGTCTCTGCCTCGTCCATTATTCAAGTCGGGACAATGAAGCCCTAGTGGTGCAACCATGAGACAGCTTGCATCTCCACCCTCCCAACCACAGCGAAGGAAAAAGAAAAGAAGAGGGAAGCGTAGCACGTGCACATCTGTAGAGCCGCTGGGAAAGGTCGAAAATCAGGGCTGGAACTTGGGCGCCCCAGTAGTCCTCCCACGATGCGGCCGCGTTGTGCTGAAAACACCCCTCCTCCTCGACGGTCAGCCGTCGCCCGACGACCTGCACGAATGACTGAAGGAGCATGTTCGACCTACGCTATTGCTCCTCCGCTGGTCCCTGCCGCGCCTCGATGATGCATATTTGTCCCCATTAGCCTGCACGAGGGAAGATGCCACTTTGCCAAAGCCGCGATCCAACCCATGCGCTGTCGTCGCTCAGGAGCTGGAGAGACGAGTCGACTCGGAAGGCCGCCCATTGGACAGAAACGTCGATGGTATAAGTTAAAGGAGGTCTAGGAAAAGCAAATGGGACCTCTGCACTTGGGAATCTTTTGCTTTTTCTTCTGTTTCCACCGCCACCATGACCACCATCCACCAATACGGATTCAGATGGAAAGGGAAAGGCTCTCGTTCGCAGCCGGCCAGATGCATATTCGATTGTTCACAGCTACGAATCCCCGCGCAGACCGATCGCGTGCAAGGATGAACCACACGCAAGGCTTATCAGCTTCCGTCCAGACTCCTGGTTATTCGTAGCTTGGCATATGTCCCTAAAGTTGCCGGCCGCTAGGGCCATCCCTACCACCGGCCGAAGAACGACTTGAATGGATCAAGAACAGAATAACAGGAGCCCTGCCGTGTGAATATCATATGATTCAACGCAACCTAGTGTTCACCCTGATGTATCTAGTGGCTGCATGTCTTACCCTCGGATTCAATACAAAAGAAAAGTCGATGGGGCGCGGAACGACGCGGTCGGCGAGTCCTCTGGCCTCATCCTCGAGTCCTAGATAGTCTGGGTTTTGCTCCTCTTTTCGCCCCTGACCAAAATATTACAAGATCTGCCATCTTCCTTCCGCGGGGAAGATTCCCCTTGCTTGTTCTTTCCAGCTTTCGCAACCCAAGCTGAGCCCACAAGCTGTCTCGTCCACATGCTCTTGGACGTTCGTTTTGATTCACATCCTCATGCCCCACTGCCGTCATGGCTCCGTTCACTCCTTCCCAGCAAAGGGCCAGCCAGCATCAGGGCAACAACAGCGACAGCCTCGAAGATCCCGCAGCCCCTGCGTTATCGACGAACGCACTTCCTCCCGACTGTATAGATCCATCTTCTCTTTCCAACGAGGCAGTTCACCCACGTTCCAACAACCATCAACTCCAGGCCGCTGCCCCAAACCCAATCAGCTTCTCATTAAACTCCTACAACTCCCCATTCGTGTACAGCCCCCCAATCCAGCCCAATACTTCCTACACGCAACAGACTACAGCCCAGCAAGCTTATCCTACAGGCCAACTCAACCACTCTTACACACAACAGGCTCCCGTGCAACAAGCCTATCCTCCAAACTACTACGTGTCTCCTGCATATCCATACTCTTCAAACAACCCTCTCGGCCCTACATGGCAGGCTTCCCCCCTTCAATACCAAACACATTATAATCCCTCGCCCGTGACGTACCCACAGGCTTCCCTTCGTAACACCGCTGCTCCTCCACAGCAGCCAGAGCAACAGAGCACACGGCCGCGGCAACTAGCTCCGCGGAATATGCACCCCCCAGTCGGGATGAGCAATGGGAATAACACTGTCATGCAAAGAGAGCAATCAGCCAGCCAGGCCACGCATGACCAGCACCCAACAAGCTATGCCATGCAGAAACAGCCGGCGACTCCAGTCCGGGACATTAATCGTTACAACATTGAGGAGGTCTCTCCTCGCTCCAAGCCAAGTGCGGTCCCTACAGAAGACTACAGCGGCCTCATGGAGGCAGCACAGGCCCACCTTGCACGACTGAACCAGCATGTACCACAGATCCAGGGGAAAAGCCCTCCCACAACTCAGTCAAGGACTGATTCTACCATCCCTCCTTTGTCACTACCTGCTCCGGGACAATCGGCGGCTGTTGTTGACAACGCGTCCACGGCCCAAACAACACAAACAACACGCCAGTTCGTCGATCTGACTCGACCTCAACCCAGCAACGCAGCCCCTCAGGAGCATCAGGAACCAGAAACCTTTGAGCAACTCTGGGACAGCTTAGATTCTTCAGGATTTGACTCCCAAAACCCAATCGTCATCAGCGGTGATCAGCAGGAGCTGCCTGTCGACTTCCCTGAGGTCCTCGAGACGAATCATCAAGCCGCACAGGCAGTGTCTGGCGTGTTGAGCCAATCCAGTAAGACTCTTGACATCCCCCTGAGAAGCAAAGCTGTGAGAGACGAGTTGAACAGCGCCCTGGCCGATCCGTCGATGGTGGTGGCGTCAGAAGTTTTGACCTCGGTGGGCACCATCAAAGCGGCGCCGACGAACCAACACTCGTCGGCTCCGCCCACGGGGATCTGCCCTCGACCTGTCCTTGGGATGGACGGGCCGCTCATAAGCCTCGTGGCCCCCGGTCACTCCGCAACTGTGAGACCAGGACCTTCTGCTAATACCCGTCCGTGTGAAGGGGGTTATACGCCACTTCATAGTCTACCGTCGCCACCCGGCGCAGCTGTAAGCCAACAAGCTCCATCGGCCGACCTTCTGTCTCCTCCGGCGCGTCCAACAACCGGCATTACGTCCCTTCCGCCACCTCTAACGGCCAGCTTGGCCTCCCTCCCGCCAACTACGTCAACCACATTCATGTCACCTCCCCATCCTCCGGCTCCCATCAATGCTGGCAACTCTCCTGAGCAGGCTGGACTTGTCTATATGCAAAACAACCTTTCTCCTCTACAGCCTGGAATACAACCAGGTGGCACTCCACAAGCAGGGCCGTTGGGCCAGTTCCATCCTGAAGGCTCATATAGCGTACGAACTGGCTCAAGCCAATCATTCACATCTGCAATAAGCCACAAGCCACCGGAATCACTCAGAATGATGGCGCAGAAGAACGCCCAGGCCCGAAAGCGCAAGTATGTGTTTCTACCCCGCATCCTATCTTTCTTTTCAACCATCTTCTGTTGCACACTTCGGACCAGTTCTCACCTATCCTCGGATAATAGGCAGAGGGAGGCCTTCAGAAGCGTCACCCCGCCTCACTCTCCCCATATTGTTGGGGAGGTGGGCTTTCCAAGCGTCATGGCAGCATCACATGTCAATGAAGGCGAGCCCAGCAAGCGATTCCGGACCGAGACGCCCCTCGAGCCGTTCCCGACCTTTGAGGGCAGCCACCAGGCAAACGAGTCACGGCCACGGCAGCAACTGTTTCCAGGCTACGTGGACAATCGACAGGCAGCCCCGCCAGCCACAGCCTACACGAACTACCAGCAGACACAAGCAGCCAACCCACCCTACATGATCAGCCAAGAGACACAAACCGCACCGCCAGCGCACATGATCAATCAGCAGACTCAGGCATCAATCCCCCGCCCCGACACTCTGCCCACTCGGGTGGACCCGCAGATGGTATGGATATAAAGCCCTTTCTTATCGTTTCACTGTCACAACCTCACTGTCATCCTGCCGATCTTCTCATGATGCTGGATCTGCCTTATCATTCATGCTATCATTGGACTTGAGGGCTGACGCTATCTACAACCACATCACCTGCTCACCTCTCCGTAACCCCGTACTTTGTCACAGCCAACTGATAACCCATGCACAACAGGACGAGTAACAACGTACGGGCGATACTAATCTCTTCACAGCTTGCCGCCATTGGGCCCTACGCGATGCTGTTCTAGACCGGCGTCACAAGAGCCCCCGGCTCGGGGCTTTCAGGCTCGGGGCATTCAGGCTCGGCCGCCTCGCTCTTGCTTGGCAATGGCATCACACAAGGGCATCATTCCTACGACAAGTCTTGTCTTTCTTTCTATATTCCTTGTTTTCCTATTGAGTTTCTTTATCATACAAGGCCGGCAGATTTCACCGGGATGGATGGGAGTACCGCCGTGGACAAGTCGGCGGAGGGGTGAGAATAAGGAAAAAGAAAACCAAAAAGGGGCGATGGGCAAAACGGCGGAGGCAGCGAGCGATGGGTGTGGCATCCGAGGAGACACGGGCGCCGGGTTGTAATGAGGGGGCTGCATCGCGAGGACAATGGAACTACGGGGAAATGAGGAGCGAAAAGGATAAGGGAATTAAAAAAAGGAAACATGACAAAAAAAAAAGGCAAAAAAAGAAACGAAAAAGCGACTGCAAAAAGAGGGAAGGATTGAAGGGCCGAACAGAGTTTAGGACTGCGCTTGTATGTAACCTTTCGGTTGGTAGCCTCATCAAATCAGAAGCAGGAATTTCCTATGTCCGCTGCATGGAACCTCATGTAGAGTTTTGGGGCATCTTTTAAGGGGGGGGGGATAATTTGGAGGGAGGCCATGTAGGTTTGCTTGGGTTGTAGTATGAATGGGTTGGGCCGGAGGTTGATAGAGTCGGAGCTGTATGCAGAGCGTGCGTATACTTTGCTACAACCTAATTACTTATTGGGTGAATCGTATGGGTTGCAAAGTGTTTGCATGGAAAGAAGGTCGGCAAGGAGGCCTTGGATGCTACTCTATCTGCAACAATACGATGTGTGACTGGCATTCACTTCTTCCATGATTCCGTGCTGGGAGCCGCTGGCTGGCTGGCAGGCGTGGAGGGCTTGGAGGAGCAAGATGGATGTAGTGCGGGGGTTCATTGGCACGTTGGGCAGTCGTTGGAGGCAGGCGAGGTATCACCACATCACACCGTGGGATTACGAAGAGGAGGGTAAAGCAAGCATGATTCATGCTACGATAGCAGCCATGTGGTGGTGGTTCTGGTGATGGGGTCGGGGCGGATTGTCTGGCCGGACCGGCGGTTTGCATTGACGCCGCTCGTCGTTGAAACCATCTTGTGTGATATTGCGTCGTAGCAAGGCAGCGTCTGTACCCACCACCGATGGCCGCAATATTGGAGTTTTGACCTGCATGGCTAGAACGGGCAATGCGATTGCTGGCAGAGCCTCTCTCCGGAGCTCGGGAGTGGGCAAGCTCCTCTGGAAAGCTGGCATCAAATAATGCAACCTCGGTGTCCGCATCCGACCTGCCACCTCCAACTGGTTGGCTAGCTGGCAGTAATAAGTGTGCCATGCAATGATTGATACCCTGCACACCGGTTCTTGTTTACCAGTCCGTTAAGTCTGAAGGGTGCATTGATGGATGGGACACATCCGAAGCGGAAAGGTGGGAAACAAAACGGCGTCCAGTGAAACAAAACGAAGCTTCAGGTTGCCGATCCCATCTCTGAATTGCTTTTCCTGCTCGCCGGCTTGTGCCAAGTGGTACCAAAGTTAGCCACGCTGGTGCGAGTCTGCCTGAGCATCCTGACTGCACCGTGGACGGATTTACAGACACATGTTCGGCAAGCTGTGCCCTTGGTTGGACGATGTGTTGTACACAGGGCGGCTGGCAATGTAAATTGCTTCGCATACCTCCAGAGGTGCAACGTAAGCAAGCAACAGGCATGGCATGATACAGAAAGTAACACAAACTGCGCGGTGCGAGTCGAACCCGAATGGCCGTGCCCAACGTCTGGCGGATGGCGCAGGCTAGGGGAGGATGGGGGGATGTACATGGCCTTTTCGTGCGGGTGATTCCACGGGATTAAAGTTAGTCACTGCATTTCCTGTCATAGTCACATTGTGGACTGGCGGAAACCTGGAACAATTTGTTTTGGTCTGTTGGCTGGCGGCATGGGATTGGGATAGCTGCGGTGGTACAGTGCCTCTTCTTGCATCCGGAGGAGCCAACTTGCATCTCCTCATGGTTTGATTGGGCGCAGCAGGGATGCACCAGCTGAGACGCATTTTTCATCTTGCCGTCTTGGGGTCGCGTTTGTTTTCTCTTTCCACCACACGCCCTCCAACACGGCTGCGCATCTGCACAACGCAGCGGTTAGGTCGAGCTGTGCGACAAGGAGTCGGGCCAGTGTGAGACCTGTGGCGGCGGCGCAGGCAGCACATCCGTGGAGGACGAGGGCTGATGGATGGTGGACGGCTCGCTTGATTGCTCGACGCATGGAGGAGTGGATGCGGCGTGGGTGTGGGTAGACACGAAGGACATGAGGGATAATGGACACGAGAGACAGGACAAAAGAAACGATGCCCGGGGCTGAGCTGAACCTCGGACAAGCCATGGTGTGCCCTGTATTGCTCGGGTCTTTGTAATTAGCAGCAATTACCGACCCCTGGAAAGATCTCACAGGGACCAACACCAAGCCTCGTGGCGGCGGGGAAGCACTATACATACCGTAGTTACCGAGCCCACTGATCCGCGAATAGCTTATTGCCAAGGGTCCGTTCTGTGCTGTAGGGAGGACCTAGTTTCGGTCTTGTGTACAGTGATCTTCCCGAATCGATGGCGATGGCAGAGACATGGTCGATCCAGGACGGGCCCTACGTCTATTCCCAAGTTCGTGTGCTTCCATGGCAGAAAGGAAGGTGTCAAATGCTTGGCTTTGGCTTCCATCTCTGCATTCGTCGGCGGTGGTCGAGGGTCAAATGTCAAGCACCAGGTAGTGACACGGTACTTGTCGAGACATTTCATTTCTGGGCAACGCGAAGAGGACCCTGCGAGTGGGGGACAGGGTGGAGGAAGAAGACGAAGATGAAGAGGGAATGAGTGGGTGGAGGGTGTGCGATGGGGCATGGAGGGCGGAGGGTAGGATGGCAAGATGGGTGGGTGGTGGTGATGGTGTCCCCAGTGGATGGATGGATGGATGGATGGTGATGTGCCCTTATCCACGACCCACCACCCTCTTGCCTCATGTAACACAGCCAACTGGAATGACGGTGTGGGCGGAAGGAGCCAAGAAAATGAATCTGGGGAGACTTGCTCTAGTGGACGGTTCGTTTGCCTTGGGACAAGGGGTTACATTCTACCGGTACTTGGAAATTTGGAGCTTGCAGGTGAATGCTTTACCCACGCATTGACGTCGGGTGCGATTAGGTTGGAAATCACACTCTCTGGCATCTCCCCCCTGCTGCCCGATATCTCCATGTTGTGTTGTGCAAGAGGCAGCAAGAACACCACACGGAAATCGCCGTTTCTGATATCACTTTTGGTCATCGTGCCTGCCATCGGCCCAGAAAACCGCCGGTGCTACACATGCGAGATCCAATCAGCGAACCCGTGCCGTGCCTTTCTTTTTCTGCTGCCCTGCTGTCTGGCCCTTGCGGTATCCGATAGATAAAGTACATTGCACAGATTTCTTCGACACGGCCGGGCTGATGGACAAAATGTAGTCGACCATGCTTACACAGTCCTGTTGGACGACTGCTCCTCCCACCCTCCATCGTTGGCTTGGTCGTAGCGATTCATTTGTCGCCCACCACCGCATGGCATGTTATTGCTTCTCCGACCAGACAATTCCTCATTTTCGTTTGGACTATAATAACAGCACCTGTTCCATGGCTTCCATCTGGACCTTCTCCCCTTCTGTATCTGTTCTTCGTTTTTCAATCAACCCATTCATCTTCTCCATACTGGCTCCTTGGTAACCAGCTGCTCTCCAACCCAGACCCCTCTTCGACTCTCAAGACACCCACTGACGACTATCTAGACTGCCATTCATTGCCGTCTTCCATCCTCTCGTCCGGGAGAGACCTTCCTCTGCTAGCTTTCACGGCCAACCGTGTTAAAGGGAGGGCAGACGGGCTTACGGGTGCCTTGTTGGCCAAGCGGCATATTCCCCGGCTTGCGCAGGTACGTGATTCTATCCATCAGTCTTTCTCTCCTGCCCACCATCTCCTCCCTTGCTTCCTCAGCACGCATCGAACACATACCTTGGCAACACTCTTCCCTCCAACTCATGTCCCATGCCCATGTCACCCTGACTTCTCATGGCCTCTGGTGATTCCTCTTGCCCGGCAGCTTTTACAAGGCGTTGTATGCCTTCCTCATCTCCCGCATGGTTGTCAATGGCCATCAACGCGGGGCATACCCGTCACAGTGGTCCGCCCCCAGCAGGCGGCTGAGCGAGGATTTGTTCATGTTCCAAGTTACAAGTGGCTGACCCCTGTGAATCTTCCTAGAGTGTCACCCCTAGTCGGGTAGTTAATCGAGCACGATCCCCCGCCACCAGACAACATGAACGAGCGCGGAGACGGACAGGATGGCAACCATTCGTCTAGGCCAGACTCGCTACGTCGGAGCCGGCCCTCGACAATCAAATATTACCTCGCCGTCCTTCAGAGGATCATGTACTCCAAGCACCCGAAGCCGGCGCCAGTACAGCCCCCAGCCAGCCCAGGCCTTGCTGCTCCGTCGGAACATGGCAGGCAGTCGATGCCTCCTACCCCTCCTCCGTCGCCCGTGAATACAATATTCCATCTCCAATATCAGGCTCCGCTCTCCTGTCCTGCTGACCGGCTTGTGCCTTCGTTCATCAGACCTTGGCATGGCTTTGAGAATGGCCAGCAGGCAAGACTACAATCCATTCATTCCCATCTGCCGGACTCTGCCACATTCTTACCATCCCTTGACCATCTTGCAGAACTTGAGTCTTTGATGCTTTCTGAATCCCAGAATGCGGATTTAGGCTCTAAGCTCGTGCAGATATTCTTTCATTACGCGGTCGAGGTGCCTGTTGCCCAGATCATAAGTGTTTTAAACGCCTTGCCTACGGGTAGACCTTTACCTCTTATGGGCGGTGTGTTCTCCCCCCCGCACCTTGACACCTTCTCAACCTCCATCGCACCTCCCGCAAGAAACGCGGGAGAACAAGAGCAGCGCATCAATTGGTTGATTCCGAGCCAGAGTTACGTCTGTCGGAGAGAGGATAATGACCTACAAACCAAGATTCCCATCTGCGTCAACCAGTATCACTCGCCCGATGACCTGAATTTGTCCCACCTTCAGGCTGGCCTGGATTCACTAAGCAGACTAAGTGAACCTCTCACAAACTCTCATTTTGGAAGACTCAGGGAGGTTGGAGACAGCCCGAACTGGACTTTTGAAGAGAGGAAAGCCCTGTTGGCAGTAACCAATGCCTATACCGTCATGGTCAAGTCTGGTCTCTCATTTGGCCTTGTGGCCACTGGTGACGCTATTCTTTTCCTCACCTTGGACCCAGAGAATCCCGGCACCTTGTTCTTCAAGCTCATGAACCCCACCGTGGATGACATCAAGATAGAAGATGGACGCATCTACTCCAACAGCGCTGCTGCTGCCCAATGTCTCTCTTTCTACTTCCTTGTGCTTTTGGAAGCATCCCAAAACGGCAAATATGCACAGATGCCCAATACTCGGGGGTGTTACTGCAACAATTCCTTTGAAAGGGTAAGCGAGTCCATTCAGCGGCGTGGTTATCCCGAGGCTATCTCTAGTCCTCCACGCTTGACAGCGAACTGGCCTCCGCACCTGTGGCCTCCGGAGCCACCCCCGGTTCCGATATATGCAAAGAGTCTACAGCTCCCCTTCGCCCTTGGACCCTCGCCCAACCCGTTCCCTGAGATTGTAACCTCTCTCAATTCTCACCATTTGTCGCCTTCTACAATTTTCTGGACCAGAAGTGTCCAACTCTTTAAACAGAACACTTCATACTTCCCCATGGCCAATAGAAATGTGACCACTGTTCAAGGGATAGAGGCCTCGGGAGACTGGCCGGATATTCCTTTTGCCTCACATCAGTCTGCCCTCCCCCCAATTGACCTCTGTTCCGCTGGGGCCGAGGCCGATTACTTCACCACACTTCCTCCAATCGTCTCAAATTTGATGGGACATGCGGCACAAAAGCTCCCAATTCCACTTGGAGCGGTGCCATGCTCCCATCTCCCTACATTACTGCCAAGACCATCGCACAGCAGTCAGCCCCAAGCCGGTCAGAATATAGTCAACCCCGATGAAGAAATGACCAGGCGGTTGGCTGTAAGCATTCAGCATAGACAAGAGATATCCAATAAGCCAACAGGGGGACTTCAACCGACATCCGAAGATCACCAACCCCGCCGGGAGGATACTCTCGATGGATGGCGAGATGGCTGCACCAAAACTCAGTCGGATGAGGCAGTCGTGAAGTTGGGACATGGAGATGGTGGCGGGGAAGAGAAATACAATAGTACCGACCATCAGAAACGCGAACCTGTGCCCGCTCATGCCTTGCCGCAATCGACGGACGGGTCTTCCACCAAGTCCTCACCTGATGCCTCTTCTAACCCTTACTGCACTCACCTCTGCCTACTTGGGTTGATTGCGGGTCAGGTTGCCGACCTCGACTGCCCCAATGCTGGTCATCATCGCCGAGCCGATGAAGATCACAGTGACCTGAGGCACAAGATCGGTTATACTAAGTTTCTCGACCTCGTCACTGAAAATTTCCACCAGGCGAACGAAAAGAACCACAACTTCATTGATGAAAATGTCATCAAGGTGACACTGAGCGAGTACAGCTACACTTTTGTGTGTAAGCGCTTTGAGCAGTACAACAAGTCAGCCTTGGATCACGAGGTTGCCGTCTACGACAGACTTAGTTCCCTTCAGGGGAAGCACGTGCCTATCCTCTTGGGCCAGATTAGTCTGAGGCAACACATCAGAGAATACTGCGAGCCAAGATTGGTTCACTATACCCTGATGTCATCTGCGGGTGCACCCCTCGCGGGCAGCTCTCGGTTTGTTGTCAACCGAGAGGCGCTTGCAGGGGAAGCCGAGGATGTCATTCGCGCTTTCCACGACCGAGGTGTATGTTATACCGCCACCCTCCACAACACGTTCTTTGATGATTTTCAAAAGACAGTGACGGTCGCGGGCCTTGGCAGGGCAACTATCTTCGAGGATCCGCCGGATAAGAGAAGTGCCGCTGGGAAGAAGCACGCACGGGATGATGCCACCGCTGCTCAACAGGGAAGACCTAACAAGAAACGGCGAACCGAGACATACAGTGCAGTATTCATTCCAATACCCATGAGTCTCACCAGGATGGCGGAGCTGTGGGCACAAAATAAGGCAATGCCCCTGCTGCAAAACCTTTACGAGGTTCGGAGCCTTTTTGGGATCAGCAATTATAGAAAGAGAAATTGAGAGCGACTTGTTGTCTATGTGGGCAGCTGTCTTCATTAGTTGCCGAATGGTAATCATTTACATTTTGTTTACCTTTTACATCTGCCATCAAAACTCGATATCTACCATCTGAGTCGACCGGTCTCTTGGCAATCTTCCCTCTCTTCCACGCGCTCTCTCTTTATATTAGTTTTCCCTATCCACTGTCCCTGAATTAATTAATTTAATATTCTCTACCTCCATTTCTCAAAGCAACTTTTTCGAAAATTTTCCCTGAACCTTTGTCAATCTCTCTTTATTTCTTCGTCTGTTCACGTGCGTCGATTTCTGCCTGTAAACCTTTCCATAAAATTGTGTAAATCTTACCCAGCGTCTTAATCTTACGCAGCCTCTTTCGGTCTTTCAGATGTTTTGTTTTCTTCTGGTCTCTGGCCGATTGCCGCTACCATTTAATTTTCTTTCCCCAGGCCTTTCTCTGTAATTGATTGGCATACTTGACACTCAAACAAATTGCTCGATCTTCCTGTCCCGTCGATAAATTACTCCATTGGTCGGTCTTTGTAGCTGACCGTCGCTGCGGAGTATGCAGCTCCTTTACGATATTTTTTTCTCTCTCCCACGTATCTTATTTTCATTCTAATATTTCCCTCTACCTTCTTCCTGTGATTATCCTCTGTTCGGCAGGGGTGCGCGGCTTCTTTCCTACTTCAATTCTCAGTCTCTCTCTCTCACGCGTCGCCTTTTATCTTACAATCTTTTTTAATTCCCGATGCAATAAATTGTCGCTCCTTGAAACAAAGTGGCGCACTAGCCGGAACACAAGGAGCTCGTGAAAATGCAGGATTGGGCAAATTGATTCCCCTGATGTGTAGTCTGTTCACACTTTGGGCTGTGATCCATTTCTTCTCTTTCTTATTTCTTTCTTTCTTTCTTTCTTTCTTTCCTTTTTTTTTAAAAAAAAAGAAAAAGCTAAAAATATGTATCTAATTTGTTTTTATTCTAATGAGACTACGTTAATTTTCTCCTCAGTACTCGTAAGAATGACATGGCCTAAACTAACAAAGTTGACATGGTTGGGGTGAAATGGCGTTACACGCAAGTGATCGCCCGAAGGCTGGGATCGGCACTGCTCCTTGCACTGCGAACTTTTCAGAACAATGTGGTCGGGGTATCCCAACTTGCTGCGCTTGAAAACGACTGGTTGGGCACCCAGGCGGCCACCGAAGCTGCAGACGGGTAGATGCCTCATGAGGTTGCCTCGTTCGCTGAGACATGTACGAAAAGCAAGGTAAGCACTAGGCCGCGGACCAAAAGCAAAAAACCCGCAAGAGGGGCGGCGAGCTGCATGAGGGGATTCATGCGTTGCCTCACGGTCCTGACCGGCTGTGTACTGGACGGTGGGAGCGAGCCTTAGACGGCCAAAGCCCGCTTGGTCCATCCAACATCGTCACGGCATGCCTGATTGTCAATATAGCGATAACCATATGGCCACTCGATTTTCGCAATCAAGTGGTAGTTACCGATGGTTTCAGTCGACCAGCCCCGAGCGTGCATTCATTTGACAATGTGCAGGTTGTGTAACTCCAGGGCAACGCTTGTGACCTGCGCAACGACGCAAGAGCAGAGGATGTCCCAGCATCCAACGAACCAGATGCCAGATGCAAAACGCCACGGCGTTCCGGCGGTAGGACAGCCACATTAGCGACGCGCCTTCCCGTCAATGTTTCGGTCAGTCTCTCTTCTCTTCTCTTTCTTTGGCATGTGGAAGACTCGGGTATAAAGTTGTCTTCTCCCCAGAGACGGACTCTTTTTCTGAGCCATAGTTTTGTATCCTTCCTTATCATTACCAAACAAGCTGGCCAACTTGTCTTTTGTTCAGAAAAAGCTTCAACTCTCAATTCAATAAGACAATCTGTTTGCCTTTGGCCTACCTCGCAATGGATCAGGCGTTGACACCGAACTTGAACCCTTCCACTAGTAAAAGTAAGGCATGGCAGATGACACAAGCCACTGTTGACAACAGCCTGTTGTTCATCAAGTTTCTCGTCGAGCACGAGGGCGTCGACATCAACGGAGCCGACTATGATGGCTTCGCGCCTGAAGGGTGCCATTATTGGGCAGAGCATTTGAGAGTCCCGGTGATTATCGCCGCCACTCTCGAGCGATTCGAAATCGCCATATATCTCATCGAGAGAGGCGCCCAAGTCAATGCGCGCACCCCAAAGACCAAAGAAACGCTGTTGCACAAGGCCGCGGAAAAGGGTAATCTTGAATTTCTGAATCACGTTCTTCAGCTTTCCGGAATTGAGATCGATCCTTTGGATTCGAACGGCGAAACTCCAGCAGTCAAGGCTACGCGTGCCAATAACCGCAATGCTGTCGAGACTCTCCTCCAGCACGGTGCAAGTGAAAACATCCCTCTCCCCATTGCCGTTGAGCTAGGATGCACAGAAATTGTCAGAGTTCTGCTCGACAACGGAGCGGACCCGGAGCAGATCGGACAGGGTGGGCGGCCACTATTGTACGGTGCAGTACAAGCAGGCAATGGACCGCTCGTCGAGGAGCTACTCTGGGCTGGGGCCCACGACGACCCTGCAACGAGGGCCTATTGTCCGGCGTTAACCGCCGCTGCATCGCAAGGTCAGCATTCTCTCGTTCAGCGGCTTCTGACAAAGGGATGGAGCCCTGACGGCGATGGGCTCGATGATGAGCATCTCCCTCCACTACATACTGCTCTCCAGTATGGATTCACGAGTGTTGCCACTGTCCTCTTGAAAAAAGGCGCGGACGTCAATATGTTTGATGCCAATGGCATACCAGTGGTGTTCTATGCCGCCGAGTTTGGAAACATGGATATTTTGGAAATTCTGAAGGACCGCGGAGCCGATCTGGGCATAAATGTCAATGGTGTCACCGCAGAGCAAAAGGCCGCTGAGCGTGGCCGAACAGAAGCAGTCGATTTCTTCAGAAGAGAGGTTCATGGACCACCAAATGCGCACTAGAATAGTTGAGAGTACCAGGCACCGCTTCGCTTAGTTGGGTCGCCGAGGTATGGTATGAGAGTGCTATTATTTCGGGGGGCTTTTGACCGGAGCGCTTTTTTCTTGAAGCTTCAGACGATGGAGCCATCGCGAGAAGGGTCCAGATTGTTTGGAGGGATAAGGATGGGCAACTAACAGCGTCGACACCTACGTGGGTTAGCAGTCTGTTCTCCCCTGAACCTGGAGCGATTTTCTTTCCTTTGTATTTTCTTTTATCTAGGGGATAAGATGGGCTACCACAAATTCAACATCTGCGGAGTCGTGCTCGAGGGGTCGGATGGGTGGACGTGGGTCAGAATGTAAACTGCCAGCAGATAATAAAAGCCGTGGGGTGCAAAATGTGTTGCGCCTCAACCATGCTGTGGATGGAAAGATTGCCATCTGTCGGTGCAGTGATAATATTTGACGATTTTGTTTGTAACTTGCATCGATGCTTTGGCAGAAAGGTCTGGAGTTGATGGTTGGCGGTTTGCCAAGGATAAGCAAGTGCTCCTCAGGAAGGACCTAGTGGGCCGTGGGACGGGCCGTGCCTGCTAAATCGAGCGCATCCACCAGCTCCATGTTACGGGGCTCCCTAATCGCCTTTGATCCGACCTCTGTATAAAATCATAACTCTTTAGTAGGATACCGTACATGATAATTATCATACTAGGTACCACGTAGTTACCTACGGTACATGGTCACCTGTGGCAGCAAGGGGAGTGCCAATGTACAGACATGGAGGTTGGGTGCTTGAGCGATGCACCGGCTTGCTTCCGGCGGCAGTAACCAGTTTCGCGGTTAGGCTTTATCCCGGCAGTTGCCGCCCACAGTTAGGCCATTGCTGTAGCGACTGCACCACCGCTCTACCAGGTTCAGGAGCATGGGCAGCCACACTGATCAGCTTCGATTGGAGGTATGGTTTTCGTTGGGCTTCACCCCGTGTGCGCATGGCCCAGCCAAGAATGGAGAGGGAATTTGCCATGGCTGTTTCGACGCAGCGAGAGGCCAGCGCGTGCAGCTTGTCCCACAGAAATCATGTACGAGGCCACCCCAATAGACTACCCTCACGTCACTGGGCAGAATGGATGGATGTGATAACGGCCATGAATGATGCAGGACAGTACATCACAATACCACATACACGCAGCCGAAGCGACCTGCTAGTGCTTAGCGAGCAGAGAGGATGTATTTCCCCACGTCTCCCTGGTTGAAAGGTACCTGCTGCATAACGGCTTGAGGACAACGTTGGTAGGTGGGGCGGGGATGGTCCTTCCCTCCCTCGACTTCGCAACCTGTGACAGAGACAAGTCGCTAAAGGCAGCTTGACAGCCTCATTTTTCCCCAACGTCGACCATCAGCAACACCAAACGCCACCAATGCAACAGCAGAAATATTAGGATTAATTCCTTTGCCCTTCCTCTCTCTCTAAACGTCATTCGCAGGTAGTGATCAAGAGAAATCCCTTTTTAAGACGCTTCGCAGCCCAAAAAATGTGTGCCACACAGTCCCTCCATCCCAGCCGAACCGTGATGAAACCAAGCCAACGACTTGATCACCTCTCTACCCCTCACCAATCAGTCAAACAATCGGACATCCAGACCGTCGCTTCCGTGCACGATTCCTTGTCAGTGCGTGCGATTCTCCACTGATTTCAAGCCTGCATTGCGCGTATTGCCTCTTCTGACCGTTGGGAGCCCCGCGAGATATGCGGGAAGCCCACCTGCGTAATAGATTCAGTATACCTCCCGCATACCACTAGCTTCGATACAACCCAGAGCTCTCCTTGCTGGCGAAAGAGAGTTTCGCTTGCCTGCTACATAGCCATGGGGTCAAACCCTCTCTTTTCAATTCCTCCCTCCTTCAGTCTTGTCTGCTCACTAGCTGCACAGCAACACCTTTTCTCCCACTCACAACCCGCCAAGTGCTGTATCAGCAATATACCAAAGCAACAATGCCACTCGACGCTATCGACAAAACCCCGCCGGATGAACTTACTTACCTCGCTCTCGAAGATTTGCTGAAGAGCTTGGGCAGCAAGGACATATCAAGAAGGGATCTCAACTTGAGAATTAAATACCGCCAAGACCCATATACCAAGGCTCTTATCACACAGTACGGTCTTAAATGGGTTGCATCAGGGGCCCGCCGGTTGCTGCTTGCAGACGTATTCAAGCATAAGGTAATTGCGGAAGATAAGTTCTCGAAGACAATCTACTTCACCGATCTCGAGTCAGAATCGGAAGAAGGCCAAGCCAGCGGTTCTGCTGGCGGTAAAGCGGCCAGGAATCGGCCACAATCAGGGTGGCCTGGAACCCTGCAGGGTGAATTTGCAAGTGACCGTAAGTACTCACCCCGACGTTTGCTTTCTTTTCTCGATAGAGGTACTCATATTGTGATCGCGCATTTGTCGGCCCCGTCACTATAGCTGCACATAGTTTCAGCAACCTGGGGTTAACGCGTTAAATTCTATGCCAGCTCAGAACTACTCTCAGAATCAATGGAAGAGCGAGCCCCTGCTCCAAACACTCGCGGGAGTGCGCCATAAGAAGGAATGTAAGGGTTAGCCCATTCCGATTGATGATAACGAGGACCCTTTGTCTCCGCATCCCGTGGTGTTGCCGATGAGGACCCAGCACGCTCTGCTAAGCAACTTGGTACAATTGCTGGAGGTTTCCTGTTATGGCTATGCCACGATTTACACACCCCATCTTATGAAATACGACGGCCCCGAGGAGTGCGAGCTAACAAAGTGGACGGCGAATTTCTCGGACAGCAAGACGTTCTTGAGCCAAGACGAGAATCTCAATGCGCAACGTGAATCCCTGCTCAGGGAGGTGGCGAGAATGAGACACAATGTTGTCCACCGGGAGCGAGTCGGCGTTGATACTATGGCTCAAAATTCCGCAGCGCCGAAGAGCTGACAATTCTCATGGGAGATGTGAAAGCGCAGGGCATCATTTCCAAGATGTGGCAGGCGATAAGAAAGGAGGCGAGAGTGCTGATGCAGGACACTATGGCCAGGTTCGAGGAACATACAAAAAGCATGGAGCCAATCAGGCTCAGGAAAGACGTCCTTGATGCTCGAGAGAAAAAACAGTTGACCAGCTCCCAAAGGGATGCTCTAGCTTCCAAGAGAGAGGTTGTGCTGGCTGCGGGGGATGCACTCATAAAACAGGCTCAGCAAGACTACCACGAGCTGAGCCTCGCTGCCGGAAGGGCGATGGAGCAGGCCGTATCCGAGCGGGGAATCATCTTGGGGACTCTCGGTGTCCGAATCTCACCACCGAACGTCCCCACCAACGCCGCGGGCCCCCATGAAGATGAGGTGGTAAATATACGCGCTGACGCTTCAGAGCTGCTTTCCTTACGTACAGAGGACGTGGAGAACGACGTCGGCGGCTCCCACAAAGAAGTAGAGGGCGCTCAAGAGGACGAGGGGTCAAATGTCCAGCCCTCTGAAAGCACAGCGGGCGTCAAAGGCAAACACAAGAAGGAAGAGCCTCACGAGAAGAAGATACAGATGCCCGAGCAGAAGCAGGATGTTGAGGAGGGAGGTAAGAAACAAGTCCATGATGAAAAAATCAACTTCATCTATGAGGTCCAGAAACATGATAAGCTCGGATGGTTTTAACAATGGCAATAGGGATACCGCTGAGGAGACAGGGAGAGTCGCGGTGGGGGACACAGGGAGCGTCGTCGGTAGGAAGACAAGTAGAGTCGTCGACGAGAAGACAGGGAGAGTCGCCTTGGGGAAGACAGGGAGAGCCGTCAGCGAGAGGAAAGGTAACGCTGATGCCGAGAGCGGAGTGGAGGCCTATGTTGGAAGAAATAGATACGGGTTATCAGGCGGGACGGGAAGGCGCCCCTCCTAAGAGATATGCGTCTTTGTACAGAAAGAAAGCGCAAGTGGTCCCCGAGGAGGAGCAGAAACTTGACTCTGCCAACGGGTCGCAGAATGGAACAGGTTCCCACACGAAGAAGAATGAGAAAGGCCCCCGGACGAAGAAGAAGTGGTCTCCTTTGGAGATCTAGGTGAATCCGGGGGTCAGGTCCGGCAAGCAAGCTCACACTTGCTGCTGCGGTCATTGGCTTTCATTTTGTAACTATTTTCTAATGTCGTCGCTCGTTGATGTTGTGGTGGTTCTTGCCGTTGTCACTTTTCGCTCCTACTACAGTTCGCTCGCTCAATCCAGATGCTCGTGTTTTGTCTTGTCTTGACACTTTCGCTCTTCACTGATGAGAGGGGCGGGATCGCATAAGATCAAATGTGATGTAGCGTCTTGCCGGTGAAATCGCTGAAGCAAGATATTGGAAATGGCAATTCCGTGATGCGCGGTTGATGATCCGTCCACATGAGCAAAAGTTTCTCCCATCAAATACTGGGTAGCTTCTATCATATGGTTTTCGTGTTCTACGAGGCTAATTTTGCTTTGAACTTTACCCAAACCTTCTTTTTTAAGATGGCGATTCTCCAGTCCGCAGAGGGGATGCAGTCTCGCTGCGACATGAACCTCGCTACTCACTGAAGGTACCAACCAGGTGAGAGTGCTTGCCACTGCCTTCAATGGTGGCAGCATCCAAAGTAATATGGACCATACATCATGCGTAGAGTAGTCTCTGACTGAAGGCAACCCAAAAAGTAAAGGTACAGCCCCGCCCCTTCTTGATCACGCAGTGATATTGCCTATCCCATCACATGCGCAAGAGTTATTCTTGAGTGCTGCGTCTTGAGCTGGTAAACAAATCAATACACTGCTGTCGCTGTCATGCAAGAGTGCCCTTGCTGTAATTCCTTGTGGTAGCGCATCTGGTTTGGATGCTGCGCCTGTGGGTGGGAGGGAGTAAACCCCCCCCCGTCTGAAACATCCCCAACGACCAACAGCCTTTGAAAATGCAACAAGTGACGCTTAATCGTAATCTTTCTGCGCTTTCACATGCAACGAGACAGTGCAGTCCTCAATGTACCCCTACTTTGGCTCACTCGGCGTTTATGTAGGGTGGGAGGTTGCAGCGACATTGGGTCGGCCGACCTGGATGCACACACACATGCACGTCCAAGCGACGTAACGGCTACCTGATCCCTCACTGGTTTATGGCTGTAATAAAAGTACTTTCAATCTACCTACGCTCAATTGATCGCACGAATCGCGAGGTCGCCAGAAGGCCCCTATTACACCGAGTTTGTAGCGTGCCTAAAATGATGCACCTGAGATGATCCCGCGCGCGTGAACTTAAAACCTGGAGCGTTCGACCCAGAGAGGGGAAGTTGCATTGCTTGTTACACCTATTCTAATTGCCAGTGATGGCCGTCCAAAGTCTAATGAATGTTGATGGCCTACTTCGTAATCGGACTCTCCTGAGCCAGCATCCCCAACTTGCACCCAGCACTGGCGTTGGCCGCTACTCGTGACAAGGTCTTGCCAACATCCACCACCAACACAAACCTTTTGCCTTCTTCTTCTTCTTCTTTAAGGTGATGCAGCGTGTCATGTAGGGCCGCACCTCGATATCGTTCGAAATTGGCCAATACCAGCTGCGACCCGGTGCCACTGTGACGCTGTGATCTGGGGATAAATCCTCCTTTAGCTATAAGTTTGCTCAATAACCCGCGTGACATGAATCATCCGACGCGTGCTGTCATCGTCCTTGTCAAAACCCGTGTCGCTGTTCCCATCTCCCCCTTGGCCAATTGTGGTGGTGACCTCGTAGTCATAGCTGGGCACTATCGGGGGCGGTTCGCTCCTCTTCCCTCCAATTGTGACGAGTTCGGTTCCGTATGAATCCTCGTCCCCACTGCTCCTGTATTTGGAGAGGCCCTTGAAGAATTTGCGGAGTGAAGGAAGCGAACCGGCAATAATCACTAGGCTCATCTCAACAACGGTCCACAGTATAACAAAGCCGAGTTTATCTGCTCTTGTCAGCGCTACGCATCAGAGAGGTTAGGATTCAGCACTTACACAGCTTGTTGGTCTTGGCCGCATAGCCTAGAACGTACGCCATGCGAGCAGCAGTAGCGATAGATGCCCTGTTTCGTGTATTCCTCACAGTGAGAAAGCGCCTTGACGGCAAGAGTGGGGAACTTACAGAATCCCTATTCCCAGAACACCAAAGGCAAGAAGCTTCAGATTTCTGCGAATTTGAAGGTTCCACAATATGAACGCTGGCATGATAGAAACAGTCCAATCGATAGCGATGTTGGCGGCCGAAAAAATGTACGTGGGGACGATAATGACGTCCACTGAGATGCATTGCCCTTGGCCAGTCCAGGAGGCTGAAAATGGGGTGCATTGGATGAAGACGCAGATTATTGCCATGACGCTCATGGCTACGGCCAGAACTGAGACAGCATAGAGTGGGTAGGTATAACGCCGCTGCGAGGCAACTCGGATCAACGTAGCGCAAATGCTGATCTTGATGATGGGCGAACAGGTGATGTAGAGGAGCTGCCAAACAGTAACCATCTACGGTGCCCAAATATGCTCTCTGTCAGCGACCGGTGGCTCTGCCAAAAAAAAAAAACTGTAGGAAGTGTTCCCGACCTTGGCACCCTCCGTCATGACGGGATCATTCAGCTTGTAATCAAACGAGCCAATACCAGTATAGCATCCGTAAACGACCGCAATATTGTGACCCAAGTCGACGATCTATGAAGGAATAGCCAGTCAGTCCAGCCAACATTCGAAAACGGAGTTCGGCAAACCATACCCCCCCAATGTACATCAAATGATCCTCGATGCTGTTCGAATGATTGACCGTTCGTATGTAGCCTCTGAGTAGGAGGACAACTAGGTTGAGGACAGTGAAAAATATGGTGATTACCACGATGATAAGCGCCAGACCCTCAGGTTGGACTGAATGCCATGTCTGAAACTCGTCCATTGCCCACGATAGCTGTCATCTAGATGGTATCACGACAGTTGTTATCGAGCCAAAACTTGGGAAAGCGGCCTCTCGAGTGCTTTTGTTTCAAATAGGCATCAAGTACGACTGAAGCGCACTGTAGATTCAACAACTAGCAAACTTGGCTAAGCTTGCTTTTGACAAAAGGGAAGAATAATGCATAAGCGAAAAAGGCAGAGAGACCAACAGAGGTCGTTGGGTCATGTCAAAGTCAATTTGGGACCAACCATGCAAGGCTTATGCATGCGCCAACTATCATGGACGAGAGAGAAGACTAGGAAGGGAGTGGCAGCATTCGATTGGCCCCCATTAGGTAAAACGAGAGTAGGGCAGAGTCTATCATGACGGGTTCTCAGCCAAAATGGTCTCCAGCACCTGTCAATGTGCATTGTTGACCCAAGTTGGTAAGACCTGTCCTGTTGGGTAAATATGGGTGTTGGTTCATGTCCCCTGTCGTCGTTAAAAGTTCCCATAACAAGGGCTCCTAACAGAGCTCAAACGCCTCTCGCTTCTAGAGGTTCCGCCAAGAAACGATTGATGGAGTATGTGGAAGGCAGGCATCCATTCCTCTGTGGAGTCGCAGAGAGTTCACGCAAGGACTAGATATGTCCCTTAGTGTTTGCCTCCGCCGCCATGAGCCCGAGATCCGACCGTCAAGATGACGAGGGATTAGAGCGCACATATCTGCCCCTGTCGCCCTCGATTATCTCGGGGGAAACCCCCGCGACCAACGTCGAAGATCTTTTCTTGGGCTTTTCTTTTCCGCTTTCCGCGAGAGCCTTGCCGCAATGAGGAGGTAGGATTCCTCAGGTCTAGTTCCAGGGTGGGATATGTGACGCATCAATGTCGCCTTGCAGACGAGTGGCGGGGGCATAATGCGTTGAGCTTGGAGCCACCCAATCCTCCGTCAGCGTTATATGCGACCATGCCCCCCTTTTGTGAATTCGAGTCATTGTAATCAATCTCCTCAATTACGGACCAACAAAGATGGCAGCTTGTAAAGTCGAAGGCAGTGTTGCGCTCGTGACCGGCGCCGGGTCAGGTACGGGACCTTCAAGGCCACTCTTGGGGTGTCTCTGACCACGAATAGGAATCGGCCACGGACTGGCCCGGCGTTTGCTGGAGCTGGGATGCTCAGTTGTCATGGCAGACTTGAAACTGCGCCCCGAAGCTGAGGAGACGCTCAATAAATACCAGAACCCGACTAAGGGTACTGGTCCATCCGCATTCTTTCACCAGACCGACCTCTGCGACTGGTCTCAGATCAACTCCCTATGGCAGACTGCCCTGAAGACTTTTGGGCGAGTCAACCTACTCGTCAACAGCGCTGGATTGTATGAGCCTCCCTTCAGTGACTTCTGGAACCCTCCTGGCATATCTCCGCTTTCTCAAGATCCGGCCGATGCCCAGGTCGGCGTCTACAAGACGTATGCCGTGAACACAATTGCGCCCGTTAGGCTGGCCCAGATTGCCATTGAGTACTGGCTGCGCCCAGAAAATCGCGAGCTCCAGGGCAATATTCTCTGGATGGCAAGCATGGCAGGATATATCCACGGACTCCTCACCCCTTTTTACTATTCGAGCAAGGCAGCGGTCGTGAGCATGTGCAAATCCCTGGGGTCGCTGAACAAAATTGCTGGGATCCGTAACGTGGCCATATGCCCTGGTGTCGTTGATGTAGGTTTGTTTCTTTCTCGTTTGAGTATCGCTTGCGTCTCGTTATTGCCGTCTCGCCAACTCGTCGGCTGACTATATCACCTGCTAGACACCAATTTTCCATGCTCAATATAGCCGTGAACGGGTACGGTCTGACGACCTGATGCTCACCTTGGACGAATTGCTTAATGTGGCCATGGACGGGATCCAAAATCCTCAGTATGGCGATGGAAACATTATCGAAGTCTTCTGCGGAGGAACCCAGGACGCTCATGAGGTCTGTGTTCGCGATGTACCGATGGAGGCCGTCTACAACATGGAAGGTCTCAAGGGCCTGGCAGCCGGGACACATATTATTGCCACGCAGGATGAATTCGAGAAAAGGTTAAAAAAGGAGGGGATGGGGTTCCATAGCACATTGAAGTGAGCCCTGCGGCGCTGCGCTATCGAGGATGTCGAGAACAGTTGCCGAGAGGCGGGCTGAGTCGATTCTGTTTTTATCATAGGTTGCGTCGGGCAAAGAGGCCCTGATTTCGGTAATCGAAGGATTTGTTTTGTTTTCGGTGTGAATGATCGCACACGCCGCCATCGCGGCTCCGAACTTGCAGGAAAGAACGGCGCTCGAATTGTCCACTTACAGACGTAGGAGGGCAAACATGAATAACGCCTTCGCTTCTCGTAGTAAGTGACGTAGACGGAAAGCGACGATTGTCGATGGTACAATGGCAAGAAGCACAAGGACTTGAATCCAGCGGCAGGGTCGGATTGCTGCCAGAATCTTTTGGCAGGAGCGGTCAGTCGCATCCCACGACAGCCACTGCATGTACGTACCATCTGTGGCTGCCAAAGCACTTCCAGGCTGCCTCACTAAACCAGCCACAGCCTGCACGATGACGGCGTAGCACCTTCCGTGCTCGGTGTTTCTCGTGCGGCCGAATTTATTCGCCGATTGTACCGATGTTGGATTGGGGATAACACACCACCACACCATAAGAGTTGGGAGTTGAAAATGTCAGCTGCCAACTACACCAAAATCAAACAGCATTTCGCAATAGCTATGAGAATGGCGGTTTGATTTGTGTGTATATTCTCATTTGGTCAAATAATTCATGCTTTCGGCTGGCGAATTGACATGTCGTAGCAGCCTTAAAGTCACAGAAACAAGCGTCATTTTAATAAGGGATTCTTAACAGAAAATATGAGAAGAGATGAAAAGGTTGCTGTTTTTTTTCTACAGACAACAAAACTAGCTAGTTTATTGACCCTAACTAGCCTGATAAGCCTCCCGGCCAATGTGTCGAGCCACTGGTGGATGAATTACCCATTCTATCGAGGGGTTGGGCTTGTCCACTCAGAGCAAAGTTCGAGAGAAGTTTGCAAAATAACCGAGGCACCAGAAGTGTATTGAACCAAGCCAGACATTACATCGGCCATTTAGCTTCTAATACTCGCACGCATGATCAGCTACGCGACACACACCAGTAGTTCAAAGGCACTTCTTTTGCCTCGAATATTTTGCCAACGTCTCTCGAACCTTGCATGAGCGGAGAAGCACAACCCCCAGACAGAATGGATAATCCACACACCAGTAGTTGTATTGATAGATCTTCTCAATCGTATAGCTGGTGACATGGGTGTACTAGTTGATCAGAGTACATCGACTCGGTAGCTCGTATAGGTGGTCAGGATGGATTAATGATCAACGGAAGAGGCGCCAAGACGAGGCTGTTATCATTCGTAGAAGGTTGGAGGGCACGTCGAAGGAAGACTGAGAACCGCGAACGAGATGCGGTCCCATTTTGACTCGTCACAGGTGAAACAATCGAAGGGAACTCGAGAACTGTTGGATCCAGCTCGATAACTGTTAATTGAGATTCTTCCTTGGCGAATCCGGGGGCTCTCTTACCAGGTCTCACGTCTAAATTGGCCCCTTCGAAGGACCTGCCTCCGGATCTTAATGTGGCTAGCTTGAAGCCGTGTCGATGGCTAATCGTGGTGGGCGGGACCACGCGTGCGGTTCTCCGAATACGTAGTGTTCAAGTGCGTGGACGGTAAGAAGGCTGAAGCTCGTATGCTCTTGTACTGAAGTGTTGGACTTAGAATTGCGGCTCTATGGAAACTCTCGAGTTATGCTGTTCACTGTCAAAAAAAAAAAAAAAAATATTGAGAAATAACAAGCTGGCGCCATCCTTGGCCACTACTTGACATGATCTGCCGTAGCCTCACACTGGTGAGAGAAAAGACGCATGTACGTCTCGAAACGACAGATGTTTGTTGACCGCGCCGTTGAGCCGCCAGTTGGGGGGGGAACCCAGAGTATTAGGGTCAAGAATTATCCGAGGATCGATGGCATGTTGGCATTTGCGCCGGGTGGCCCGATTTAGTTGGCATGTTTCTCGCTCGTCTGAGACTCGGCAGCGCAAGTGAAGTCGTGTAGGTTGAGGGGCAAGGAACTGTCAGACATTGCGTGAGTGTAGGTCGAAGAGCTACGCAATACCGTCGTCATAATGAAAGCTGCATCGTGCGTCGTTGGGACTGTTCTCGCCTGGTCGACTTGGTCCTGGGATGTCGTAGGCGAAAGAAAAGGGGTCGTTGCAAAGGAGGGCTGGTGTCTGCCAACGTCGATCAAGTAATCCGTGTCGGAAGTGATTATCGGCGGGTTCGCAATGCCTGGACGGGTTTTGCTCTCGAGTTGCTTTCGAGTTGGAGGAAGAAAAGATGAGTTAAATCAAGACATGGTGAGAACCAAGGTTTCCATGATGGGCGGCAAGGGGAGGGACAACAACTTATGTACTTACCTGAGATAAGATATTTAGGCAGCGGGGTCCCCTCAAAGGTCACAAGATGGATCCTTCCGGCCCGCTCTTAGTGCCGTATTCGCTCTACATGCATGCGCTGTATTTGGAAGGCGCGAGACCCCCTGCGACCCCTCCACTTGCCAGCACATCACACAGGGCACCATCGGCAGATGGAACGCTGCACTGAATCGCCGAAGAAAAGGCCGTCTATCACATCGCATGTCTGGTGGTGGTTACCTAGATTGTCCATAGTTGCGAGCCCCGGTACGCATGCATGACGATTCATCGTAGGGCGCGTATCCGCCCTCGGGAAGCTACGGGAGCTTTTGGCGCTAGGAGCGGATAGATTCTCCCGTCTGACTGTTCCCTCAGGCCGGGAGAGAACCAATTTGGGGCGGGTTCAGTTGGAGGCGCCGTAGCATCGCGCCTGGATGCCCCTCGCACGCTTGCAATTCTATTCCATCGACAGTTGGAGTTTATTTTGACTGTCATCTACGACCGGAATTTTGGCCACTTCAGGGGAAGGCAAAGCATAAATATATCAGAAAAATACCTTAGGCGGCGCCAAATAGGTAGGTACCTAGGCATGTAGTTTGTCCAAACACTTGGGTGCTGCTTCCAAATCAACTTCGGGATGGCCGTGCGCGCCAACACAGCCGATAGCCATCAATGAGACGCCATCCATCGCATTCATCAGGAAATTAAGTTTCATTGTCCCTCACAATAAGAGAGAATTATTTACATTTAAGCTGTACTGCATCTGTTCAACCGTCAGGAAGCTGGCTGCCGGTATGTGCTCTGCCCCTTCTGCAGACGCCCGTAATTTGGCTGGCGGCTTCTGCTGTCGTACCGACGACATCTAGGGTAAAGGAAAAGTTGTGTAACAGAAGTAAAATGTGGTTAAAATGAATATGTAAGTAAGCGATTCGCTGCATTCAGGGAGCTTGATAAATGTTCAGCCGAACGTGCACTTTGCTTGTGTTTGTTCCCCGCATCATCTCTCTCTATTTTGCATCTCGACACCCAACGCCACCAGAAGCAGCAGACAGCATCACAGCTACTGGGGACTTACTTGTTAGGCCTAAGGCAATCCTCCGGGGGCCAGATCATTTTGCTGAAACAGGCCCTGTCCGAACTTGATGGCCAGAGGAGTCTCAGCTCCCCGTCCTGACAAGATGCCCAAATCGATCCAAAAACAGCCGATCGAGAGTCAACCCAGAAAGAAACCAGTGGTGATAGATCTCACCCTACTTGATTCCGACACCGAGACCAGCTCGAAGGCACCTTCTCCCCAAACCATAGGCGCCCACCCAGAGGCATGTCGTCCCCCGGTCGAGAAAACACCGAAGCGAACATCAGATCGTCCAGACCCTGCTCATCATAGCAGGAGAGGCGCAGGTCGTACCCCGGTCGAGAAAACACCGAAGCTAAAATCAAATCGTCCAGATCCTGCTCATCATAGCAGGAGAGGCGCAGATCGTACTCACGGTGGCGGTGTTCAGAAGCCACGGGGGGGCGAACCAAGCCGGCGAAAATCCAATAGCCTAGGCACTACTATTGACGCCCATGCTGGATTGATGGCGCAATGCAGTGTGGTAGAGGGACACAGGTCGGCAGTGGCTGTCAACTTGTCCATGTACCCAGACGAACTCAAAGACTTCCCTCGTGTACTTGCTAGGGCGGCCGAGACAGATGCTCGTGTCCAGGGAGTGTTCAAAATCACTATCCGGCACCAGGGTACAACACCGGGACAAAGAGGCAGAGCTGATCATTCCTCAGATCTATTGGATTTCGTCAAGAGTAAGGAGCAGCCGCTCAACTCTGATTCGTCTTTCAAACTTCGATATCGAGCGGGAATCCCTCTCAGGTCCGCCGAGGAACGCATAAAGATGGGTCTCGATGAGCAAAGTCTCATTCACCCTTTGGACGGCAACCGACTTGCTCAAACGCAACGCTTCATCGATGGTATACATTACCCACGATGGTATGAAACCAGTGAAGCCCAATGTACACCATTCATGATGAGCTTGGAGGAATGCAATCTGCATTCGGTTCATTTACTCTATGAGGGTAGGAAAGTGTGGATTTGTGTCTCCCTAGGCGCTAGAAAAAGGTTGGAGGCGAAAATGCGCCAGGAGATTGCGAGAAGGGGCGATGGAAATGATAAGACCTCGCGTTGCGGTCAGTTCGCTCGACATGCACGACTCTATTTCCCTACCTCCCTGCTTAAGGCGTGGGAAATAGAATACACAATTGTCGCCCAGAGAGCCGGTGATGTAGTGGTTACCCTTCCCGGAACATACCACCAGGGCTTCGCCGTGGGGCGCACCAAGGCCGAAGTAATGAACTACGCAGACGAGAAGTGGGCGTCTTCCAATATCCTGTGGTGCGATAGCGAGTGTCCCGAGTATCCCATTGACCCCCACGACATGCGTTTTGACGTTGTTAAGGCTAAAATGCCAGAGGCGTCCATCGACCAGAGAAGGGAGACGCACAAGGCAGACGAGTATCAGCTCAGAAACGAGAACGGGCAGGAGCCTGCCATAACAACGAATCTTGGCAGATCGCTTAATCCGTACGGCGCAGCGTTTGTCCGGGCCTTCATGGACAATGGATTGGAGCTTGGCGACGTGAGGAAGGTGTGGCTTTTCCAGATGATTATGCAATGCCAGTGGCCTGGCCCAGGCGATATCATCCCACAAAGCGCCAGCGCAATCAGCAGAGCGAACCGCCTCGTCTCCGTGTCGACGGTCAGAAGGGTCGACCAGATGGGGGACAAACTACCTCTGGTCATGCATCTTGAATTGCAGCTCAGAAGAGTCCATGAGCGGGCGCTGGTTCGGTTTGCAAGAACCTGTGGCCGCTCAGCCGATTACTTCAGGAGCCTCTTGGAGCCAGGCGCGAAATTCGAATACATGGCCAGTAAGCTTGGCCCGCACATTCTCTTGACACTCCCGACCAAAAGTGTACGGGAGAGAGGCTTTGCACTCCGTGTCGACAATGACTTGTTAAAGCAGCCCATCCACGCGTCGAGGTAAGTTACAGGCTAAGAATGCAAAGCGATGATACCCATACTAACCATGTGGCAGCTATTATAAACTTGAAAAAGCCGATGTGCTGTACTTTGTGAGACACTTCTACGACCTTCGCCCGGATCTGAGGCTTTCACAAGAGCTACGCCTCAAGCTCCAAAATGTGATCGATATTCTGGGGATCGAGCAATGGGTCCGTGACGCGCTGTGGCCCCTAGAGGGTCAGGAAGTGGTGTGAGCTCGGTAGGCGTGAAAAGGAGAAGGAAGTAGTGGCAAGGGGTCTGATTACACATTTGTGATTGGAGACTCTCGCAGCATGAATATGTGACGGGGATTGGGATCTTCAGATGGTGGGTTTTATTTTCTCATTTGTTTCCAGTGTCGAATTCTTTTCTAGGGTCGCATGCAGGAGTTTCCCAGCAGGAGGTAAGGCGTATCAGGCCATGCACGCTCCTGCTTTGGGCGGCACGCATTCAACATGACGCCGCGTTTGCTGGTCAAATACCGAGCAGGAGAAACATCGTGTGATGGCCATGGTTAGACAAGGCGTAGTTGCCTTGCGAGCAGGAGAAAAGGTATTGGGCTTGAATTTGTGACTTAAGTTGTTGAATTTCTCAAACCAAATTGAAATAAAAGTGTATCACTTCCCAGAAAACCAGCACTTTTGTGGCGCGCAGTCACGCAACGCACAGTGACACTGCACCCCACGAAGAGACGGGAGGAACACTCAGTTCTATCCTCTCAGCGGCACAGCAAGAGAATTATGTGGTGGCCTACGTTTTGGATGATAAATCTAAGGTTTTGGTCAATTTCTTTTGTTCATTTCTAAGCCTTCCGGCGGGTTGAATGTCGTACATGCCAGCCAGTATTCAAGGTCGCCGGTGCAGCGCAACCGATGACACGAATGCCGAGAACTACCGTTCCTGTTACCGCTAGTATGTTTTTAGCTTGTCGGAGGATGAGCGGTCGCGCTGGGACATGGCTTACACCCAGTACGCCATGCCCAACTGTCTAGAAACACAGTTTTCGACGGAAACGACCGCGGTTGAGGGGCGTGATGAAGGAGTATGGATGTTGTTGGAGGGAGACCGTTGCAAGAGGGAGAACCGCAGGAGTAAAACTACCTAATAGTTACAAGTAAGCTGATAGTAGCAGGAAAAAATAGAATGTTTTCCCATCACCGTGGCTCCGTCTAAGACGTTACTTAAGAAAGAAACCAGTCACTTGCCTCAACAAACACTATTGACAAGGTGGCTGGTACAAAAAGACTGTTAAAGACGCTGCCACTACAAAGCAGAATGTGGTACAGTGACCAGAGACGGAAAATGATGGTTGAAGAAACGTGTTGGTACTGATGAATCCTCAGACTCACTTCAACCTAGTACTTTCCCGTCGCGTCCCCTCTACTCCTTCCACTCACTGAACACTCCTGCCACACTTCTCCGTCTCTTTCCATCTGAAGCCAACAACTTCATTTTACTCATTTCCACAATTATGCCATCACCAGACGATAGCCATGGACAACAAAAATATCCGTAGCATCTACAGACAGTACAAGAATGACACTGACTCCTTGGCCTCCTGGCTAGCTTCCACAGCTAGACACCACGGCTATCCGTTGGACCTCTCGCCCAGGAATCAAGGAAACACATCCACCCCAAACTCCACCGGAAGGCTCAAGGGTAAAGCACGACGAGAAGCGCGCAATGCTGCACCTTCAGCCGCCAAGTACATCATCCCTCTGCACGACTTCACGCAACTGGCCAACTTCATCGCCAAGAAACGCCCGCCCGTTGTCATCCCATCCTCACTCGTCTCGACAATCGACCGGCTGATTAACCTCCGCGTTGGGTTTGCCAAGCTTCTGGCACGTCACGGCCAAGCATTTAGCTCCGAGTCCGAAGCGAGGCATGACTACTTCGTCAATATCCTACGGGGCGTGAGAACTATTCTTCAACCTCATCCTTCTGTCAGAACGGAGGAGTAACCGAAGCTAGAATCTGAGGACGAGAATGCTGCTAAGCCTCCCGGGGGTGCCTTTCTGAACCGATTCTCCGTCCTGTCTGTCGATGAGCCCAGTCAGGGTTTCCTTGAGAGATTCGCCAAGGAGTGCGACCACGCCGCCCGGCCCTCACAACAGGCAGATGACCCTGGAGTTTTCGAGGCAGGCACCCAGGCATCAGAGGAGGAGCTGATGTTTTTGTGCAGTTCGCTGTTGAGGGACTTGAATGAAATCCGATCCTCCATCCACCCCATGTGGCCCCAGAAAGAAACAACCTGGGATCCCGCCGCTTTCTCCATCTCCACTAACGTTGCAGTATCACTCGGCCGCGGCCTTATTGATGAAGTTGAGCCGCTCCTGGAGAAGGCCAAAGGAGGATCGATGTTCATGATGGAAACAATGGCATCAGTTATGGAGAAAACAGCCAAGGACACAGCCGAACTGACACCCCCAGTCGCTACAGGTAGCCTGAGCGGTGCGATGCAGGAAGCAGTCCAGCGCATAAGAGATCCATACTTCTCATCTTTCAGCAACTCAATTCGATCCCTCAAGGCGCAGCATGAAGCAATGACCATCCGCGATGGGTTTATTATCTCACCCCGCGATGCCGACCAGATTGATCTCACTCGTCTGCCCAGCGTTTGTTCCAAAGAAGACTGGTTTGACCAAGATGCGTTGCGCATTGAGCACTATTTCTGTGATATGATGCTGGTGCTCCAGACAATGGGCGGGTTTCCCGTTGAGGATGAGCTCTTCCGAGCAGTGAAAAGGTACAAGAATACAAGCAAGGTGTCCATGTCCCTGGTGTTTGCGTTCCAGATATTTCTTGACATCAGCCACCTGACGGAAGAATCGTTTCCATCTAGATTCGAGCAGGCGAAAACCGAGATGGAGAATAGTTTATGCGACGTCGAAGAATGTTCCCTAGTCATAAAAGGACTTGTCCATGTGTCCCCCGACGAATGCAGGGCTGCTCTAGCCAACCTTGATGGCGTCCGCGCACATGTGAAATCATTCACAGACGACAAGGTCTTCCAAGAAAAGAAGCGCATCTCCAAAGTGACAGATTACGATCCCCCAGAGTCGGTTCGGCACCGAATCTTCCGCTACTCGCCACTCCTCTGCGGCCTTTATCTCTTCTTTTTTCGAGCCTGTTTTAGTACAATCGCCCTTCGAGACGATCCGGCACCCTTTATAGCATGTGCACATATTTACCACGCTCTTCAGAGGGAACAGCTCCTTAATTGCTGCTGGTCAGACATGGACACAGCGATAGCGCTGCTTGGAGACAACAGTTTTTGGATGGGCGGCAAGAGGCCAGAGACACGCTTCGACTACTGGAAAGCGATTCTTTTACAATCTGGAGTCTCCCCTTCGTGGTTTTCTAAGAACACGAGGCCCAATACCAGCAGACCTTCCGGATCCACCTCCAACAGAAGGCCAGTGTACAGCAAGGCGAGTACATCGCTGGATTTCCCCATGGACACTATTCGTCCTTATGAATCTCTGCGGAGCATGACACATGCAATGCCGGGTGCCGCTACAGACAGGGAAGAGTTCGTCTGGACGCCCGCGGAAGTCAAAACCTTGCTGGTGGGGAGATCCGGGGCCGTGAGGCATGGTTGGCGAGAGCACAGGTTCCTAGAATCCAACGAGGACGATTCGCCATCGTCTCGAGGACTTCTGGCGAGTATGCTGAGCTTCAAACTCTACAATGAAACAATGGATCTTGGATTCCCATTTCTTAGGCTCCATCGGCAGTCCAGAACTCTTTTGAAGGCTCTCCATGAGACATTCAAACCAATAAGCCCCCCTGGATCCGAGTTATTGATGCAGAAGGAAAATCTTCCTTCCGTCATTGTGGCCATCTTCCAGCTCTGGAACCGACCGGGGCCAGAATGTAACGAGGCGCTTGCTAAGGCTGCAGAGGTTATCAACAAATATCTTTCTGCTGGTGAAGGCAGAGCCTGCGTCTCGGCTTCTGCGGAGGCAGGTCTTCCCTTTGAAGTTACATCAGCGCCTGAAGAGAGGGAGGATGCATAAATTGATGCCGAATATTTGGATTGAGGCCGGACTTGGATTTTAACGCGGTGTGTTTGACTAATTTGGTGTTGGATGCTGACAACATGAGGTCAGTGGTAGGATGATGATGAGGTTTCTTCCTCGTGGGCAAATTGTTAGACAAACTAGACAGTCGAGGGCTATTCGCCGAGTAATGAATGAAGAATGTTTATTTCAAGTCAATTTTCTTAGCTCCTTCTTCTGTGAATCTTTTGTTCTTTTAACTACCTAGAGAGAGTGCAGGTACTTTAGTGAGCGAGCAGAGCCATTCGAGCAACATTTCCCACGAGGACCCGTGGCTACGTAGCTCTTGAGGCAATTGAGAACGGCGCCTGAGCAAACAGCAAAAAGCCATTCAAAAGCCCGACTTCCACCCAACTAAGCCCATCTACAGTGCTGCAGGTATGATCCAACTGACGGGAAGGTCCCGGGCGCTCACGAGCCATCAATCCCTTCGGCCAAGCCACCAAGCGACCAGTATCTGCAACGATCTCGTCTGTGCTGCCCTCCCAACGTCAACGTCGGTGGTTAGAATGAGATGCCAGTTGTCGCTTCAGGCTGAATTTTTTTCCCCGTCTGCAAACTCCCAAAATAGCACTTTGTCGCTTCTGGTATGCTAATGAGTAGTGAGACGGGCGTCAAATCGGTGCCATTGCCGCGCGGATTGCCATCTCCTCGGCCGCGAGCCACATTGCCAATTGCGGGTGCTGCACGAGGCTTGCCGATGCCCAGCCGCTTTCATCACCGTAGAGCAACGGGGCTTTGCACCTCAAAATGCCTGAACTGGCTCTATTTGGCATGAGCCCTGTGTCGCTTGGCAAAGGGAGCCGCCATCGTGGGCAAGCAAGAAGGGGCCAAAGACCCCGGTCTGCCATACTCTTCCTCGAGCAAGGAAAACAGCCCGACTACGACTGAGCTAAAGGCAAAGGCATTGTTTTAATTGGGGAACCATGGCTTGTGTATTGACATACAGGCTAATGATATAAATTCCATGGCTGTTCCTGATCTTCTTGACCTTGCTCCCCAACCACCCAACCCAACCAACATCACTCCGAGCTGGCCTCGCTTCTTTTCTCATCCCGTGCTCTTTCTGACTTTCTTTTCTCCACCCTTTCTACAGTCTCTTCAGTTCTTGTTGCCGGTCTACATCAGTCCATCCAGTTTCTTTTCATCGGTTCAACATGGTCGCTATCACTCAAATCGTTCTTTCCACTCTGTCCATCGCGGCAATAGTCCAGAGTGCTGTCGCCGCGCCTATTCCTCTCGACACTTATCAACGTGACTTGGATGAGGTTAACAACTTCGAGACCCGGGATTTCGACGTGGCCTCCGGCCTGCTCACCCGCAGCCTCCTCTATGAAAACCTCAAGCATAAGCGCGTAAGTAAAAGCCGCTCCGCTAGCGCTTTGATGACGACGCTGATACCGTGAAGATTGGGGTAGAAAAGCCCTTGAACATAAAACTACCTGCACCTTTGAGGATTCAGAAGTTGGCAGAGATGCTCAAAAGGCCCGGAATGAAGGTTCTCTTTAAAAAGAAGGGCAAGCGAGACCTGGATGAGGCTGATGGCCTGGACGCTCGAGACTTTGGCGAACCTTACGATCTGGAAGCTCGAGATGACGAGGTCGAGCTTTCCGACCTTGTCGCCCGCGAGATCCTAGATAATTTGGGCACTGAGCTCTTCTTCAGCAGGCGCGCCTCGGAGGATAGACGTGATTTTGATGAGACGTATGGGTTAGAGGTGCGCGACATTGGCAATGATGAAGAGTGGGACTAAGCTCGCTGTCGTCTAGCGAGGTGATGGTCTCGGCGACTTGTGAACAGACAGATACCTGCTGGCCGGTGTTTGTCGAGTTCTAATCCGATTGTAGCAATCTTTTTTTTAGCAGGCTGAAGTTTACTTCGGGTTGGGATGGAGAAAAAAAATTGACCGACTGATGTGAATGCTTCCCAGATTGAGCAGCATGGTAGACTTGGGATGTAAGTGCATCAAGGACAATGCCCGTAACACCCCGCCATCATTGTGTGCGCTACAATGGACATAGCTCGAGTGTAAATCTTCTTGAATGACCTACACCTCGAGAAAATCGTGGTGCTGTAGCTCTCAGACAACGCGCTCGCGCCATTCCTCCATGAACGGGTCGGTCTCCTCCAGCAAAAATCCCAAAGCGCCCATGGCCAGCCAACTTGGTTCTCGCCCACTCTCGCAGAGCGTGCCAGCCATCTACCAATCGGCAGTACTGGTGTTGCCCTCAGGGCCTAAGTACCAAGACATTGGTCGGCTCGGGATCGTCGTGACTGCAAGTGATGCTTCGCTCGTCAATACCCTTCATGCTGCATTTGTGCAGAAGATGCTAGGGGGCCCAAGTCTGGATTTGCTGAGGCCGCATCAAGCCACGGACCAAAACAACTGGTCGCCATCGTGTTGCTCGCAAGTAGGAACAAAAACAAGCCGGCTTATCAAGCAACATTGGAGTAAGATGCACGTCGCTCAGAGGGTCGACGCTGCCATGCTGAGGCTATACATAGTGCCTGCCCTGCTACGGCGTCACTGTCGGTAAGGCAGTCACCATGGCGGATGTAGATATTGGATCCATGTGTGTTGCTCCTGCCGCTGCCACTGCCGACTCTGGGAGATTCAAATTCTCCGCGTGAGGGGATCATCGGCAGGTTATAGACTGCAAGGGTGTTGGAAAACGGTGCGCCCACTATAAATGGTGTTGTTCGCATTTGCACATGGCTGCTGCTGCGACTGAGACCAGACTCCTGCTGGCCATCGGATGCAGCGCTGACGATTCCATCCTCACCCCCTGAGATTTTCCTTCAGCGTCGGTGTGGTTCTGGTAGGAGAGAACCTCCCACCCCAGCATCTGTCGGGGACGAATACTCAAGACTCCCACAGCCGCCGCTAATGACAATTACTTTCACATTGAGGGAGATTTGATTTCGATTCTAGGATCGTACGAACATGGCCCGCAAAGACTTCAATGCCGTGCCAACGAGGGAGGCAGGGGATATCGGAAGGCACCTAAACGAAAGCCTTGTAAATTTCAGCCTGCCGGCTGAGGCTATGGCACACGGTAGCCTGAAGCTCGATCTGGTGGCGGCACAATCAGACAACATCGAGCATATCGAGCAGCTTGCCTCCCAAGCGTACCAACAATTGCGCGGTAGGTATACAAGGGCGAGCGCATGATGCTCCATCCTCCCCTGAGTCCAGAGCCAACAATCCAAGCTTTGCTTCAGAATGATGGCTCTCTGGTAGAGAGTAAGAATCGTCTAGCGGGGTCTCTGTTGCAGCTACTGCAGGTGAAGCAACCAGTTGAGGGCTGTTGTAGGTGTGGCATCGCCCGGAGCAACAGCTTTCCTGCTCCTCCGCAATCAACGGCACAAGGACAGCCACGAACGGCCAAGGCTTGCAGCTGACCCTTACAAGACAGATGAAGCAACGTCTCCATGGAGCTCGACTGCTGGGTACTCTACACTGGCCGAGGTGTTCTCGCCTCCACGGGAGCTGGCGACACTCAACGGATAGCCATGCTGACCCAGGGCCAAATACCAATGGGAATGAGAGCAGAACTCCAAGCAGAGGAGCGTGAGGGGCCGGTGGGATAGGTCTTGCCTTGTTCTCGCATTCACGGCCTGTCGCAGGGAAAGATGACTGGAATAATACGACTCAATTCATTTAACTTTTAGGCGCTAGCAAGGGAAATCCCGTGCTGCATGTGGCTGTCAAATTTTGAACGCCAAAGGAGACCCCGTATCCTAACCGAGCAAACACAGAGAAAAAGAAACACAAAGTTAACTTGAATACCCCCCAAAAAAAGCACAACTAGACATTTTTGGACCCTCTCCCTAACGCTGCCGAGACAGATTAAAGCCGAGGAGGGTTGCGTCGCCCTTCATTGCGCTTGTTGTCTGAAAGCGGCCTCGTCTGCATCATGCAATGGCAGGCCCAGACGTGGTTCTAGAGCCCAGTCTACCAGCCGTTCTGGATCGGCCTGGACCTCCTGTATCATGTCTGTGAGGTGAAACCAGTGCGACTGGAGAAGCGGGAAGTTGATTAACCATTGATACTCCCAGTTGCGCGTTGGGTTGAAATAGGTGGCAAAAGTCTCCGCTGCGTCGGTCTTGTCCTTGCGGAAAAGCACTTCATACCATGACCTCAAAACCGTCATTGAGCTAAGGTTCAGCTGATGGTTCTTATCGAGGATTGGACTGATGCCTGAGAGACCACGACGGTGTTCTTTCTTGAGCTTGACCCAAGGGTCCGAGTTGAATCTGGGGTGGCTGAGGGCGTCCCCGAGCGATATCCAGCCTACCTTGATCAATGCCTCAAGGCGTGCGAGCTCCTGCGACTGCTCATGGGACAGCCATCTCACCAAAACCTGCTTCAGCTTATCCCTGCCATTCTTGTTGACAAAACAGTGATTGCAGACAGATTCCCCGCACATCTGCGGCTCCAGAACCATGGCGTCCCAATCGGCCAGTCCTGCCCCTGCATCCGGTTTGACTTCGAATCCACAACCCAAAAGTGTCCCGCTGAGTCGGAATGTTCGCATCTCTTGCCATACCTCGCATCCAGGGCATCGGATCATACACATATTCCACATCTCCTGGAACCTGACCCAGCGGACAAAGGATGGCATTCTCAGGGTGGGAATCGGCGGGCACTCTCTGCCATATATCTCTGAATAGCCCGGGAAGTACCGACGTAGGGCGCTTCCGCAATGGACGAGCCGACTCCTTTTCACGGTGGGGATTTCGAGCATGTCCCCGTCGCTGGTCGCGGATTCAATAGCCAGATCTCTCTGGTAGAGACACTCGTTGCAACGGCGAGTGCGGCGGTTTTGGCCCCGGCGACCAACCTCCGTAAACATCTTGATTACAGTCCGAGCATTTACTGGTGTCAGGAGCCGTCCCCAGCTGTCTATCGAGAAGTCATCCACTCCCTTTAACTCCCGAGAATTGAGCTCGCGTCTATAGTCGAGGTCAAGGGTTTTAAAGGCTGCTGTATACTGGAGCAGAACAGGGTCGCCCTCTTGCAGCTCGCTCTCTGCCAGGCGAAGCTCCTTCCTCTGAGCCCTCCTCAGACCCTGGACATGCTGCCGATGCATGCCTCTCTTGGACGGTCTCCAGCAAGTTTTGAACTCGGCACCCGGCGTGCCAAACATGGGCTTCCGAAGGCCTTCGCTCTGAATGGAGCGATTGTCAAAGTAGTAGTGAGGCAGGAGCTTCAAACAGCCGCAGCACGCGTATCGCTGAGCCCCCCAATTCGTGTCCACGACTGAAGGGTACCGTTCTATGTTCCTATGGATGGGTACGTCGCTGGGAGGTCTCCAGGCTCGCCGGTGGATGGATGGTTCGGCACCGCCAAATTCCTCGGTGCACTCCAGCGCGAGAAGCCGCTCGATGAGCTCTTCCTTGCATGGTTTGATGATGTGCCGGAACTGTTGGCTGGCTTGGCTGAGATTTATGAGCGAGATGGGGTCAAGCTCTGGAATCATTTGGTTCATGATTTCGGCGGGTATATCGGTCAAAGGATTTGAAGCAGAGCGTCCGCTGAGATTCATGAGCGAGATGGGGTCAAGCTCTGGAATCATTTGGTTCATGGTTTCGGCGGGTATACTGGTCAAATAATTTGAAGCAGAGCGTCCGCTGAGATTCATGAGCGAGATGGGGTCAAGCTCTGGAACCATTTGGTTTATGATTTCGGCGGGTAGACTGGCCCCAGATTTTGGAGGAGGGCGTCCTCTGTCCTCGGCGGCCTGCCGCATGATCTCCGCTGCTTCAACGAGAAGACGAAAAGTGTCCATGATTGCTTTCTGGATTGCTCGTTAATAAAAAAAAAACGACAGAGGTGATGTGTCTGGGCGATGTATTGGTGAGGGTGAGGTAGGTCTGCTTCCAGCGGGGAAGCTGCGTGCGAAGTCATTGAGCATACATACTTACTGCATAAATGCCTAAAGCTGCTTCCAAACGAAGTGCCTCAAGTGAGGTGAGGTAAGGTCTGTACCCAGCCTAGGTAGGAGCTGAAGGTACTGCCTCTCAGTATCTTTGACTGCAAGCAGGACTGCCTGGTCTAGTGCTTTCCCTCTGTCTGGTGACCGGGGATACGATTTACAATATCATGAAAGAGAATGATATCCTAGGGCTACATCGTGGGAGGAAGCATCATTCTTATAGCTATGGATTTCTTGCCGGGCCACCTTTGGCTCAGGAATGTTGAGGAATACCCGACGCCTTGATGCAGCACCATCCCGTCCTTGATGCAGCACTATCCCGTGCGCTTCCCGGGCGGGGATTTAGGCGCTCAGTGAAGCACTCCTCTTCTGAGAGCCCAGATCTACACCGATGATCGCCCCATTGAACGCATTAGCGGCTGCTTTACAAATAACACACATGTGATTATCATTATCAACATCTCGGAAAGAAGCCGTTCGATGGGAGTGGATATGCATAAAGTGCAAACCACAAGCTGCCCGCCGAGAGGGACGGGGCATATCGAACTCCCCCTCAAGCTCCCGCCTCACTCTTGATACTGGATGTCTCTGCGCCTGTCATCCTTTCCACAACCATCCGATTAGCCTCCCGCTGTTTATGCGTCCCAACCAATTCTGGAGGGAAGGCGCCTCTTGGCGTATGCGCGTGGCCAGGAAGAGCTCTCATCCGCAATAGCGTGACGCTGTATTACCACCTCGCCCAGCTCATTTGTTTCAGCCAGCCATCGCAGGCGTAAATTAGAGTTGGTGATTGCAGAGCAGGAAATTAATCATGTCCGTACGCTGGGGTATGGCCATCAACCTGGCGGGCAGCACCGGGCTGTATGCAGCAGGCCGGCCACGTCAATTACCCCAGCTGCCCTGCCGTTGGCACGTTTGCGTTCCATCTGTAGGCGCCTGCAACAAGACCACCTCGCGACCGGAGTCACATGCGCACAGTATGCAGGCATGTATTGGGCAGTGGAGGGGCGTGGTGAGTGGTAATGGCGCGGAGCAGCTGCAAGCACCCATCCATTACAACTCGTAACTGCCGGTCGAGCTGGCCACGACGCTGCCTCTTGCAGTCGGCGATAAAGTGTCTCAGACGTGGCTCGTCCTGAATGGAGCCCGACAAAACAAGATTTCAATTTGCAGCGTCAGAGGGGCTCAACAATCATCCGGGACTCCTATTGTTGCTGCAGGAGACCTCATTATCCGTGCCCGTCCGTGGTCTGGATTTCGTGGTCGAGAAATCAAAGTGCATCTTGTCTCATCAAGCACTCACACAGTCCTGAAGGCATTGATGCCCAATACCTACGCCCAACTTCCAAGGCGGGGTTGAGAATTCCCCACCTCGATCTCGGATATCGCTCAAGTTGCTTGGCTTGAGCAACGAACAGCCGTGAACTGCCCTGCACCGCACTCCACTGGGTAGCTGCAAAGGTCCAGTGCTGTCTGCGTACCTTGCGATCAATTGATGCTTTACTGTCTACCTAAATTCAACGAGCCCGCGCATGCAGGCTGCACCTGTTCTGGGCATTCCACCTGCTGAAGAACTGAACCCATTCTCCCCACGACTGTTAAACAAGCAATTGATTGTTTTGGCCATTCAAAAAGACATCCCCAGAGTATATCCTTCTGCTTTTGAGTACCTAGGATTCAAGTACGTCACTGCCTGCATTTGGTTTACATACCTGGCCCTGATTATCCGCCTAATACTTCTGATACTAACTACCTATCAACCAACAGCATGTCTGAGCCTCTGCAGCCCGAGTCCTCCTGTTTTCTCAGGGCTCCTGTTGAGATCCGCTTCCGCATCTACTACGAGATTTTCGTCAAAGATGGCCCGGTCCATTTTGGTGCCGACCGCTGCCAGCTCGACGCACCCCTCGTTCGCAGACCAGAAGGCCTCTCTTCCGCCCTTCTGCGTGTCAATAAGACGATCCACCAAGAGGCTACGCGGATCCTCTACAGCGAGAACCTCTTCCAATTCCCCGACGCGTATTGCTTCCGCGAGCCCGAGGGCGACTCGTTCTGCTTCTACTCCGCCGTGCCCTACGTCGCGCCCTTCCTCCAGCAAATCGGGCAGAACGCGCGCTTCCTGAGGCACATCAGCATCAACTTCCCCAAGTCGTTCGCCTCCAGGAGACCCCCCGTCCTCCAAGCCGCCTTCATCCGGGTCCTCAGGCTTCTCCGGGAGTCCTGCACAGATCTACGCACCGTCGAGATCGTGTCGGAGAACCCCAACGGCCTCGTCCCGCTGCAGAACATTGAGCAGGCGGGGCAGATGCTGCAGACGCTCCATGACGGCGGGCTCGGGAACATCCCCACGCTTGAGAAGGTTGTCCTGGTCCACCCGGACGACTCTCTCATCGAGGCGTTCGCGTCCACCTGCGAGCCCCTGAGGCAGCACACGCCGAGCATCAAATGGACGATCCAGCGCAAGAAGACCCCGCCCATGACTCGCACCAGTACAAGCTACCTGGCTTACATCTAAAAACCAGGATGGTTGGTCTGGTTGTAGGACGAAAGCTAAAAGGTGAGTAGGGGAGAGAAGTACTACTGTCGCAGGAATGATTTCGTTTGTAAGAGGGATTCGGGCTTTGACTGACTGAGACGAGGGCCATGTTTTGGTTACAGAAGGGGAAACCTTGAACCTGGCAGGACCAGGCTGGTGGACGTTCTTCTTACTTTATTTGTATTATTGAAATTGCAAGGCAAATCTTTCTTTGAGGTATGCTACGGTGTATGCTGCTGTTTCGGCGTCTGCCCGTGCGGTCATGTCCACGTCGCGCATCCCAGGTCGCGAAAAAGGGCGCCCTCGACAACAGCACAGGGCTAAGACGGTGACTCTGTTGTAATTCCGCCCTGAAAGATTCACAAAAGCAAAATAAGACCTCCTTGCTAAGAGGTGAGATTAAAAAACCCAACTGCTTCCAACATCTGCGATTTATGCCGTGCGAACGTGTAGGTCACGGCAGGGCTAATGAAGGCCTCGTGCACGGGGAGGTGCAGGCAGACAGGCAATTGAAGACAGGCACAGCAGATGTTTCGCAGGTGCAAGTGCGTGTTTTGGCTGTTTTGGGTGGTCGCCAAGGATCACTCAAGGGCTGTTCCACCTTTATCCGGATTTTCAGCCAATTAGAAGTAGGGACAGTGGAGAACACCTCGACTGATCCCGCGAAACACGTCGAGCCTGGTCGCATTTGTCAAGCCCCAACCGTGTGCCATATTGGATCAAACGGCGACTCTGAGCTCAATTGATATCATCTATCAGTCTATTTGATGCATCTAATAGTTCTAGTAGCTGGGGGCACTTTTATCCAGAAAACGTCTACCAAGAGGAAAAGCCATGTGGCACAACAGAATCCTGTTACAATGAGAACCGCCATCTCTGACCCACCTCTCCTGCCTCGTCATCAACCTCTTCCTTCTTGCCCAGCTTCTTGTTGAGCCACACGTACTGCACGTTGGCAGCGATCCCAAACGCAAGAGCTATGGACGCGAGCGTCAAAATGACTGTAAAGCCCGTCCTGTAGAGCGGCGCGTCGTGTGCCTGGAAGATCTGCGCGCCTGCAAGACCCGCAGTGTTGACCGTCATGATGAGCAGAGCCAGAGTGATGGAGCGCTCCGCGGGATTGCTAATGTTGACGGCCAGCCAGGAGCCATTGAGCGGATGGGCCACGGAACCCCATATCGTCGTGCAGGTGAGGATACCGTACTTGAGATCGCGACTGGTGCTGGAAACCAGCTGCCGAGTCGCAAGCTATGGACCGTCAGTGTCAGCTGCTGCTTTTCTCTAGATGGGGGATGGTATTGACTCACGCAAAAAGCAAAACTCAGCACAACAAGAAGCAAAACGAGGCCACCTCGCCTCTGCGTCTTGTCGGCAATCCATCCCACCGATAGATTAACCACGATGACGATCCAATCGCTGACGGAAGACAGGGCGTTGGCTTGAAGCCGATCATAGCCGTATGTTGCGATGATGGACGGCTTGTACGTGCTCAGTGGAGAGATAACGGCGATGGAGCAAAAGGACACCAAGAGCTGAGGGTAAATGTACCATCGAGAGAATGCCGCCTTGACATCAGCGAGCCGCACATACTTGGGCTTGGGTCCATCTGTAGGACTGTCATTGGCCACACGGTGGGTGAGGATGTGAATCTCTCGCGGGGTGAAGTAAGAATGCTGCAGGATATTGGACGGGCGAGCAGGGGACTGAGGCATCAGGAGGGCAAAGATGACCCCGACGAGTATCGTGAGCATGCCCTCGATGAGAAACATCCACTGCCAGCCGGACAGGCCCGCCGTGCCTCGCATCTGCAGGACCCCGTAGGCGATGAGGCCGCTCGACGCGCTGGCCGTCATGTTCCCCAGGAAGAAGGCAGTGAAGCGCCTGCTGGTCTCGTTGCGCTTGTACCACTGCGTCAGGGTGTACAGCCCGGCGGGGATGAAGCCGGCCTCGAGCAGGCCGAGGAGCAGCCTGGTGGCGTAGTAGACGCCGACCCCCTTCCCCTTGATGAAGGCCTGGAAGGTGGCCACCAGGCCCCAGCATATGATCTGGCAGCTGATCCATTTCTGCGCCCCGACGCGGTAGAGCACGAGGTTGCTCGGCAGCTCGAGGAGGACGATGCCCAGGCTGAGCAGCTGGTTGCCAATGTTGAACTGGAGCTGGGTGATGCCCACCTCGGCGAGGAAGAAGTCGGTGAGCGCGTTGCCAATGTTGCCGCGGTCGAGTTGCAGGACGAAGAAGCCGGCAATCAGCAGAGGCATGACGAGCAGGTCTATCTTGCGGACCACCGCCGCTTCTTCTTCTGCTGACCAGTCATTGACCCGGGCTTGCTGCGTTGTTTGGGACTCTTTGTCTGCATCAGTCTCGGCCAAGCCGTACGGGCTGGCGTTGACCTGCGTCGTCTCTTTTTCGGTGGACATTGCCAAGATGATTGGGAGAGAACAGTGATGATACCACATCGAAGGCTGCCATGAGCCTCTGTCGAACAGTTACTTATATAAAAAAGCATCCTCGAGGCTAAGGCCTACATCTCTAGCAGCGTGTCTCCGTTGAATCTCGTCATGAACGGCTGCAATGATGCAATTGTCGAATTATCGAGCTACTCTTCCTCGTCTGCGTCAGTTTACACCGTATAACCGAGGAAATAACTTCTATCAAACTCGGGAGATCACGAAGCAAATGCAATTCGATCTGGTACAGAGCTGCGACTCACCAATAAGACCAAGATCCGAACCAGATCCCGGTCGTCAGACACTCGATAGCTTGACAGGTTTGTGGGTCGTGGGAGCCTGTCTGGCTGTTGGTTATCATAAGAAGATGTCTGTTTTGGCCTAGCTAGATCTACGTAGCCTGGTTACGAATCTTGCGTGCTTTGAAGAGGGCTTTCATCCAATCACTGGGCCAATGAGAGCATGATCCGAACCACACTACACTGACGGTTCGTGGGGCTGCATCTCCATGTGGATCTTGACGACTCCACGCCAACAAGTCGGTCTCCATCGAGCCGCTACGCCCTGGCGACAGTGGCTCATCGGTACCGTTCGGACATTTGCGAGGCCGATGCGGTTGAAGATGCTGCAGGAATCTTGCGTTGAAATGTGATAAAACGGAACCAACCCTCGCATTGTTACTCCATCTCACATACATAAAAGTTCAATCTTCTCCACATCATTTTCACATTTACTCTGGCGGCGTTCACAGTCATGGCTGCTACAAAACGACCAAATTTCCTGATCATAGTTGCCGATGACCTTGGCTTCAGTGACATCAAGCCCTATGGCTCCGAGGTCGACACACCCGTCCTGGATCGTCTGTCCAAGGACGGCATCCGCATGACAAACTTCCACACGGCGCAGGCATGCTCTCCCACGAGATCCATGCTCCTGTCCGGCACAGACAACCACATCGCCGGGCTCGGCCAAATGGCCGAGTTTGCCAAGATGAAGAAGAAGCTCACTGGCAAGGACCCCGAGTACGTCGGCAAGCCGGGGTACGAAGGCTACCTCAACTGGAGAGTGGCTGCGCTGCCCGAGATCCTCGCGGACGCTGGCTACCTGACCATCATGTCTGGGAAGTGGCATCTGGGCATGACGCCCGACGTGTCGCCAAGCGCGCGAGGCTTCAAGAAGAGCTTTGGGTTCTTGCCCGGGTGCGGCAACCACTTCAACTATGAGCCGCAGTTTGATACAGACGAGGACTCGATGCTCCTCACCTCTGACGGGTTCTGGATGGAGAATGAAAAGCCCATTGATAGAAAGAAGGACTTGCCCGAGGATTTCTACTCGACCAATTTCTTCACGGACAAGCTCATCGATATGCTGGCAGACAGGACCGACGAGGAGAAAGAGCAGCCATTCTTCTCGTACTTGGCCTACACGGCACCCCACTGGCCGATGCAGGCGCCTCAGGAAGTCGTGGACAAATATCGTAAGTTCAGTAAAAGAGTTGGCGTTGCGTTTGGAGACTAATTCGTCCGTGTGTCTTCAGGGGGGAAGTACGACAACGGACCGGACAAGCTCAGGCTTGATCGCCTCTCCAAATTGAAAGCTCTTGGCCTCGTAGCACCCGACGTAGAAGCTGCCGACCCCGTTGGCTTCGAGGCCGGCGTGAAATGGGAAGACCTCACAGACCACGAGCGAGCGGTATCCTCAAGGAAAATGGAAGTCTACGCCGCCATGGTGGATCTGCTCGATCAGAACATCGGCAGGGTAGTCGATGCGCTCGAGGCGTCTGGCGAACTCGAAAACACCTTCATTCTGTTCATGTCGGACAATGGTGCCGAAGGATCCACGCTGGAAGCAGCCCCAGTACTGCTCTCTCTCTCCCCTGGCAAACTGATGTCCCAATCCCTCTTATGCTAATTGCGAGATCTAGTTATTGTCGTCGTTCAAAACACTAGGTGATCTGATTGCAGCTTACTACGACAACAGCCTCGAGAATATCGGCAGGCATGACTCGTACGTCTGGTACGGCTCGCGCTGGGCGTGCGCCGCCACGGCCCCCTCGCGCGGCTTCAAGGGATGGTCGACTGAGGGAGGCATCCGCTGTCCCTGCCTCATTCGCTTCCCGCCATTCTCAGCCGCGCCAGATGCCATTTCGCATTCTTTCACGACAGTCATGGACATTCTCCCCACCATCCTCCAGCTCGCCCAAGTGCAGCATCCCGGGACGACCTTCCGAGGTCGTGAGGTCGTCGAGCCCCGTGGGAAGTCTTGGGTAAATCATCTCGTCTCGCCCAGTGACCACCCTGCAGTTCATGAGGATGCCAGACACATCCACGGCTGGGAGCTATTTGGCAATCGCGCAATCCGTAGAGGCAACTGGAAAGCCATTCTGTTGGCAAAACAGGGCGGCGAAGGCTGGGAGCTGTACAATGTAGAGGACGACCCGGCCGAGCAGCATAACCTAGCAGAGACGCGCCCCGAGGTTCTGGAGGAAATGCTTGTACATTGGGCTACGTACGTTGCCGAGACGGGATTGGTTGAGGACGCATTTTGACGGAATGGCGTGCTCGGGGTCCATAATAGCGCAAACCACATCCATCCAACAAGTAGCCGCCGTCGCCGAGAATCCTTTAGTTGGGGGATCTCCTCCTGTATGAAATTATGAATAGGAATTGTGACAATCGACATGACGTATAGGAAAACACGGACCGGCTGCCTGGCCTGTAAAGCTAGGAAAGTCAAGGTAATTCATCGTCAATCGTAGGCGTGCGTATGAAACGAGACATGCTTACTTGACCTCGGTGATAGTGCGACGAGGCAATCCCGTGCACTGCCTGTGTCCGCCGCGGCTCCGTCTGCAGTCTGAAAGCCCAGGAAAGGTCGCGTCGCAGCCGGACACAATCACCTCGCGACCAATCGACGACACCGGCTCCGCCTACCCAGCATCTGCCTCTGATTGCTCCATTGCCAGTGGATAGGTTGGCTGCCGAGGATAGGGCGCTGTTGGACCACTGGCACATGGTTGCGTTCAAGAGCGTTGTGACCCAGCAAGATGCTCAAGATCTGTGGCAGAACGAGGTCACGCATCTCGCCCTCGACCATCCGGTTATCCTGAATCTAGTGCTGGCCATTTCATCCTTCGAACAAGCGTACACTGCCCACTACCCATCCACTGAGCTGAAGGCAAATCGCCGGCGGCGAGATGTATGCGCCCATCGAGGGTTCAAATACTCTCAGAATGCCGTCGCGATGATGAGGCACACGGTGTCCAAGGCGAATCGGGAAAACGGTGCCATGTGCCATCTCGCTTCCATACTCACCCTCATCAGCTCCTATGCGGAAGGCTGCCTCAAGGAGCTTCTGCGCGACGAGAAGCAGCCTCCATCCATGCTGCAAGACCTCCTCGTGACCTGCAAGCTCACAAGAGGATCCAAGGCCATCGCGGACACCTTTGGCGTCATCCGCCCTGAGCGGCGGGAAAAGGTCTTGTTCGTCAGCGAGGCAGAACCGCCAGAAAATGGCCCCCTGGATCCGATACTGCGCCTGCTCGACTCCCTGGCGTTTCTCAACGACGAGAAGGATCCCGCGGTAAGGCGCGTCTGCCAAGACGCCCTCGACCTGATGAGATGGTTAGTTGCAAAGGCGCAGACGTCGGAGTGGTGGCCTGCGCATAGAGCTTCTTTGCAGTGGGCGTGTTTTGTCAGCCAGGACTTTGTGACGCTTTGGGAAGCTTGTGAACCTGCAGCGCTGGTGGTCGTGTCGTATGGCTGCTTCTTAGCGAATGGTTACGTGGGTGACTCCTTCATCTTGACGGGGTGGAAAGAAGGAGTTTGTGCTGAGATTCGCGAAATGGTTGGTCCGAGCTGGGCGTGGGCTGTGGCAAGATGAGGACGACAGGATCTCCCATAGTAGTTGAGAATGGTTGATCGAGTCGGCAGCAGCTGAGGTAAACTCCAAGAAACTTGAACATCTTCATGGCAGGAGCACTCGAGGCGAGCTCCACTCTTATCCAAATTTCTAGCCAATCAGAAGTAGACACGGTGGAGCACAACGCGAGTCATCTTTGGTGGTGATGATTGTAGCACTGACATCAGTCGTCAGCCAGCTCAAGCTGCCAAAAGGTTGAAATTTCTCTGCTATTAAGATTCTTTCCTCATTTATCGATCTAATACTGAGGCCCAGGTTTCTGTGATCAAGGCAAATTCTATTCCCTCAGGGTAGCTTCAACTTTATCCATGCCATCCAAAGCACACTTGACAAGGTCACGTGTTTCGTTGACTGGGCCTTTATCTGACAGTGTCTGCTGATGATCTTGCAGACATTGCTTCCACCTCGGCCAGAACTCGGGCTCATATTGAAGCTCCAATTCGTCATCCCTGAGGCGCAACTCAATATCTGACCAAATCTTCATTGGTGCATGTATCAGCCACATGCAGGCGACTCGCACGTCTTGCTCAGTCACTGGATCGTTTACTTTGAACAGATATGTGAGCTGGGGTAAACTCCAAGAAACATCTTCAAAGAAGGTCTCGAATTTCACTTCGGCCAGCTGCGCAAAGAAGGCCACCAAATTCGCGAAGTCTCGATTCTTGAGCTCATCTTCGCTAGTCACGCCGCCTGGATGAAAATAAGTCAATAATAACCTTTCCCCTTCCCCAAAGGAGGCGGCACTCACAGCCCCGAAGCCATTCTTCGGCCAAGTTTATCGATAATCGAGGCATTCCCCAGTAAAATCAACAAGCTTTGATTGCTGGTCATGTGGCGTGCGCTTGGCCAACGCGATGATAATGGCAGTAACGATATCAGCATGCCGCCATAAAGCACCAGTCTCTTGTTCATATTTCTTGGGAGTGGCTGCAGCCTCGACGGCGGCGGCTTTGGTCAGGACGACTATTTCCTCTACTGCTTCTACCGTGGAGAACTCATGGCGATTGATCATCCTGAGGAGAATCTGCCGTGCTGGACAGTCTCTGATCTAATGTTTACTGTTTAGTACTAATTCTAGGCAGCCGAATCGAGAGAGGACGTACGAATTCATCGATAAAAATCGCCGGTTTCGCGGCATCTAGTTGTTCAGATCTTCCTGCCATAATGCTGACGCTGGTTATGAGACGTGAACACGACTGAGGGGCGACTCAGAGCGGCCGGAACGAAAGGTGAAAAGAAAAGCTAGCCTAAGGCTGCAGTCATGCGGAAGGAAAAGCCTGTAGACCTTCATACCGATGACTCACTTGCCGTCGAGACGAGCCGCTCGTCGAATGACTATTTAACCAACTGTCTTTCACCTGGCTTCACACTTGTCTTAGCTTAGTAGAGAACACTAAGCAGAGAGAGATACTGGAAAGCAATGGCGCCAAAGATATTGGCCTAAATCTTGTCATGAAGTTGAGGCAATCAAGTCGTCGGGCGGGGTTAATCTGCTTCGGGGGGAATATGAAGGAAGTCAGTCAGCCGTCGAGGGTCTTTCGTAACGATGATGCATGATACACCATTGTCAATCGGACGGCACATGCTCGGCGAGCTACGAATGATAACAGCCAAAACCAACCGAGGTACTTGAAGTTGCCTGGATACCTGGACGGCCGCTCTCACACAATCAAAGAGCTTTACTCTTGGCTGTTCTCCATATCCTGAATGTAGCGAGAACAAATGTACTCAAGGTCTCGCTCATCAAGGACCTGCAGCTCACGAGCGACCAGATCCTCCATTCCCAGATCACGTCGGCCCTGTGACGCGCCAGGCTTCCCCCCAACAACGTTGATGGCATGTTCCTCCATTGTCCGTTCTTGGTGCTGCGCTCGTCGAGATCGCGCTCCTCGGGGTCTTCAATGTCTCGCTCATACAGGAACTCCATGTCGCGGCGACCTTGGTGACAGGTGACGATCCACGCTTCCCGCCACAACCTCGATTGCGTGGTGTGACAAACCCCTCCAGTCATCGCTGCGGGGGCTACGCTCATCATGAAGCTGATCAATGTCGCAGTCGTCGGGGTTTTCAAGATCACAACGGCCCTTGCGAGCCATGTGTCCCACGACCACGTTGGCTGCGTGGTGCAGAAGACCCCTCCATTACGTTCTTGGGGCTGTGTTCGGCAAGACCGCGCTCCTCGAGCTCGTTGAGGGCCTCCAACTCACGCTCAATCAGGTCGTCTATTTCGAGCTCGCGGCGGCCCTTGTTATCCATGTGTCCACCGACCACATTGACGGCAAGGTGCAGGAGACCCCTCCATTGCGTTCTTAGGGCTGCCCTCGTCAAGATCACGCTCACCAAGCTCATCGATGCCTCGGGCTTCAATGGAGGGCACGGCGGCCTCAGTCCCGGACCTGAGGACGGCGGCGCCGGCCACGGGGGCAGCGAGAGCCTAGTCAGCGATGCTGAGCATCATACCAGAAGAGGATAGGGGACTAATACCAACTCTTAAGTGTGTTTATTGTTTTCTTGCTGCTCTTGGAGTGATCGATTGTCCCATTTTGACGGCTAGATGCTGTTCTTTTATGCGTTTCTCGTGGTTCGCAATCGCGTACCTAGATGCCTTCACCATCCGCATCCTCTCGATGACGGAGGGGATCACTTTGAGATGCAGAAAGTAGCGACCGGTCCAACGTGTCATGGAGACAGCCCTGCAGAATTGGGTCTTGATGTCAAAACAGAGCGAATCATGCGAAAACCAAGGCAACAATTTGATGAAAAGCTCCGAAAAATATTAATCAACGCTCACAGAGGGAGAAGGCTGACTGTCTTGGCAAGCTCTCTTGCCGTAAGCTTTGTTGATGGCTCAATCTGGGATCCTGGGCAACTAATCATGGAGCAGGCCGGCCTCGTGAGGCCAATCTTTGGCAGACCCGCCACCACCTGCTCTACATCATCATTGTATACACCGAGGCAAAGGTCGCAAAATATAAGCGGGTGTTCAGAGCTTGGATGCTAGGATATCCGGATGCAGCGGCTCAGCACATCCTCGGTGCTTCGGGGGTAGTGGCAGTATATTTGATTCATCCAGAGACCCAGGATTATCCCATATGCTACCTCCCCACTCAGTGAGAGAGTATTTCGTTGTGTCCTCTTCAAATTGGTCTCCTCTAGGGTCTTCTAGACGAGTTGGATGGATGTTGTGGTCAAAATGAATGGAGCCCAGTAACGAAGGCAGTCCTCTGGAAGCACTTAACATAGCCCAAACGATAAAACAGGGCTGTTAATGTCATACACCGAGAAGAGTGAATCCCCTTACCGCAAGCGCATAATAGCGCACGCCAAAGCCCATACATCACTGGCCTAGCTTGCGTGACGACCAACCGCGACCTCTGGGACGAGCCACTCGTCGGCAGGCGCTCCAAGAAGCGTCCTTAGGGGTCGCCGCTGATGAAATACTGATCAAAGTCAATTAGGCAGATGTCGGTGCTGAATACATCCCTTCCTGACGCGAAAAAGTCGCCTTTCCGAACCAGGTGACGAGGCCCTGGTATGCCACCAACGTCGGCAACGGGAAAACAAAGTGGCCGTACAGAGTCACAGTTGTTGACATTGCCTTCGATACCGCGCATGGTGCGCATGACGGGATATTTAGAAGGAACATTGAAGCTAGATGCTGTCGCTCACTACCTAAGTATCATGTACTACATATTCTCTCTCCACGTCTTTTCCAAGCCTACTGCTCCAGTCGTTGAACAACGACCTCTAAAAAACAGAGCTCTTACGTCCATCATTGGCCTAGTGACGTCCTCATTGGCGCGAGCTTTATATAATAATATTGAAAAGATCAAGTGATTAGGCGAACCACGTGCAGGAACGAGATGGAGCATAATCCCATGTATGCTTTGGGGAAATTATCGACTAGATTCAGAACGCTATTGAAACCCGAAGATAGATCAGAGTAGAAATTATAGATTCCCTGAGGGAACGATCAACAATAGACACGATATACTAGCAACCAAGTAATTGCACTCTCCGCCTTGAATGTCCCGAGCCACGCACCAGCATGCATTTTAGCCATCGACATGCGAGACAACCTTCTCGGTGACGGTTCCATCGGCCTGCACAACAACCTTGTCGACCTTCTTGGATGCCTTGACCGGGCTCTTCTGGTTGTAGATCCATTCGAGCTGCTCCAGCGTACGCCCCTGGGACTCGACAGCAAAGAGATACCATGCAATGGACTCGATGACATCCCAAGCGACAAAGATGTAGACGACCTTGTAGGTAATGTTCTGGAACCCGATGGGCAGCGCAAACTGGCTCAGGAAACCCATGGCAGACACAATGAAGGCGGAGGCGGCCAGACCCTTGGCGCGCATGGTGGTCTCAAGAGCTTCAGCGGGGATGACACCCTGCAGAGGTGTGTACGTAAAGGAGAAAATAATGTTGAAGAGGAAGTATGATGCAAGTGCTCCCTTGGCGTACGACTCTTGGATGTTACCCTTGCTTTGCTGAGCATCGAGGGCCGACGAGAGACCAGCGTTGACGGCCAAGGCAGCGGCGCATGCTGGAAAATGTTCAATTAGTTGCAAGCTTCTTCGATGGGGGGGCAGATTATTGCGAGGAACATACCAAGGGTACCAAAAACGAGGACAGGGCGACGGGGCATCCTGTCAGTCAGAGAGACAGCCGAGAGCGCTCCGACAGCCGAGAGACAGGAAGTAAGAAGGTTGTAACCCAGTTGCTGGGAAACGCTCTTGACGCCGAGCTGCTCAAAGATGACGGTGTTGAAGTATCCAAGACCGTTGCCAGACCACTGTCCAAAGATGGAAATCATAAGCACCTGGGCCATTCTCCAGCGTCCGTTGTGGGTGAGGAACAGGGGGCGATCTGGATTTCCAAAGAAGTTAGCCAATTGGTTGGTGGTTCGATGACGAACTGGGTTGCACTTACAGTCCAAAGGACGCTTGTCAATTCCATCAAGGGCGATGTTTTCTCTCATTTCCTGGATCTCGAGAGCTACAAGCTTGGAATCGGCGTTTCCATTGCCATGGTACTTCACAAGGAAGTCCAAGGCTTCCTGGTCGCGACCGTTGGCGAGCAAAAATCGTGGAGATTCCGGAATGAAGAACACACCGATCATCACGACGACACAAGCAAAGGCCTAGGGTTTGAAACAGATGTTAGTAATTGGGAGAATAATCCACCGGAGAAACAGGATGGCTGAATCTCACCTGCAAGATCAGAGGAAGCCTCCAGGAGATGTTGCTATCGATGGAATTGGTACCGAACGTCACGGCCGCCGCTGGGATGGATCCGCCGAACCATCCGCAATTGTAAAATCCTGCGCCAGTTTTAGCATTGATCCAACCAGAGGTTTATGTGTGGCGCATGGACTCACCTGTGCATCGGCCACGCCAGTGGGGTGGTGCGATTTCGATGGAATAGGCGGGTGCCGCGACAGTCTATTGAGAGTCAGAGAGGGCTGTCTTGCAGGTGGAATGGTGATGCTGGCGGTTGAGATGATGATCATAACTGCCGCCACCCAGAGGAACGCACCATGATAGCAATGCCAAAACCAAGAACGAAGCGGCCAACGACAAATTGGGCGAGGGTGCTGGCGGTTGAGATGATGATCATGCCGAGAATAATGACACAGCCTCCACAGAACATAGCCTTACGGCGTCCAAACCTGTCGGACAGCATAGCGGCGAAGGGCGAACCGACCATGTTACCAACCGAGTATATGGAGAAGATCAAGGATACCATTGGGCCAGTCTTGCCACTTTTGAAAGTGTCCTGGAAGTGTTGCATGGCGAGGATGGAGGTCATGAGCGAGCCTGGTAAGATGGGCGGTCCAGTTAGTATTTCCGTTCTTGCTGTCAAAGGGAGCGCATTGGACTGGAGCACACTTACCATCGTAACCATTGGCACAGGCGCAGCAAAATGCGACGAAGACGGCGACTTTTTGGGTCCAGGGTTAGCTGCTTGGGTATTCTAGATTCTGTAAGAATGATGGCTTGCGACGTACAGTACAGATGCAGTGACTGCCTGCTTCGGGGATTGATGGGAGAGTCGTGAATTGCTGCATAGAGCTCGGCCTAGTGTTCTTCCGCTGTTAGCAAGATCAATGCCATTGGATAGGCGCATGGGCATTGATTATGCATGCGATTGAAAAGCATTGAAAAGGATTGAACGCACGTTGAAGACTTCTCTGGCCTTGGCTCCCTCCTTCAGCGTGGCGCCTGTTCCCTCCTCAATAATCGGCTGGTGGGCAGGAGCGACGGCGATGACGTCGCCATTCTTTCCGTCGTCAGAATTATCGGCCGTCATTTTGCAAGGCTTTTTGACCGCCGGGATCAATTGATTGGCGCAATGCTCTTGAAGTTGCTGGTTAATGGCTGGATGGAGAGGCCTGACGGGGACGAAACGAAGGGGAGGAGCTGGGAATATTATACTTTGGCTCGAGGTTGCTTCAGGGACTACAACAAAACACAGGGACCCTGCTAGGCGATGTGATACGACAATCCATCTCCAGACTGCTGGGAAGACAGGCCGGCTCAACGGCCCTAAAGCTCCTAGATGTAACGATTTCTGTCTGGACTGTTGTTACGCGGCGCAAACAGCGTGCTAGACCTGGGGCCATTGCCCGCCCCCATTTCCCCAGCCAAAGTCTAAGGCAAGATATATTCCCGAGAAAGTGGTCTTGCCCCCAACAGGGGCATGGAGTCGCGCCTATGCTTCCACCTATCAACATCTGTGACAGAGGCGCCTTTTTTCGGGCCGACTTCCTCGAAGCCAGACCAGGGCTGAAGTGAGCGAGTCCGGCTCTCAATTGCTGCTCTCCGCGCGCCTCGTCGCTAAATGGCCAACGTCTGGGGCGAACGAGGCCAGAGGTAATCAATAGAATGCCTCGTGAATGAACATGTCAGAAAACCAACCTCGGGTCAAGCCGTTTATGGACGAACCATTGGACTTTCACCAATCCTGCGGGGTTTGCACCATTTTCCGGCATGCGGCATGCAGCAAAGAGGTTTGCTAGTGATCGTGCATCGGACCGTTGCAACCGTGAGGCTCACGTGGAGGTGGTGCAGTGACCATTGTGCTCAATCTCTGTAAGGCCTGGACTTGGCTCTGTGCAGCGTCTGGAGGTCTCCATCGCTCAGCAGCACAAGTAGCATGGCATGACACCCTCTAAATCGGATGCATGTTGCCGTGAGCTCTACCAATGCAAGTTGCTCTGGCTGCCTAACATGCGAAATCAATTCATCAAGCTGTCTAGTCTAGCGCGAGCACTCACAGACGCTGGACTTTCCGTCGGCTCCAATTCCGCAATATCCCTAAGCGAGGGTCGAATCTCATCGACACAACCTAATTCACTATGTTATTTCCCCACCACCAGGGCGGTTCACGGCACCGGCTTGCTGCCCCAGATTTGCTCCTCATCTTGGCTTGGCGGCACGCGAACTGTGGGTGGGTGAGTTGACACTCGCCTTTTAGATAATTATAGAGCGCCGAGAGAAGCCCTTCGTATAATCGGATCGCTCGTTCTCAGCCACGTGAATCAAGCACTTACCTTTCCCACCAATTTGCAGCTACTCTGCCCCGTGCGGCGGTCATGTGTGTCGCGCATCCGAGGTCGCATTTACCAAAAGAGCGCCCCCACACGTTCACACAGCATGAATCCCAGATTTTGGAAGCAGTTGGGGTATTTTCTCACGGTCAGCTCTTAGCAAGGAGGTTCTATCTTGCTTTTGTGAATCTTTCAAGGCAGAATGGTAACAGAGACACCGTCCTGGCCCGTCCTGTGCTATTGCCGAGGTCAACCTCACGACCAGTCTAATGAAGGCCTCGTGTATGAGAGGAGGCCCGCATCCACAGCGCCAGTCAAGGTCCCTAAAAACGGCCTTGACTGCTTGCTGGCATGAGGTGGGTCCCACAAAATTCGACTACCCTATGCTCAGTGATGAAGAATCAACTCAACCAGGCTCTGCGCCAGCCCTTTAATGTGCGAGCTGAAATTGGTGTAATCATGACGCTTGATGCTGTGAATTAGGACTTTTACTTTATTGCAACTCATCCTGTGCATCACAATAATGAGGCAGCTTGTTTGAGTTCGTTATCAACATCCAAGCAAAAAGTCCTCGCGCGGTCTTCTGCAAAGGAGCTCATTCAGGAGCTGGTCACAGATATTTCCTTTGTACTAAGCCTATTTGATCTAACAACGAAGCAAATTGCTGAACTCGGCTATATCATCCTTCCTTGACATCTCCTGGCTGAACCGAGAGGTTTTCTGTTCAGACGTTTTGATGTGTTGCGGTAGCATATCTTGCAGTAGAAAAGCTACTTCAAAATTGTATGCATAGCGCTAAGTAAACTATGTATACGACGTGCATCAGCAATGTCCATCCTGTGCCAATGGACTTAGCCATTTTATGTAAGCAGGACCGGCACAATCCGGGGCTTCCCATGTCTAGGAAATTGAGAAGAGACGGGTGATACAGGAAACAAAAATATTTTCTCTCCCCTACGTTTGAGGTTTTAGCCCAAGGCATCGTCCTCTGCCACACCCATTCAACATACGCTTTTCCACAATATAAGCTTGGTGTAGGTAGCGCGGGCTTATGCACTAATACAATGAAGCATAATCCAAGCAATTAGTTCGCTGCACAGTGGAATTGAAGCAGGGAATTTTCTGCTGGGTGCTTTTAGTTCTTATCAATCAATGCCAGCTATTTTTGGACTGATCAAGTTCACTATGGCGCCTGCTCATGCGACACTCTGGTCCTTGGAAGTGGTAACTTGTAGGTGGCCGACCAGCTTCTTTCCCTACTCGCACAGAGCGCACAAAACCACGTGATGCTCCCCTGAATTCTATGCAGGCCTTGCCCCTCTCAATACGACGTTTTTACTTCTTGGTTTTCTGTACCATTGATTTATTGAAATACCTCGAAATAGCTCGCACAATGTCTCCTCGACCCCGCCCCATCCGGAGAAAGCCAGCCCCTATCGGCCGAGTTCCCAAAACCACCCTGGCAGCCTAGGCAATGCTGAGAGCAATGCTGGTTGTGTGAGGATCTGGCAGAAGGTACGGATGATGCCCCGAAGATATTCAAACGGTTCAATCAATGTTTCCCCGTCGCAGAGCTAATCCTTTGTACACCACCTACAGCTTCAAACCCGTCATGTTCGCACACTCGGCCGACCTAAATTACGATATTCGCTATTACAAGCCACCCCGACAATGGTTTGGCCCGATGTTCGACTCGTCAACCCCTCCCGAAATAAAGCAGCTTTCCCATGTCGCGAATATTCCCACAGCGACTTCTCGCAGCGAGCCTGCCACACGATGCTGGATCAATGATCCAAAATATCTTGTCGGCCGGCGTCCCGTGCCCAGACCCTTTCGATTTCGAGAGCCTACAAGCAACCGACGCCTGTCCGGACATCACTGTCCTAAGGCACTGCGGCCGAGCAAAATATAACGGACGGCATACTCCCCGATGCATCATAGCTAAAGGCCAGACCTTTCTGGCTTCCGATGAGACAACATACTTGCTCCAGAGCTATTTGCAGTACTCCGCCAAGCTTGAGGGAGTGCAGGAGATGCCGTCATCGGGACTTTACCCTCCTGAAGGAGCCATATGTCCCCCGTTCCTCGGCCTGGACTCCTCACCTGGAGTATCGACACGGATGGTCAAGATTTGATGACCATTGAGGTAGCTCTTGGCCACATCTTTCGAGGATAGGATACCAAGCTAGATGCTTCCAATAGAGCGCTACCCCGACGATACCTGGAGAATTCTGAAGGCCTGCCCAAATATTCCCTCCCATACAAGAAACGATGTCTAGTGGAAGCCATCCTACCAAAGACCTGGATCTCTTCCACTCGACAATACAATCGACCTGCGCCAACGAAAGTTGGTCCAATGGGACTGCACTACAACGAGCCAGCCACTCCGTCGCCAGGACGATCTACAGCGACCATGTACAATCGACGCACTTGTTGGTTTGGCTTGAACACTAGTCCTGGGAATCTGGAAGCTCTGAAGTGTTCGCTCGAGTTGCTCCCTTGTCGTCAATAGTACGTACTGTTGTTTCTGAACTGGCTGTCGAGTTACTGACGACTTGGCAACCATTAGTCAACCTTCCACAAGACTTCAACCTCTCTAAGACGACATCTCGATCCTTGACGGGCGCATTGCGAACGTTTGAACCGAATATACCATGAGCTAAAAGAGGGGAGTCTTGTTGCCAATGGCTGTTGGAGGAACGAAGACCTAGTGTTTACCATATTAATTTACGATTCACTTGTGATCCCTCGTCACCCCAAGCGCAGAGCGATTTCCAGGACCGACCCAAACCCGTCGCTTGTCCCAGTGACATCCCATCCCTGAAAGAGCTGCACGCCCGGAGTCGATCTTACAATCCACCGAACCACCCACCGTAGGCACTTCGCGTGCCCCTCGTCGTTCCATGCCGGCTCGTAGCCGTGCAGGATCTGGTCGAGCCTCGCTCGCTCTTCTAGTATGTCCAATCATTCGGCCTTCAGCGCTCGATTTTTCCAGGAAACGATGACGCCTACGCAGGAATCGGCAGTCCGTCCGTTCTTGCGCTCCCAGCGCCATCCACTTTGAATCGACACGCCGCGATCTGTTCGCTCTCGATCATGCTTGGGGCGCTCAACAGTCTCGAAACAAGTCGGCGAGAAGAGTGACAAACTTTGCTATGGAAACTGCTCACACCTCCCTGAATGGAATCGAACACAATATCGACCACGATTCTTTTCCTTTCCTCGAAACAAACCCGAGTTGCCTCACTCTCTGATCGTTCCTTTGTTGAGACAGGCCGTCGACCGTCAATATCACCCAAGCGAGCTTTGCTGCACTGGGCTTCAGCACAACCTTGATCGATGGGATCCTGAGTCGTCGAGGTCGTTGTTTCCATACTGTTCCTTCTTGACTCTCACCTCGGCTTTCTGCAGTTTGGAGCCTCGCTGATCATTAAGGAAAGAGCTTTGGCTACGCCGGCGGTGGGCCTTCGCTTCTCCTACATCTACCAACATGGCTCAGTGTCGACGGTTTGCATCCTGAGCTGCTGCTTCGCCATTACCCCGGACGCATCACGCCTGTGGAGGGTCAATATCTATCTTGCGTCGTGATGGCTTCTGAAAGATCCAATCAGGCCTTGATTTGGGTTGTGGGAATGGGCCATTTACCAAGAACCACCCACCCATGATCAAGTCCCGCCCATTGATTGTTTCAGGGGATCTTGAAATGTCGCCATTCGGCATTTGCTAACCGCTGGGAGCTGGACATCTTCTTAGGGTACACCCACCCCGTCATTCTCCGCAACGGAGGCCATTGAAACTACGAACACAACCATCGACATGGAGAAGCTCACTGTTTTGTCCTGGCCGTTACATCTAGCAGAGGGTCTGTTGCTACTGGTGGCCCCTCGGCTCATTAGTCTAGGGCAACCTAGTCATGTCAGCTCTGAAATTGTTCCATCCCCTGTGGCCTAGGCGAGATGAAGCAAGTGAACTAGGCTAGAACGTATAGACCACCCGGCGACAAACTTGAATCACCCTGCTTACCAAGCTCCTTAACGGGGAAGACAGTAGATGGCCATCACGATCGGGGGAGCGCCTCTTCGAACCACGAAACCTAAGACACCTCTCCAGCTCCAATTGCTACTCGCCACTGGTAGACCATGTTCTCTCAGCTTCCTCGTCCCACGTCTATATGACGTGGCTCATTTCCATCATGGTTTCGACACCGTTGGCTCGGCTAGTCCATGATCAGTTTCTGGATGTTGCTAAGATTATGCAAACTCGGTTCGGTAACGGTGCTTCCTACCACAGAGAGCACATTCCGTTGTTTGAGTCAGGCGACAAAGCTCTCCATCACTATCGATGGAAGCTTTCAGCACCCAACGTAATCTTGGTGATTGCGGGCTCACCACGGTCGAGTTCATTGACGGCGTCTCTTGGTAGATAAAGGTCTGGGCATGGAGCAATTGCACAGCTATCTTCCATCTGGACGAAGCCCGGCAGTGTCTAGACCCTCGGGTTCACATGGACAATGTCTAATCTCGATAGATTAAGCGATCTCCCTCTGGTTCCCGTATTACAATGATACAAATGCAAGATCAAAGAGATCAACACGGTGTTGATGACAAGCCGGCCGACGCAGCCATGAAAATTTTACACAGACCGAGCCAGACGAATCCTCCAACCGGGTTGGGGGTTACATATGACTCTCCACTACTAAGGGGTGGTAGCTGTCTACGAGGCATGCGTGCTGCCGCTCCCGGCTGAGTCCGTACATTGAGCATCAGCTATGCCCTTCCCTTCATCCTTTAAGAATTGGACACTGCAGTGGAAGTGGCAGTGTGTCCATCAGCAGCATAGAAGGCAACCTTGCCTCGTTTAGTCTCGGTACCATTTCCTGCCAACAATGCCCATAGCTACAGTCCTAGGGTTATCAAGTCAATCGGCATCCTCGTCACAAGCCAGAGTGCATCCATCAAAGACATCGTGTCGTCCCTGGGCGTAACTGGACTCGATGGACGTGTTTAGTTCTGGCCGGCTCGACTTTGCTTGTAGGTGGACCATCAGGTTTGAAACTGGTCTTTCACAAGGAGTGTCTTGGCGTTCAACTTCGATGGCTGCTCGGTCGAGTTACTGGATGAAGCTACAATGTCTCGACCTGTAGACCACCTGCGCCATACTTCTCTTCGGTAGCGTCCCATTGGGCTGCCACATCATGGCCATGGCAGAGGATAGTTTCGGCACGGAAGTATGAGATCCCTCGACGTACCTTGTCAGCGCCCTCACCATGCCTGCACGTTATCCGACGTGGCGGCCTTCCGCTCTGAACCACGATCGAAACCCTCAAGACGAAAAGAAAAACATCGCACTGCGCCCAACGCGTGCCCGACGTATGAGTCGAAGTCGTTGCGAGCAGGAAGCAAGTCCGCTCCGGGCAAACCGTCGGGCCCCGAAAGCCTCCCAAACGATCAATCCTCCAGGCCAACACCCCAAGCCACGCGCAAATCTCGACTCCCCTGCCGTTTATCATACCGCGCGGGCTTCTTGTCGACGTTGAGCAACGATCAGGCCAACTAAATCTCCTCCCATGCTGGCGTCGGCAAGAGAGTTAACATCGAGCTAATCGTCAACTCTTGGGCGAGTGCCGACAACCCTGAAAAGAATCAGGGCTCCAAAGTCGAAGTGAAAGTAGGATGACCAGCATCAGGACTCCAGTTCTCCTTAATGTAGAACGCTGAATCGTGACCCTGATCGTAGAGCATCTCCTCATGTACTGGGAGACGTTGGCATGTTGAGAAGAGTTGGATACTGGCCAAGAACATTAGAACGTTAGTAAGTCCGGCAAGCACTTGAGTAGTTCGGTAAAGCCATGTAGGTCCATCCAAATGACACCCCAGATGATCTCCGGCAGAATGCCACACCCTCATGTGGGTGCTCATGATTGAGCTCAATTGTGTGAAGTCCCAAACGTCCAACAATTCTGTCAGCCTTCAAAGCATCTTGCCAAGCGGCACTACACTTCGGCACGTCGTAGGGTCATCGTAGGATGTCTGTAGGTGTCCCTGGAAGAGGAGGCATTGACAGCTCCGGGATACGGCAGCAGCGATGGTCAAATCTCAGCAACCACCCACGTCGGTTGAGGATGGGCTTATGGAAGTTAAGATAAACGCTTCTTGTCCACATTCTCGTCTTCTTGACACTAAGGACCGATTTTCTCCCTTTCTGACACCCAAACTGCTCGTCTCTGAGAGTTATGTTCACTTGCAAGATAGACTCGCGGGTTATATATGTTGAATTGACTCTGAATTTTTTTTTTCCTGCTTTAACTACAAAAAAGAGACCCGGTAGAATTCCTCGCTGTAGGTCAAGTCTAGAAACCCCAGTACTGAACAAGCAGAACATAACTCTTTCAAGGAGAAACGCGCCATGCGTATCACGCATCACCGCATTCCCAACAGAGTCACTACCCGTATTTCTTCACCAGCTCCTCGCCTGTACCGCACTTTCCTGTGACCAACAACATCTCGCCCCAGCTCTGGACATCCACATCACAGTCGCTCCCCAAGCTCCTCCACCTAGCCCCCCTCACTTTGCTTCAAATCCGCGTCTCCCCAAGTCGAGGAACCAAGATGGTATCCAACCGGGATATGAACGAACACACTCCCAAGGAGGAGATTTATTCATGAAGCGTCCCCCTCGACGACATGAATGGATGACAGTGGATACTAACAGACACCATTCGTGGCCACACCCCACGTTGGAAAAATGATGCTTCAGTTATTGAATTTTTGGGAAACATATCGCTATCGCCCTTCCACGCCTTACACACCTTTCAAGATGACGGAACTTTTTACTTCAGCAACGAGCTTGTCCTAGGAGCCACCATGGCGCAGCTCACTGAGGACCGTAAGGCAGTTGTCGCTTGGGAGTTGATGCGCCATGTCACCACGCTCAAGTTGCTTCAGTCTGACACCCCGGGTGTGCCAGGTCAAGCATTTCTCTGCGCTCCCAACAAGATTTCTACCCTTTTAGAAGCCCCATAGCTGCTTTCAATCGAGAAGGGATGCTTTCAAAGGAAGCCATATCTTCTGTCACAACGATCTGGGCCACAGCAATGTCATCATTGTCCCCAGACACATAAAATCAACGCCATCATCGCTGGAAGTGTGGAGGCTTTTAGCACGGGTAGCTTGAACAGCCCTGCTGGAGACAAAATGCGCTCAGCGCTCCCCTTCACGGCGAACTTGACGACAGAAGTCGTTGCCGGGCAGTGCTTTGAGACTCATTTTGACGAGATCGTGATGCATCAGCTGCTGTCTCTTGAGAAGAAGCTGGCCTAAAGCAACGGCACGAATTGCAGCAAACGATCCTCTCTCGACATGTGTTTCTGTATCGCGACAGAGCTTTTATTTTTTCTTTTCCACAATAAGATGGGCTCAGAGGTCGGGATATATGCAGACTTTCCATGGGGAACGAAGGCGCTATTGAGCGTACTCAAATATTAACGAAGACTAAAAGGACTTCCGATGGGCAATTTTAAGCCTCATACAACAGAAGTGAATGCTCAAGATCCGTGACTGGCGGAAGAGGTATCATCTCTGGTAAAGGCCAGCTTGAGACACTCTGACTCTTTTGCTCCTCCTCAGATACATTGTCCCTATTTGGAAAATTCCGTGGCGTGATCAATTCCTCGGCCAGAGGAAAAATTCTTGGTATTGGTGGGAGTTGAAATTGAGGAAAATTCGCCGAGGATTTCAAATCCACTGATCTTGGTGGCGTGAGTGGCAAAAATGGTCGAGTTCTAAGCGTAAACTGTGTGCCAGAGACAAGTTTTGACGACAGGTCTGCCTTTTCGTTGATTGGAAGAGGTGTTTGCTCTGCATGGGGCTTGTTCGACGAGAGTTCGCCCCCTTTTTCTGTTGTCAAAAGGGGATGACTTGTAGGCGGTTCAAACGAAAAGTCGAATTTGCCAACTTCAGTCAAAGCTGGCTTCTTTGTAGGAGGTGGATTGAATGAGAACCCAAATTTATTGCCAGATCTTAAGTCTTGGTGGTTCTCAGCCGATAATTTAAAATCAAGATCTGGCATTACGCCTGTCGTAATATGCGGCTGCTGTTGAGATGGCGGTCTGAATAAGAAATTAAATTTTTGGTTAGAGGTATGGTCCTTTCTCAAATCTGATGGACTTTCAGGTGGCGTTTTCAGAGAGAAATCAAATGTTGTTTCTGCCCTTGAAGCTACTCGATTGTCAATAGGTGCTTGAAACGAGAAAATAACCTTGTCATCCGTTCCCAAAGCTGGGTGCTTTTTGACCGGGTTGTTGAGCGAGAAATCAAACATGGTCTGGGGTTGGATTTTTCCCATGGTCGGCCAGAAAGTCTTTTGCTCCTCCTGCTCGAATAAACTGGATCCAGCTCGGCTATTGGAACTTGATTTTACTGAGCCCTCAGTCGTCCGCTGTGGTGATGGGGTTGGATTTGGAGTCAGCAAGATCGAAGCTGGTTTCATTGCCGGTGGTGTTTTGAAGGAGAAGTTGAACCCGGTGCTAAGTTGGAACTCTTTAGATGGTTGCGAGAGCGTACTCTGATCCTCCTTCTCTAGGAAACCCCGCTCGGCTTGGGTATCAGAACTTGGTTCTAAATGTGGTTCGGGAGTGCGAAGCTGTGTAGGAGGCGATGACGGAAGGATTTCGGATATCTGGGGCTCAAGTGTGAAACTCCTGGGTATTTCAAGATCCAGCCCAACTTGGAAACGATCATGCAATATTGGCAATGCCTGTTTCATGCTTAATAGCTCGAAAGTGTCCGGATCTCTGTCCGAGCTAGCCGGTGTTTCACTTTGAGAAACTTCAGCCTCGAGTGTATCGTCCTCTTCAACTGGCACTTCCAATGTTGCCATTGCGAGTATGGATGCCCTGTACTGCCCTAGTAACTTATTTGCAGTGACCGACTCGTCCATTTTGCTCATTTTATCGATTGCATCTCTCCAATTGTTCTCGATCCCACCACTCGCGTCGTATATTGTTGCTGATTTCATAAACTCTGCCCACTCTGCCACCACCTGGGTTGCTCTCTCTTGACTGACTTCGAACCATTCTCTGTGACTCTTCCCGCATCCTTTACACCTTCGCTCTGCGCGCCACTCTGTGGCCAACTCGTAGTGTGTCAGAGTCTCCGCTCGCTGGGCATAGGGAACATTCTGAACGCTAAACACTAGGTTGGGCTCGTATCCGCATCTGGCCCAGCTTTCAAGGCGGCCCTCGACTTCCCGAGAGGTCCAGCCAATCTTGACATAGCCTGGAGAAGAAACCCTAGTGAAGATATACAGGGAGCCTCTCTTGAAGTCGTCTTTCACAAGGGGGCTCAGAATCTTGGACATTACATTCTCGTCAGGCTCCTCGACGTGGGGGCGGAAAGTTGAAAGTGGTGCCCGGCGTCTTGGGTTGGAGCTGCCAATGCCTTTGTCTTTATCCCCAGGATCATTGCGACGTCGGAGATCATAGCGTTCAGTTTCTTCTAAGTTCCATCCGTGCTCAATGAATTTCGAATATTCTTCAGAGCTCTGCAGGTTGGATGGGACGCCGACAACAAATTCAGCTGCGGTTGAGACAGAGCTTTGAGCTTCGATGATCGTGGGTAATTCGGAAGGATATGTTGTCGCCAAAGGACCGCCAAATGAGGCGATTGTAGCCTCTGGCGAAGTGATAGTATGTTCATCCTCGGTTGCAGGAGTTGAACTCCGCGTAATCACCTTGCAGGCCGAACGTCGCTGCCGGATCTCATCTAGCCACCTCTCGGCCAAGGGCGTCAGAAGATCGACATCTTCAATACGATTCTGATGGCGAGCGCCTTTGGGTTTTGGCCCGCAACAATTGTACTTTGCGTAATCTTCAAGGACTTCAAGACTCGGAAGCTCAGTATCGGGCGCAAGATTAATCTGACCATAGAGCTTGATGGCCCGCTCATTGTCTACTTCTCGACAGTCCCAACTACATCTATTCCCTTTGAGAGTATAAAAGATGCATTGTCTCTGTGCACGCGGATCAAGGTCGTGAAATTTAATAAAGAAGGATACTCCAGGGTCGGATGTCATGACAGCGGCCGATTCCTTATCGTAATGGTCTCAGGTTTCTGCCGAAGGCTGCTATGGTAGCTCGTTTCTGCCCAACCACCCTCAAAGTGCGGCACCTGGTCTCGGCCCTTCAATCAAGAGGAAAAGGGGAGAAGAGCGGTATACGAAACTGGAGCAAGAGCGCCACTTATCTTAAAGCCACGAGCAAGAATCAAAAGGCATGGGCTTGACCGCGAGGCATATTTTGAAGAGCGAATTGCGATCATTCGATGTCGACAGAGCTCAGCCGCAGCAGGGCGCAGCTGAATTCATGCCAAGCAAAACCAACCAATACTGTTATCGCTTTCGGCTTATCGGCGATCGCATTTTATTGGCTTCTCCGCAACGGGAATAACTGACCAACTTGAACATGGAATGCCATGGTTAGATTCGGGTTTCTTGCGTTTGACCGACGGTATATGGCGGGGACGGGGAGCTGTCTCGTAGCCGGGAGTCGTGCGAGAGAGAAGAAGCAGTGGCTTGTGCGAGCTCTGAACTGCGAATACTGGCATCTGATTGGCTGCAAAGAGCCGGCGCTCGCGAGCCGAGCCAGTTTGTCGGGTTCGTCTCACAATGTTACAGAGTAGAGTGGTCAAGTTGGCGGGAGGGAAAAGCGCTCGAGATATCCGGGCTGAGATGAGGGAAGTACAGGACGTCATAGATTGGGACGTGGTGGCAGGTGCGATGGTTGATACGAGCTTGTGCCGGCGCCTCGTGCGATTGAATGGTACCTAAGACACTGGCCTTCTAAGTTAGCTCTCATCGTAGGGCCTATAAATTAGGTGTCAGTTCTTTCTAGCATTTCCAATGGAGCAGCTGGGAATAATTTGCAGGCTACAACCATATTCATCGAAATTCTGTGTAGGCTCCGTCAAATATATGCGCATCTTGCACTTATAACTTGAGCAATACCGTCTCCGAGAACCAACAAGCTGTTTACCAAGCTATAGGACTATACCTTCGTTTTACAATCCAAAAATCCTTGCACAAGCGCAATACTACTGTTCCATTTCCCGTCTCTGGCGTGATGTGAGTTTCACCCTTCGGTCGACAATGTCCCACCCAGCCATCGGATATGAATAACTGTCACCACTGTTGAGTTAGACATACATGTACATGTACAACTAGGAAAGATAAAACATTTCAAGCATGAGGAGTAATACAGTCGCTGATACAAGGACTACTGGTACAGTCGGCCCCCTTCCCTAGCACACGCGTAGCTGATCGAGGTCCCGGTTGTTCAACAACAGAGAGTACCAACCATCATCTGTGGCAGCGCATAAAACAACTATCAAGTTACACGCTCAAGTTACTCGCTAACAATCACCTAACACGACTCGCTTGTGGCGGCACGTGTTCTGGTCGCGCGTTGGTTCGTGCTCACCTGTTTAGGAAGGAGGCGACGTGATTCCACCGCGCGATCGATAAGCCCAACCACCAGCACAGCTAAAACCATCCACGCAGCCTCTTTTTCCATTCCTGACAAGGCATCCCTCGACTTCAATCCATCACGGCCCTCCCACCCGGTTTATCACTCCCCATCAGGCCACCCTCTCCCATCACGTTACCTGTTGGCCGCCCACGGAGCTGTCGGGGGAATCAGCTAGCGAAAGTTCCCATCCCTACGCTCCACTCTTTGCCGATATCGCAGATTGAAAGGCAGGGCGAGGCTTCCCCTGAACTGCCACCTGGAGGGTTCTCAACACCACCTCCAGCATCCCCAAGTGGTATCGCATAGCAGCCGAGGCCCATCCGAGAGGTAGTGGCTTCAACGCAGCGCGACGAACCAGAGTCCCGACGATGGCTGAGCAACGCGACTACTAAGCCCCTGGTTTCAGCTTATCTGTTCTTATGCGATACGGCTAGACAGACGTTGGGTTTCGGAGAGTTTGATTGGACTTGACAGTGATTGCCCCGATCCAGAGGCCAATCTATGAACAAATTCTGCACCATTAAACCCCATTTCCTTGGGCGTTCTGGACTACCACTAAGGACGCCTGATATGGCTCCCGCGGACAAGGCTGTTAGTACCAAGACCTTCGGCATGGAAGCATCAAAGTGGACCAAATACCAGATTCGCTCAGCGTCCGCCGCTAACCGAGAAGGTTTCGCCCAACAGAAAGAGACCTCCACGTCCGTTTCTCCTCTGGTTTCTCGGAATAACAGCCGTGGCGGAAATCCCCAGGCCGCTAATGAGCCGTCTGCCAGGTCAAGGTATGGCTCCGGCGCCGGCCTCGGCAACAGCCAGAGTTCACCCACCAAAGAAAACGGCCATCCATTTCCAGGTGCCATCAATGGCGAGAAGGCATCTCTGCCCGCCCAGAAGCAGGAGGAATATCCGACCATCTTCCTGTACAGCTATGTGCAATCCTACGCACCTTACCACGTCCAGAGGTGGATCCCGCCCGCCCAGATCTTCGACATGACGTTTGACGAGTTGAAGGCGGTGCTGCCGCTCAAGCTCATCGAGGGCCACATCCTGACCTTCACCTTGTTCTCGGAGCCAACGGGGATGATGTACCGCGTCAGTACTGGCACCGACTCAGGATATGACTGGGTCAAGGAGAGGTTTCGCCAAGTTGTGAAAAACTTTATTGAAATCAGAGGAACGAGAGATTTGCCCAACCTTTTCTACATCCGGGTCGAATAGTTTGGATTTTTCTGGGGGCAATCGATTCGAGAGCGATTGGTGAATCGTCGACGGCTGAACAAGTTGCGCCGGTGGTTAGGGAGGATCAGAGATAGAAGTGATATGAGGGATTGGCGATTGAAGCAATCTCGCATGGGCCTGAGTCAAAATAGACTGTAAGAATAGCAACAGAGTTGCGGGATGAGGCAAGCATAGCGCTTGAACGAGGCAATGACAAGTTAACAATTCACGAATAGACTTTCTAACCTTGAAGATTCTAGTCTTTAGGTTGAGTCTGGTTAATGGCTAGGCGTTATACCTAATCTTTTGCAGACCCAAGAATCTCCGTGCGATCAGACGTTTAATGGAACATAAGATTACAAGCGGAGGAATTTTCTTCGTTCGCTTGACCAAGTACGGTTTCATCCTCCCATAGCTGTGTTTGGGACCTGAGAAGAAAAAAATCGACATGCTTGGACCGTCTGCCCCATGGGCCCGGTGTCGCTCGATCGCATATTCTCGAATCGCAAGCTCGATTATTTCTGAAATGAATGGGGAACGGTCGGATGTTCCGGCAGAATAAGGGCGATGCTGGCCCCTCCGGTCTCGTCAGCCTGGCGTGACTTCAGCGTGAGGGGGAAACGGGTCTGTCCTGCGACTCCAAACGGTTTGGGTTGTCGCCGCGCCAGCTTGGGAAACGTGCACGGGATAAAAGAATCACCATGTAACCTCGTGCGGCTCCCACGAGTCTTGGAAGATGCGGGAATATTTATCCGGATTCATGTTGACGATGCATGATTGATCGTCGGGCGAGGTGCATGATATGACAAACAGCGCGTATAAAGGGTCAATGATTTCCCAGAAAAGGCTTCCTTGCTTCCACTGAAACCGGGATCGGGGTAGAGACTTTCACTCTCTTGGCAAACGAAGCTTCCCTCACGTTCTCAACCCTCTTCAGCGAGTCCAGCCGTTAGCATGGAATCCTCCAGCGCTGAACACCCCAAGACGGCCATCGTCACTGGCAGCGCCCGGGGAATGTAAGTTTTTCTAACCCTGTTATGCTCCGGCGAGTGATCTCTGATAGCCGTTCCGGATAGCGGCAAGGCAATCGCGCTTAGGCTAGCTAGCGATGGGTACGATGTTACCATTGCCGATATACCGGCCATGTCGGCGGAGGCAGAGGCAACGGCCAAGGAGATCGCAGCGCTCGGTCGCAAATCGTTCGTTGCCCTCGGAGACGTGTCTGTTCGGGCAAACGTGGAGTCAATCGTCGCGCAGCATGTCGAGAATATCGGGCCGTTATTCACCATGATTGCCAACGCAGGGATTTGCGAAGTCAAGTCGGTGCTGGAAGTGACAGAGGAAGACATCCGGAAGATGTACGACGTCAACGTCTTCGGGGTCTTCAATTGCTACCAGGTTGCTGCTAAGCAATTGATCAAGCAGGGTACGCCTGGCCGACTAATTGCAGCGTCGAGGTGAGTGGTGATCCCGATGTATGCTGTGAACTATGCCATCGCTAAGACCAGCACTGCCGTGTTCAGCATCGTGGGTTTCAAGCCATTTGTGAATATGGTGAATTACAGTTCCAGCAAATGGGCTGTGCGGGGTATGACGCAGGGATTCGCGATGGAGATGGCGCCTTATGGCATCCGAGTTAACGCCTATGCTCCTGGCATCCATGCAACCAAGATGTGGGAGCAAATCGATGGTTCTCTGGGAAAGTTGGAAGGAAGGGAGCAGGGTGAGAGTCTGAAGAAATATTCCAAGGACCTCATCGCATTAGGTCGGACGGGAGAATCGGAGGATGTTGCCAAATTGGTCTCCTTCCTTGCCAGCGATGATAGCGAGTACATGACGGGGCAGAATATTCTTGTCGACGGCGGAATTGTCTTTACATAGCTCGTAGAGAGCTAGCACATTCGAACAATTGAACAGTTGAATCCCAACTCGCTGGCGTGCTCGCGACAGACATCGTTAGGTTGTTATTGCCATCGCGGTCGGAATGCGATGGGATCGTTTTCGACTTCGATGGGTAAACGGGAAGGCTCGACGGCGAAGCAGGAAGTCTCGTCAAGAAATCTTGCCGATCGACCTGGCGAAACAATGGTAGAGGGTCTTAACAGGCTGAACTGGCTTTGTGAGAATGTGCGCAAGCTCTTCCAGGTAAAATTGTGTCCTTCAGCGTTGATCGGATGGGAATTGGTGTTGGTAGAACGCATCACACACCTCGTCACGCACCTCGTCGCGCACCTCGTTTCGATATTTCTTTCGTCGCGCTATTCCTGGGGTTGGAAGTCTAAATAAAGGTAGTTAGGCATATACTTTTTGTCAATTATTCTTTATCTTGCGTCACTCATCTCGTGGGGAAATGAAATTGGCGTCGTGGATACAGAAGCCTCGGTTCCCGATGAAGCGTAAGCACTGTAAAAGGAGGAACACCAGGCCTGTGGCGGACCAGACTCTTCGAATCGAACGACTCAATTTTCGATAGGCACTTTAAAAAGAAGAGCATGCTACTGCGACAAGAAACTTGAGCGCATGACTTTTGTTTCCAATTGGGAATTTTCTAGGAATTGAATTGTTGTGTAGGCAGGAGGAGAGGAGAGTCCAGGGGACGCAATGGCAGGAGCGACAGCGGAGGCCACTGCCAGCTCCACCTACGAATTAGAAGGCACCGACCTGCTACAGCCCACACTCATAAACATTCGGTAGCCGGCAACACTGATATCAAAATGCGATCTTGGTGAACAAGGTTTCCAACAGCCGCCGGTGACAATTAGCGCATCGCTCGATTCCATCTGACGGACTAAATAATTCTAGTGTGGCAATTCCACCCCGTAAATAGCCAGTTTGGGAACGCGATCGAGGTTCGCAGGGGCTGCCCCAAGGCTAAATAAATGCAACACCAAACCGAGTCGCACAACAAAGCTGCGATGTTCAGCAAGGCGCATTGATGCCTCCCTGAACACTGAGCAGTGTCAGAGCGCCAGAACACCTGCACGCTGGCAATTAGGTAAGGCAGGCAGTGCCACCATTGTGGCTTTATCCAGAGCGTCACAGTGGCCCGATACGGGGCTGTTTCGTCGCAGTGGCGCTCCGAACAGTCGGAGGTCGTGCATGTTCACGGTACCTGTTATCTGCACTATCGCGGGGTTCCGATCGTTGGTCTGGGGTTCCGGTACTTTTTTACCCCACTTGCATTTTGCATTGGCCAATGGCAAGCCTAAATGCACGCTTTATTCTGTTACCCTGCACGAATGTCGGCATGATATCGGCTCATCTTCTACTGGGGACCACGAATCAACATGCATCGTGAGTACTACCAACTACCGGTTGTGGTTTCATTGAGGCATGTGCACCTCTTGATCATTTGAATATGACGGTCTGGGTATGAAGTTCGACAAAAATCATTACGACACGGTGCTTGAGGTCTGGCGAGTCCTGCTCCGCCGTTTTCCCAGCCATTTGATGAAGTCGGCTGGCCGAGAACGACGGTGCAGTTGGATCGAGGGGCATACGCTCCTCCCCCAATTTTTCGTCTTGGTTACACAAAAGCAAAACTTTTTCCATCGCTTTCACCGATATTCCATGCTGCAGCAGGCGTGTACTTCTCATGGTGCCCAGGCGTCGGCGAGCAACCAAGTACCACCCGGCACGATGACGAAACTTGCTCAAACGATGTTGCGTAAACGAGACTATCGGAACTTGTGTCTCGCGGAAAGCTGCTGGAAAGAATATGGAACACGTCATAATCCCACGACGGCAAATTTCTTTGGGAAACGAGCAGAAGCTGGCCATGCGGGAGTGCGTAAAATGAACAGTTGCAAGGGTCAAGGTACGTAGGGAGACATGGACGCAGCCTTGTTTGAGAGAGGATGCCACACCCCCTCCCGGCACCCGTTGGGAAAATCCCACATCCGCCCCAGACCGCTTCCCTCCCCCCCCCATCACTGCAGTAAGACGGGTACATCGCGCAAAGTTAGATTGGCTAGCCGAGATTCCAGATTGTCGAGTGCGGGCGGCCGCGACGCCTAGAACCAGCCCATTTCCGAATCGCTCCCTCCGCATGCATGGCGACCCCGCTCGGCGCCTTACGGCTGAGGGAGAACACTTTTGTGCGAGCAAGGGTTTCGGGGGAATGAGGCTCTGATCGTCGGAAAATTTAAGACATGTATTGACCAGCCCTCCCATTCCTTGACCGTGAGCAGACCGCTTGGTCATGACTAGACTGCTTGGCCATGTGAGAGAGCGGGGAAGGGGGAAACTATCTTGTTCTCGCCGCAGCTGGATGCTGAATGCGGTATGCCGTTCAAGGCTGCGTGCCGTGCCGCATGAGCAAGATACCTGCGATGCTACTTCACAAGGTTCGAGACATTGCTTTGCTTTCTTTTTTTGACGGAGGGCGCAGTACGTGGCGTTGGGCAGCTGACGGGTTAGTAGCCAGTCATCATCGCTCTGCTGTCTGGGCACGTATGCATCCATCCATGCCATCCTGCAAGACGGCTCGCAGTGCCACCGAAAAAAAAAAGGGAAATGTCTCAGCCTATTACAACTTGTTCGAGACTTCACAACACCGCTGTCGTGTTCGCGAGACAATGGAGGGTGGCTGCATGTGAATATGATAAGGCTTAGCCAATGGGCCTCTTTTCATTTGACATGCCTGTCCTAGCTGGAGGAGGAGAGAGGGCACAGTGTCTGAGAACGACCAATGGGCTCGTGTTCACCTGACCTGCCTGTCCATTCTTGACGAGGGGATGGATACGAAAATGTTTTGGCAAAAGCAAAAGCATGCTGACATGAGAGCGGCCAATAGGCTCAGTTTCATTTAACATGCCTGTCCTTGGTTTGCAGATGAGCGGCCCACACCAAGCAAGTATTGGGGAGGAAACTGCATTTGTCTCTGAGGTAAGTGTCTATTGAGACGCATGTGAAGGGCTATCTCTTGGGAAGGGAAAATGCAGAAAATGGACTTCGAAGTACTTGTCGAGGAAGTGTGCGTGGAGCTATACTGAGGAGAAACTGATGGAGTTTAGTCGCGCTGGGCGAGCGCCTCCCACGGTCGAGCCTCCTGCGAGTCTGAATGACGGGATTGGTTGCCTACCTGAATGTTCCTGTCCGATGGGAAAAGAACATAGGATGCGTCCCAGTTTGGTATTCGATTGACTGTATGAAAAGAAGGCTTTTGGATTTCCCATCTACTCTTAGTCCGAATACAAAAGCCTGGCTTCCGGCCGCTCGTCCAGAGTCAAGGTCAACTCATCTTCCAATCTCATTCACACCCATACTACAGCTTGCCAATTTACTACTTCTCAAACTTTACTTTTCCGCTACCCCAATCACTTCACAATGACTCTGGCCCTCGGTCCCGTTATGAGGGGTGTCCATGCGGCACTCGCTGGACGCAACTACCCCGTCATTGTGTGGGGAGAGGAGGCCTTGAGGAAACTTGGGGCGAGAATCCCGCCTGGAATGGACCATGTAAGTCACCTACCTCGCGCTGGCCCCTCCCAAATGGTACCCCGACTGCCCCGATCCTAACCAAGCGGTCTGCGCAACTAGGAACTCATGCTGGTGCTCGAGAGCGGCGACATGGCGGACGCTGGCGCGCGGCTCCAAAATGGGGGCTTCCAACACGTGCCCTGGTCGTTTGGGCTCGACGTCGAGCGCCGCACCCACATGGATGCCGAGACCAACGTCAGGATCATGAACGACTTTCACTCGTTTGATATGTGTTCCCAGCGCTACGTTTACAGGCCGGGGTGGATCTCGGACTTTGAGGGAACGATCAAGGTGGCCCTCATCCCCGCGGCGTACGCTAATATTAGCCTTGCGATGGACCCTGCGCATGACTTTGAGGCAATCTGCGGCTTCCACTGGCCGAAGCCTGGCAGGCTCATGATCAGCTTCATCAAGACGCTGGTCACCGAGCCCATGGTCGGCTCCTGGAAGCATCTGCTGGCGATGTGGGCGGGCTTCTGGCTGTACCATGGGAAGAAGCTGCCAGATACAATCATGGACAACTGCAACAACGGGCTGGCCAGGCGCTACTTTGAGGTCTGTATCCGGCCCATGCAGTTTGCCCAGCTTGAGCTTCCGGTGGGGATGGAGCATCAATTTGTTGGTATGTACAACCCAGAACATTTTCGTTGAGTGGTTGTCTGGACTGTAGCTTGGTGCGCGGGTTCTCTAGTGTACCTAGGAATGTAGCTTCTTGTAGTGGGGGGGTGAAATGCAAATCTGGTTTCCTGTTTCATAATATGCACCGTGAAAATGATGGGATTCGTAGCTCTGCGTGCGGCCGTTTGGTCGGAAATCAATCTGGCCAAAGGGCGACAAGGTTAAAAAATAAAGTGGACGGGGTGAGACGGGTCGAGGTACTTGGCAATACTCGCCGATCCGCGTGCCGTAAATCTGGATGGGGATCGGATGCTAGAGCCGATGGACCATGATCTCCCTTCCCGGGCGTTAGTCTATCAAGTGCTCGGCTGGAATGGAGTGAAGGGGTTATCTCACTCATGGACTCAGTCGTGGACTCAGTCGTGGAGGGTCAAAGGCAGCCAAGACACGGCACGTCCTCACCGGCGTGGATTCGCTCCGGGCTATTGGATTGGTCGGGGCGTGGCAGTCGGTCGAATGTGTGCCCATGTCTTTCAGCTGTGTCTGCAGTTTCTTTTTCAGATGCGTGATTATTTTGATGGAAAGTACATACAATCAGGAATTGATCCATGGTCCGACAGCCTCAAACTCAAGGTTTGCGACCTGTCAAGTTCCGCCAGGCCCAATGGCTGGGCATCCTCGCAGGCAGTGGCGGGCGCACGACAATGCACGAGGGCGAGAGGAGACGGCTGGGGAGCATTTGGACCACTTTTTCCGTGCACTTTTGCCTCGATGGCACAGTCAAGTGAAGCCGCCTGCGACACTCCCACACACGCTGCATCCAGTCGCGTCGCAGAGCAAGCCACCCATTTCATTTCCGGGCCGCTTCTTGCACTTCGCGCATGGCGTGCGTGGACATCGATGCCTGGGCACAACACAACACATGCGGTGAGGAGCACACAGCCAGCCAGCCAGACTAACGCATGTTGCATCGCCCATCCCTCAGCTGCGCGGAGCAGCATGAGACATTGGCTGGGTCTATTGTTTTGGTCTGTCTCGGGGTTGTCCGACCCGGATTACTCCATCCTTGTGAGTTGCGAGAGTAATTCGCCCGACCGAAAATTGGGGGATTCTGCTAGCCTCAGAGGTGCCCACTGCGCGGAAGTAAGCTGACCCGGCCCCTCTCACCCGGCCGTAGAGTGCTAATGTTAATTATGCTATGTAGGGACTGGTGAAATAATGCCATGCTGTGGTAATCCGGGGAAGGGAAGATTGGTGCTGTCCATGGCATGGCATGACGTGCAGCTGGGCAGCAAACCACCGCCGGTGAGTCTGGGCCGACGGATTCGCTCTGACCTCGTCGCGTCGATGCAGTCTGGCTGCAAGACGACGTGCTGGTGCACGCCTCCTGCACCGCCAGCGCAGCAAAAAGAAACCTCATTATTGCATCTGATGGAGGGTGCCAGAACATTGCGCCAGAGGATGCGGTTAGTCTCCAGAGTGCAGCAAGCCACCAAGCCGTAAGACGGAGAATGTTGCGTTCTGGTGGAGCTGCTGCACCTCTTCCCACGACCAACCAAGACCATGTTTGCGAAAGATGCACGCCCAACCGACGAGCGCCGTGCGGAGAGCCAAGTATCTGACCGCCCTGGTCCTGGTACCGGTCCTGTTCCCCTCGATCCCAGCAACATCGCTCGCGATATGCCAGGCCGGCTCAATCGATCCCTGGCCCAAGGTTCTCCCCCGTCGGAGCTACTTGCAGGGTACAAGCCTCCAGGTGCAGACGACACAGCAGCCTCACTCCTGGCCAGACTGCACAACAATCTGTTTTCAGTCAACAATAGCAAGCCGAAACGACTAGTCTCCTTGCCTGTCCTTGCTTTTTGTGATAACGAGCGGCACGTTGCATCGCCGCAAGTGACCTGGAGACACCGCACTGGCTGATGTGGGGTTTTTTTCTTCTTTTGCGTGCAACGCGTGTGAAATCTTGAGTTCAGACCGACCGCAACCATGTTGCAATGGTGCGCTTTGGCTGTTGGTGTCTTGCCTGCCTCACTTGAGGGCTGCTCCTCCTTCCTCGAGTCTCAGGCCAAGCATAAAAGGCAGCTCCTCGTCCTCCTCAAACCCAGATTCTTCCTTCCCTCCTCGTGGCCACAATTTAATACTCAATGGAACTCGTTGCACTAGACTTCCTCTTTCTCATTTGATATATTTTCTCCCTTCTTCTTCCTCTTTTCTGGGCAAGCCGTCCTCTCTTCTTCCTCTTTTCTGGGCAAGCCGCCCTCATCTCATCTTGTCGTCTCTGGGTAAAATATACATTTTATCGGCCGCCGCTTCGAGTTCCATTGCTTGTTCCCTTCCTTAGACTGCATACCTACTAGACCTGCATACCTACTAGACCTGCATCTCTACTAGACGTTCATTACTACTAGACTCATTTCCTTTGTCACTTGGACTGATATATATATATCTGTCTTCATATCTGTGTATACATCTCTGTTGGGTTTGCGCACAGGCTGTCCCTTCCATGGAGGAGGCTGCAACCTTCATTTGGAGCCTCTACGTCCCTGCTGCGCTCACCTACCTCTTTGTCTATTCCTGTATTCGTGAATTGTCAGCAGGATCCTGTTTATATTTCTGCTGCACAATTTGCTTTCACTTTGCATTTTGTCACTTTTTTCATGCTCACGATTCCGTCTCTCCTGGAATTATTGCTCTGTAGGTGGCTGGGTCTATCTGTCTCCCTGCGAACCGTCACGCTCTACCGCAGCCGAGATAGATCGATCCTGCCTCCAACCCACATCCTCATCTCTCCGGGAGGTGCTTTCATCCTTCGGTTGAACTTGTGCGTCTCTGTGCTAGGCTTCACTGCCCTGCGGCCAATAGACGTCCCATCTTACCCTCGGGACTGCTCTTCGCCCAGCACTTCAGCTTGCCTCTCGCTGTCATCTGCTACATCACACCACAGCCGGCAGACTCCTACGGCCCGCCCACGCAGAGGAACTGACCTTGATCGCGCATTTCCTCTGCTATGTCGCAGCGATTTCTTCATCCTGCTGCTGCCATAGCCCTAGCGAGCGATCAGCCGCTGTTTCAAGCTCGTGGAGACTTTCCATCCAAACGGGAGATCGGCACCGTCATGCTGAACCAAATTTCGCCAGTGGTCTTCAACTCTGTCAGTGCTCAAGAGATTGTCGAGCATCCTTCGCACTACTCCACTTGCCACTGCTACAGCGGCGTACTGGTGTCTCCAATGACCGGGCATCGCGTCAGAATCCAGTTCCGAGGCTCAAGGCGGCAGGTCCATGATGGCAAGGACCCTCACGCAGCTCCTCATCACAAGCTCCCCAAACTCTCGCACTCCGGTCCTTGCCAGAGCGTGCGAATGTACCAGTCGACGTGTGTCGTTGGCGCGCCGTGGATTGTCTTCAGGATACCCCCTCCCATCCCCGGATGGGAACTCGAGTCCCTGCCGTCCACGCTTGAGCCTGCGATGCCGAATCGGCCCCAGAACAAGGCGGGGGACATTCGAGGTCTTGCACGCTTCTTCACCAATCAGGTCAAGAAGACGGAGGATATCGTTGTGGCTTCGGGCATCTGTGACTTCCAGTTGCTCGCATCAGGGGCTGAGAAATCGCTTTATCAGCATTTCCACCCGGCGTCAAAGACCGCGTCCCTACTCCGCTGGTGCGTCGACAAGGTCCGCTTCAATATCGAAGAGTTGCAGGAGCTGCCGTACGTCTTGTTTCACAAGAAAGCAACTCCCAAAGAGTATGTCCAGGAGCCGCGCACCGGTCTGGTTTCGGGCGTCCTGCGATGGGACGACGTTCACTACGAGCCCATCGGCTTCAGCCTGGTCTTTGTCGACTACCTGCTGCGGAACCCAGCCGACTTCGCCCAGCGCGCGAGCGAGGCCTCGCTCGGGGCGCCGGACTACAGTTTCTACGGCGCCGTCTTGGCCAACCTCAGCGAGGCGGGGTTCCCGGACGTCACTCCCCAGCTCCTCCAAGCCGCGAGGGCTGCCGGCATGCTGGACTTCGCCTTCAGGCATTGCGTGGAGCCAGACACGACTTTCGCAAAGAACTTGCTGTTGTCTCACATGATATTCCTGGCGCACGTCGAGGAATACATGCATCGGTGATAGGCTTTGGGAGCTTACACGAGCTCCATGAGGTTGTTCTATCGTGTCGCTGTCATCATTCCCTCTTCTGGTGACCTTTGATGACTGGTTGTTCGAGCGACCTTGCACGTTGAACATACTCGGCATATTCGTGGCTCGATCCCTCTTGGTGGCTTTTAGGCCACCCCCCTCCTCTCTGCCTTCATCGTTCTGCTTGTGTTAGGCGGCTTCTAGGCTAGCCTCCGCTGAGTGTTCAGCTCATCGACATCTTGGTCGATCGATCTTCCATGCAGCTTCTAGGCTTGCTTTCCGGATCTTGTTGAAATGCTCAATGAGGCGATCGATGACTTTTCAGCCGGCTTCTAGGCTTGCTCCCTCGATTCTCTCCATACTTTCTTCGTTCGGCCTTTCCAGGTAGCTTCTACGTTACCATTTGAGTCATCTCTGCTCGTCGACATCTTGGTCGATTGATCCTCTAGGCAGCTTCCAGGCATGCTTTCTGTGTCCTGCCGAAGTACTGGGCATGTCGAGCGATGATTTATCAAGCGGCTTCTAGGCCGGCTCCCTTGTTTCTCTCAAATATTCATTGATTGGGTTTCTAGGCGGCTTCTAGGCCAGCCTTCTCTTTGAGTCTTTCTGCTCATCGGCATCTTGGTCGATTGGTCTTTTAAGCGGCTTCTCGTTTGCTTTCTGGATTTTGTTGAAATACTTGATGGGGCGGTCGACGATTTTTCGGGAGGCTTCTAGGCCTGCCTGCTCTCAGAGTCTTCAGCTCATCGACATCTTGGTCGGTTGATCTCCTCAGCGCTTCTAGGCCTGCTCTCCAGATCCTGTTGACACTGGATATGGCTATCGATGGCTGCCCCCGCGGCTTCTAGGCCAACCTTCTCTTGAAGTCTTTTCGGTCCATCGGCATCTTGGCCGGTCGATCTTTTAGGCTGCTTCTGGGTCCGCTCTCTGCATCTTGTTGAAATGTTCTGCATATCTATCGGTGATTTGTCAAGCGGCTTCCATGCTTGTTCCTTCGGCTTATGCATCATTAGAGTTTCCAAGTGGCTTCTAGGCCACCACCTTCCTCGTTTTTCTCTACTACTCGAGCATCTTTCCAGGCGGCTTCTAGGCCGCCTTCTCATGGACTTTTCCTTCTACGACCCAGCATTGTTAAACGAGCTTCTAGGCTCGCTTTAGCTTGGAGTTTTCCTTTCACCACGGAGCATCATTATTGAAGCAGCTTCCAGGCTCGCTCATCATTGGAGTTTGGAGTTTTCCTTCTTCCACTTAATAGCATTATGAAAGCAGCTTCCAGGCTCGCTTTCTCTGGGCATTTTCCTTCTCCTACTCAGCATTGTTAAACGAGCTTCTAGGCTCGCTTCCCTTGGAGTTCTCCTTTCACCACGGAGCATCATTGTTAAAGTAGCTTCTAGGCTCGCTTTAGCTTGGAATTTTCCTTCGCCCTCTTAATATCATTAATACAGCAGCTTCCAGGCTTGCTTTCTCTGAGAATATTTTCTACTACTCAGCATCATTATTGAAGCAGCTTCCAGGCTCGCTTCCCTTGGAGTTCTCTTTCTCCCATTTAATAGCATTATGAAAGCAGCTTCTAGGCTCGCTTTCTTTTGGAGTTTTCCTTCTCCTACTCAGCATCATTAGCATAGCATCTTCTAGACTCTCTTTTTTCCTAACACTCTCTTCTACCGGACATATCTTTTCATCTCTTGAGGGCGGCTTGTTCCTTAATGTCTTTCTTTACAGATTTGTCGATTGGGTTTTTCTTTGGTTAGCTTGGGATATTTTCCTCACCAGTCCTCTCATTTCTTTCACCTACGTCTCTAATATCCTCATGTCTTGTTGACTTGTCTCAACACCTTTCTTTGGCTTGGTATGGGTTTTGGTCTAGGCTTTGATTGGGATGTGGTTTGGGTATGGGATATGGCTTGGGTATCGGTCTGGTCATGAATATACTTAGTCTTGGTGAAAAGTTAGTATGGGTATGGTTCGGGTGTAGGATATGTATGCTTTTGGTCTCGATCATAAATTGGTCTTGGTCATCAGCTGGGATGGGTTTGGGTTTGGGTGTTGGATATGCTTTTGGTCTTGATCATAAATTGGTCTTGGTCATCAGCTGGGATGGGTATGGGTATGGGTTTGGGATATGGTCTGGTTGAAAATGGGGTTCGTCATGGTTTGGGTTGGGGTTGAGGGTCATGGCATTGTCAGAACTGAGCTGGCTTCTAGGCCGGTCCAGGTGGTGCTGGATTTCATTTGGGGTTCGGCGCCACAGGGTTTTGGCAATAGGATTTCATAGTCTTCGGTTAAAAGTGTGAATCTACTAGGTTTCCGCTTGTGTGTCCAGTTCGCGGTGTTGGGTGTCTTTGCTTCGTGTACCAGGTACACCTCTTCCTTACAACTGCACATACCCAGAATCCCTAAAGTACGGTTTTTGACGTGGCTCTCTTCTGTAGCTCGATGCTATAGAAGAATGACAGGCGTCTTGCTTTACCAACGATCACAGGTGAACATACCGTTGGTAGACGTCTTTCATGTGTTGTGCTGTGCTACGGTGCCGTAACATTCAAGACTTTTTTTCTTACCTTCTCTTTTTTTTTTTTTTTTTTTTTTATCCCCTTCCTTCTTGAAGGCGCCTATCTTTACTGTTACCTTGTACCATTGCAATGCATAGTGAGCGGTGTCTTCTAAAACCATGTCTATCAATTTAGGTTGGTTGTGTAGGGAGAAGCGTTTGATTTATGTCCATAAATCCATCCCTCTCTAAATACCTCCCCGCGCCAGCTTTTGAACGTTGTCGGCTTGCGGGAGATTGGTCCGAGTGAAAGGTGACAGGTGTTGACCGTATATCTCGGCAGTGCTATTTGTCGGTGCCCTGAACAGGACGCCGTTGCGAAAATGCCCCGAGTTTCTGAGTTGCGTACTTGTACTTTGAAGTACATTGCACAGGTGTGGCCCAGGTGGGATTTGGATAATTCCCCGACGTGCCATTACCACAACTTCTGAGTGTGGGCCGTGGAAACACGCATCTGCGTTTGGTTGGTTCCAGGCGACCCATGTCGACTGTGATGCGATGGTATCGCAGCATTCTTCCTGCATGCTGTGTTGTTGTGGTAGCGTCGAGTCCGCACACGACAACCCAGCTCTCGAATCAAATGCCACTGCACGCCGGCCCGGACCAACAATGGCAGTCTTGAGCAGGTTTTCAGGCCGTAACATGCATACGACGAGCTGGGACCGAATACGATGGCTGGTGAAGCAATGGTACACAAGTTTGTCACCCTCTCCTGCACTTCCAAGAGGGGGTGGTTCTATTATGTTTTATTTGATGTCGTAGCTGAATGAAACACACCAGCTGCTGGATACATGGCTAATCTGTTACATTGAATCCCGCGGCGCTCTGTTTACGGGACATACCTAGGTACCTTAGTTTCCGAATCCAAATCCGCACATGGTGCTGGTGTTGGCCAGTCTTAGAACCGATATGGGCGGAGATTGATTCCACGCTTGGCCGGACCGCACGTATGTGCCACCTCCCTCAACGTTCGCCCGTGTGGTTAGGCGCCGAGACAATCGCTGCCGTATAACAGCGCCCTCTGACATGTGCGAGGGGAAGCAGTGAGAAGGGACACAGGCTGCTTGGCTGGGTCTGCAAGCTCTCACAGTGTGGCGCGCCGGGAGACGATGCAGCCGGCAGCTGGCAGCAACGGCGCGATCTTCAGGGGCACTCAGCCAGCTTAGTGGGCATCAGATCCCCTGAGAAGCCAAAGGAGGCCTGGACCTGGTCCATGAGCTTAGGCGGGAGGCTCACTCTGGCAGTCGGTAATGGAGCTCTGCTCGAGTTACTGATACCGTGATACGGGATTGACGTAGGGAGACGTATTCATTGTGTGGAGATGTTGGGTCAGGCATCTTCATTGCTGCTTTTCTTTACTTTGAACTCAAACTCTCTCATCCGACGTAGGGAGACCACCACCGGACGTTGGCACTATGCTCAACCAGAAAGTCCCTTGTTGTAAACCTTGATCTAATATACACTAATTTCTCTTTCAGAATTTGGTCGCGCAGAGATCCATCGCTTTTCATGTATTTAATAAGGCTTAAGGCATGGTCATTTGCTTCATCCAGTAGTTCAAGCCATCCGAGCCAGCCGCCCATGGGGAGATGAAAAATATTACCAAATGAACCATTGCGAGGATAATGATGCAACTTTATGTTGTAGAATGACTCCTGGTAAAGAGACCCTGGGTTTTTGGACGAGTACAACATACATAGGCTCAAGAACCACCACCTGCACCCTGACACATGGAGGAAGAGGACGCGACTTTGTAACCTCATCGGCGAAGCAGAGGAGAAGCAATTTGCGAGTACTGATTTTTTTATGAACAATTTCCCACTTAGTGCAGCATCCGAACGTGCGTGTAGTCTGGCCTTTCTACTCTGTTCAATCTACCAATTCTTAGGGGCTAGGTTTTGGGTTAGGGGGCTGCTGTTGGGTCTCTTCAGCCAATCAGCGACCAGAATCTGCCCCGGATGCTACTGCCTTACAGAGAGCCAGAGGCCACTGAGCTAAGCCCTCTAGCCCGCCATGTTAGTGGGATTGGGCTCTTGCAGGAAGGAAACAACGCTGTGCATCGTCATTCTTCCATCTTCATTTCAACATCGCCACCGGCGCAGACAGCTGCCCGCAATCACGGATGACTGGCACGCACGAGTCAATTGAGCTAGGTAAGTTTTGCCATTTCCTACTCCAGTTTGGGCCTGGCAGTTCTAGATTGCGGAGAAGCCAGCCATTTACGTAAGGAATGATGCACCCCATGATCCGATTTCCCGGGGCCGACCAGCCCTGGCGACTCGAAACCTCGACGGCGCTACAGTGATGCCCTTATCAGTGGAGACTCCAGACAGCTTCCCCAAGCGATGGCACGGCTGGCCAATCGAAGAGCGAAGGCATTCCTAGCGACTAGGGTCACTCTCGGAGTCGCCTGCCCTCCAACGTGGAGGTGGGCCGCTAA